TTTGCTGGCTACAGGAAATGAGGAATGAGCAGGAGTGTGGAGTGTGGAGTAGGGAGAGGGGAGTGGAGAGTGAGTGGGGAATAAGGAGCAGGGACTGCTGCTGTGCTATAAGTCAAGTTCTCTTCCGGCTTGCACAGCGATCCCAGCTGCTGTTACTGCGACTGTTGATGATGACAACAGCAACAAGAACAGCAATGGCAATGTTGTTGCCACCGGCTACAGAAATTTCTTTCATCACTTTTTGTGCAACTACTATTTTGCATATGAAAATAATAAAAGTAAAAGAAGTGGCAGCAGGCTATCTTTTTCTCCCTGTTTGCTTTACACACACACACACACACACGCACACAAATATAAGGTCTACGCTTGATATGATAGTGTGTGTACAGAGACGTACGCAAAAACCATTTTCATTTTATAATTTTAATTAAATGTCTCCACGGACTGCCAATGATTTTAAATAACTAAATGGAAAAAATATTTATAAATCGCATCTTAAGGGACTATCGAGATCATCCATATTTTTTTTTCGAGATTCTACAAAAACGATAATATATGTATATTTGGTTGGTTTTTTTAAAAGAAAAAGTAAGGATTCTTTTTTACATTTATTTAGTTGAGAATATAATAACTCAGCTGTGGATTTTTTTGCAGATACGTGACTCTTAGCAAAGCTTACAAATGGGTTGAATCATAAGATAAATGTACATTATATGCATATAATGTCTAGGTAGCAGGCTTCAGCTTCAGGTAACATTCCGATGCAAGTCTGGACAAAAGAAGCAATCACAGCACCACAGACAGTTGTCGTTTTGTCAGGAGGGTTATTGCTCGAGCTATTATTAACAGTCTGGCTAGTATGTTTCAAAGAGTTCGTAAAAGGTTGAGTTATTTATAAAGCTTTACAGATTCCGGAATAAGTTCCCGGTTCAAGGTCAAGCGTACCAGTCACAAAAGCTTTACCCGCAAAGAGTTGGTTCCATTTGTGTTTTTCTCAAAACTATACTCCGTACCTTTAGGCTGGTATAAAAATCTATGGGTATGTTCTTTTGCAACGCAGGGGGAGCCCCTTAAGTTCCATTTCAGGACAAATATATAAAAATAAATTTAATAAACATCAAACAATAAATTACAATTAAATAATACAAACTTTCACAAATAACTTCTAAATTCATTTACCGTTTAAATCTATATATTCGCCGTTTTTTAAAGGCTCGTATTTAAAAAGTGTAAACGAGCTTTTTGCCGTATTTCTGCGTACGCCCATGTGTGTGCTGATGGTGTTGATGTTGCTGCCACTATTGATGTTTGTCGCCAACACGCGTGTGACACATTATGGGAGGCAAGGCACACATTTATGTTTGACGAAAGCTGATATGCTCGCCCGCCTGCTGACTCTCATCAACTAGCGCCGTGTTCCACAACCCCCCGATGCACCATTAAGGCAAACCAGGCAGTGTGGCGACCATTTATGGAAGCAGTTTCGTGGCTTTCTTTTCATCATTTTCTTTTTTGTGTTTTTCCTTCTTATGCCGTAACTAGATAGGAACCTCATGTCTATATCTGTGTGCTGGCTGTGTCTGTGTTAGTGCTGATAAGGAAGCAAGTGCTACGATAAACAAGTTGTTGTTGTTTCTGTTGTTGCACGTCTTATTGTCGTTGCTGTCATTGCCATGCACCAGAGGATGAAGTAGAAGAAGAAGAGGAGGAAAAACTAAAGAAAGAAGAAGCAGCACAAGTGCAAATTCAAAAGGTTTTTGACATTGGCTTTTGTCTGCGGTTAAATGTACTGATCACACACACACACACACACACATACACATACACACAGAAATAGAGCTTTAAGCCTTTTTCCAACACTGGTTGGCCAACATCACCTCACTCCATACTGAGATTTATTCCTGTTTTTTCTACCATCTAGCCATCAAGTAATAAAATTTTGTGTACGAAAACAACTTTTGGGAGCATCAAAAATTATTAGCAATTTAATGCACGACTAGACAGCCAGTAATGCCCTTTACCCTTCCCAACCTGAACTGGCCGACAACTTCAGCATTGGCCACGTACTAGGGGCACGGTTTTGTGGCAAATTTCCCGACGTCATAGCACTACACGCTGCTTGCTGTGTGTGTGTGTGTGTGCAAATGAGAGTGGGTGTGTGTGTGTGTGGCATAAAAATGTTAAAAACAACATGTTTTCCAACTGCTCTGTGCGCTGCACTTTAACGAAGCATATTGGCTGTTACGCTGTAGTCAAGTTTTTATCAAGTTTCTAAAGTTGAAGTTTTAAGACTCTCGGAGTTAACTATTATGGCCAACTAAACAAGGTGCGCAATGTTCGCACAGCTCGCAGCAATGTTCACTTTTTTATTTTAAGAATTCAATTTAGCTAAAAGCGTACATTGATGAATGATGCGGACGTTGACAAGAAATAGCATTAAGAAAATTACCAAACGAACAATACAAGTGTAATTCCACATAAAAATTTGTGTATATGCAATACATTTTACTTTGTCGAAAGTTCGCAAAACACACAAAGTTTATTATTGAAGAAAGAAAGCGTAAACGTTGACACTGTCCCTATTTCCGATTCCGGTTAAAAGGAAAACTATGTTCCTGTTTTCCCAAAATTTCACTTAATAAATAATTTATATGTTTTTCCCATTACTCTAGAGAATCAAAAGTAATTTAAAAATGTAATCTTTAAATAAGTCGCATTTTATTACGAATTTTTAGCTTATGTTTATTTATTAAGTGCTTTACTTGCTTTTAGGTTTATTTGAAAAATATTCTCTTAATACCTGGCAAAAGGCGCATCACCTAAAAGTATGCTCATTTTTAAATTGAAATTCAAACTACCTCTACTCTACTGTTAGAAAATTATCCGGTTTCTTAAAGAACTTTTCAAAACAGTACGAGAATTCAATTGGTCTTCAAATTATTCAAAAAAAGCAAAAAATCCCACATAATCCATTATACTCAGAAAACTTTTTCCAATAGATTTTTATAAAGTATAAATAATTAAATAAGACTAAACTCCAGTTTCAGCTGTATTTGCATTATTCTATAAGTTTAATTTAAGTAATTGTAAATAATAACAGTATAATTAATATTTTACATTAAAAAAAAATATAAAAAAAACTTTTTTGGTGTTAGGTGACTTTTAATTTTTTTCTGCTGTCACTTTTTTCTTAATTAAAAAAAAATTGCATAACTCCAACGATAATCATAACAACATTCAAAAGATAATTTAAATATTTGCACCCAGGAACTTTTAGGATAAACATTCTTGTCTAATTCTTGTCTTAAACTACGATCAGTTAAGCAAATATTTTACACGCAGTACGCTTTGAAAATATAATTTTCATAACATTTATCGTTAAGTATAGAATTGTTATTTCATTTAATTGAAGCAATGTTTATACTCGACAAATATTTCTGAAAATTATTTGCCTATTTTAATGAAAATTTTAAGCTAAACAATTGAAACATTTATATAGAATTACTGAAATGCGGATTTGCTTTTACAACTATTAAATTGTTGGCAGCTAACTTTTAAAGATCCGCTCCACTTGTAGGTCGAAAAATACTAAAAACCAATCATGATACATCCATTTTTGTGCACCTTCAGAAGACTAGCGATTAATACCTTTCCAAAGACTGCCTAACAATATTATATACATTTTTTTTTAATTATTTTATTCTACTAAGAATTAAATTTGTATTTATAATTCATTCTAATTGGTCAGTGTTGTTATGATATATTATTGTAAAATAAACTTAAATAATAATATTTTTGAGGGTGACCGACAAAATTGTTGAATCTAATATTGCTTAATGAAACTCTTGATTACTGTATAATCAGAGCATCTAATCTAATATTAGCGAAGGAAACTCTTGATTATATAGTTTCTACAATAAAAATTCCTTATAGTAGTGTCCATTAAATTACTTGCTAAAATCTTTGGATTATATCTTTGCTGAGTAGAGCATCAGATATCTGTTGGGGCTGCAATTTGCGACATTTGCTGTAAACTGCCAGACCAGCCGATGTCGTCGTGTGCCCGTCCCGGTGTCGGTGTCTGTCTGTTCCACTGTCTGGTTGTCTGTGATGTGTCTGTGCATCTAATTTAAAATTATGCAACTATTTTTTCCGCTTGAGTGTCCGTGTGTGTGTGTGTAAGTGTACTGTGCTCATTGACTTTGTGGCGCAATGGTGTAGTTGCTGTTGTTTTTGTTGTTGTTGTTGTTGTCGGCGACACGCTGTTTTGGGTCACGCTTTTGCAAGCCGAAAAACCGTTATAAATCATGAACAGCATGTAAAAGCATCACAGCAACCATCCTTGTTTGTTGCTGTTGCTATTGTTGTTGTTGTTGCTGTTATTTTGTTGTTATTCTCGTCGTTATCGCTGGCGACTGCAATCGACAAGCGTCGCCCCCAACCCAGCACTTGCAACATCAGCCGAAGCAGCATTGCACAAAAAAACACATTAATCAATTTTCAGCGGCGCATGCCACACAGTCCATCGCCATCGCCATCGCCATGGCACATATTTTCATTGTACATCGGCGAATATAAGCGAAAAATCCGCTATTCTTTTTATTATTGTAAAAGGAAAGCATGAGCAGTAACAGCAACAACTTTTGTGTAATGTGCAGAGCGCGTGAAAATTTCTCGTCGTCTGAATAAAAACAACAACAACAACAACAAGAAAAAAAGAAGTGTTTTCTGTTTATGCTGCAAATATTTGTGCTTTTCATTTGTTTGGCAGCAGCGGTGAGAGAAATGGCCGACATTGGCAGTATGGCGGCATTTCAATTTATATGCCAGCGATAAATATTTGGTAATAAATTTTGCGTGTAATCGCATGGAGCGCGTACTCGTATAAAATTTGTTGTTGCTTGTAAATATAATTTGAATTTATCTTCTTATGCATTAAAAATCATTAAAAAAAAATATGTGTATTCCATTCTCATTTATGCTCTATCTATTTTTTGCAGATACAATAATAATGACATTAAAATGGCGACAAAAATACAAAAGCAGAAAACGGCCAAAGAAACTGAAACAACGAATCAACAGAGCAACAACAACAGCAACAAGCACTGCCTATGAAACAGCAATAACAGCCAAACAAGAAGAGGAGAGCCATTTAAAACGACTGAACGGCCAATGGCAGCCAAATGAGCGACAGCAAACATACGGCAACAAAATGTTGCAAGCAGCAGCAACAGCCGCAGCAACAACAATAAAAACAACACAATGTCATGCAATTAAAGCGAAGTCTGCAACACGTGCAATGGCAACAACAACAATAGCAACAAAGACGGCGACAATAACTCTCGAAGCCCATCGGAGTTGTCACAAACGCTCAACTGTGCAACAACAGCAACAGCAAGAACAACAACAACAACGACGACATCTATTTCCGTCGCCGCTGCTGCTGCTCCCCCTCTGCCTGTGTCTCTGTCTCTGTCTGACAGCTGTCGATGCACAGGCAGCCAACTCCCCCACTTCCAACTCCGCCTCCGCCTCCGCCCCAGCTTCATCCTCTATTGCTGATCTGCCCGATAATCCTGAACCTGCCACATTGCCAGTTGTGGCAGCTGCTTCAACCTCATCACAGGCCACTGCCAAATCTGCCAATTTGCAATTGGCTCCCCCACCCTGCTCCCTATCCGAATACAGTTGCAACAACGGCCGTTGCGTGCCATTGAGTAAATTTTGCAACAACAACAACGACTGTGGCGATGGCAGCGATGAGCCGCGATTTTGTACACGTGAGTATTTCTAACGAAACATCATCATCATCATTATGATTTGAAGGACCGCAAAGAGATTAAAGCGGGGGAGGAGCAATTATGCAAAGCCTTCATATTGTCAAGCTACACAGATTGCCGGTCACTGGACCCGAATAGAGAGCTTAAGTGAACAGCAATGCAGGGGCAGGGGGCTAATTCTCGTAATGGAGAATGTCAGACCTAATGAGTAGCTGTCAACTTGTGCTGCACCATGCAGAGCCCTAGTTCTATATATTTGAATTATGCAGGCAATTAGCATTTGAGGGAAATTGCCAGGAAATGAGAACTGTATGTTTTTTAAAAGCGACCTATTCTTCACAGGCAAAAAAATCGATTAAATCAATTAATTTAAAAAGTTTACTTTCCATCCTTTGTAAAGGACAGAAGTTTGAATAAAAATCATGGTATAGAGAAAGAAACACACACCCAATTCTGTTTTTACACTGTCTTTTTTTACACGATTTGGATTTAATTAAATTGAAAATCAAAAATTGCATATTTCTTTACACATAAGGAACCAATCACCTATTTTTGCATATGATCAAAAACTATTTGTAGACGATTGTTTCTGGAACCAATCTACCGTGTAAAAACAGAATTAGCAGTATAAAGAAACACAGAAAAAACCGATTCGTAAAACTGAAATATCTATTTTTGGCCTTTAAATAAAGAATCAATGCAGTAAATTTTTAGTCGAATCTTTCCCGTAAATATCTGTTTTTTATTCATTTAGTTGAATAGGTAAAGTTTTTTCATTTATTTTATGTGTACAATATTTGTTCATTTCGCAAAAAAAAAAAAAAAACTGGATTTATAAAATTTTTTATAATTAAAACCATGTTTTGTTGACATTTTAAAACAATTAAAGAGTAACGAGCACGAGCTTGAAATCATATTTACGATACAAACTTTATGATTCGAATTTCTTGTGTATTTCTGGGCAAACATTTATTTACATATTCTATTTACAATGCTTACATTGCTTTTCTGAGCTGATATAATCCTCTTACAAAACTACATACACGTTTCGCAACAAAAATGTGCGTAAAACGTTCTAAACACTAACTTAAATGCTTAACTCTATTGATTTTTATCTCTTTACGAGGATACGATACGATACTTTTAAAAAGAGATGATGATAAAATAATTTGTCGTTAATATATAAAAAAAATCAAAATAAAATATATGGCAGCATTGTATTAAGGTTTATTAAAATAGTTTAGTACATAAAAAAATCGATTTCAACCTTGGAAGCCAAGATCGAGATACAAACTATTGAAATAGTTAAAAACAATTAAAGACAAACTACGCTCAAGCAATTCTTCTTTATTGTTACAGCCATTAAGGTGTCTATTGAGAAAGAACCGAAGTGGACTAATTTAAATATTTATGTTTTATTTGCAATCTATTTTCATTAACTATCCACGATATTAATGAGTATATGTAGCCTACCCTTTATTCCAATTTTTACTATAAAAACCTCAAAATTTCGAAAAGATACCTAAGACGCATATAAGAGACAGAAAGATATTCATTTGTACAAGTATACGAGTTCAACAAGATTAAGCACTAGCAGACCATACAGTCTGTAAACGTCTTTACTTGCACCAACACTTTAGAGAAACATTTATTAGGCAATTAATTGCAAAACTATATAGCACTTTTTACAAATACAACGGCAGAAGAACATATTTTCTACTCTTAAAACAAAAATTGAAAATTTCCGTAGCAATTGATGAGTCTGGCTTGCTTTAATTAAGCACCTTTCAGTTCAACCTTTTTTTTTGTATATTGCTTGCCTAACTACCTTGTCCAATCTGTCAGGGTCCACTGATGGAGCAGCACATACCCACTCGCACACACACACTCGCACAAACACAGGCAAGCACACTTAGTAAGCTGACTAACACATACGCACACACACTCACACATTTAGATGTGTAAATGTAATTAAACGCTCACACAACCTACGCTCGTCACTTACAGGCACACACACACACACACACGCCCACATATCAACACATAACTTTGCCCACACCAATAACAACAACAACAACAGCAGCAACAACAACCCTCATAATGGCAGCGAAGTGAACTTCTCACTTGCCAATTGGCTGTCGCCTATGGCCCGGTCTGGCCCACAGTGCCTCCATTCCGAGCGCCCCGTGTCAAGTGTTGATGAATTTAATTAAGTATTTTCAATGATATTCAACGACAGCCACACGGTCAACCCGCACAGTAGCGAAGCTTTTGGTTTTTAATTGAAAAACGAGTTTTTATTTCATTCCACATCAAAATGCTTTATCGATGTTTGGGGTGCGTCCATACCAAGTGTGAGTGATCGGTTTTATTTTTATTGGCCAGCAAGGCCAATCAACCAGCAGCAACAAACGGCAGCTTTATGTTTGCGATTAAAGTTAATAACTTGGCAGCCCCATAAAGTATGCTACATAAAATGCAAGAAAGGACAACGAGCAGTACAACCGACAGATTTAATGCATTTATATGAGCTAGCCAGTAGCCACAAGTAGCATAATCCCATCAGAGACTGTCTACCCACGAGCAATGAGAAAACGTACGCATAGAAATACAAATCGAAATATATACATTATATTATGTATCTAATTGACTATTGATGACTGTTGCATATTTAATTTGATAGAATACAGCAATCGCAGCAGCGTCAGAAACCACAGCAACAACATCAGCAAGGTATTAGCTACGAAATGGAATTGAAATCGTTTTGTCTGCTCTGGTTCGCCCTAATCCAATGCATTTTTAATATAACTAATTGAAATGGCATTCAGACTGGCACGAATTACCAATTGGCATGCTAATGAAATTGCCTCCAGGATTAGTGTTAAAACTAGTAACAAATTGTACAGTGCAGTGTACTGGTCTAGACAAACAATTGCCATTACATAATTCTCGATCAATAAATGCAGAACTCGCATGAATTATAGAAATTGCTGTACTCAATTATTACAGCAGCAAACAACAGACATTTATCAATAGCCAGCGGTCTTAATTCTATTAAAGAAACAATAATGACAATAATTCAAAGCAATAGGCATTCGATGTTGATTGCATGACAATTTAGTAAACATAATTAAAGGCAATCTAAATACAAATGTGTCAAATCGTATTCGTACTGATGACAACAAAGCAAAGGAGAATGGCAAACAAAAATGTGAAAGAGAAAAGGAGCTTGGGGAAAAATAATTGAACAGGAAATACTCTGTAAACAGAATAATATGGAACAGCCTTGGGAATGGCATAATTTTGAGGTTATTTATATTAAATTACTATTATTACTAACACTTAGTTATAATAATAATAGTTTATAAACATAATCTAAATGAAAATTGGTAGTATTGTAAAGTATTAAAAACTTATTTAAAATCTCGCTAAACCGAAGCGAGTGTTCATAAGTCAAGACAATAAATAAATATTCGTCTAATTATAATTTATTAAATAACAAAATAAATGAAACAAGGGTAATATAGTACAAGCAACAGTCTAAATGACTTCATTCGCAGAACCAGTATTTTTCATATTATTCTTATTTTATTTTTTCTTTAAATAGCCAATAAAATAAATATGCAAAAATATAAGAAAGTTTTTGCACTAGAAATTACTTTCCCAATCCATTAGCAATGGAAAAGTTTGAATCTTGACATTGATGTTGAGCTTGCTAAAACCCCATTTTAAGCGAATTAATTAACGTATGCAAACGTACTTTATTTTGAAAAAATTTAGACCGGATAAAAAATCATATTTAGAGCTTCTACAAGTATAAACAACTGATTACCAAGCTAATTGCCCTCAAGTTAAGTTCACAACAATTAGACTGCTTTGCTAGGTGAACCACTTATTTCAACATACCTGAGGACAAAGCGAATATGCCCCTTTTGCTATACAAGTAACTACGCCTCAACTCTGTTAGTGAAGCCAAACAAAATAGCGCGACAATTGTCGGCCCATCCAACGCTGCATAAATAAATGCGCATATACATAGTATTTATATTAATAGGAGAGTCGTGTTGCGTGGCGTGCGGCCGACACATTAAAGCGGCCAAGAAAATAATTGCCAAGCTTATACTAATTGCGTTAAATATATTTTTATTTCCGGCAACTAACTAAAAGAACATTTCCCCCATCTTATAACCATCTCCATTTCGAACAGGCTGTAATCGCACCTACTATGGCGACATCGGGCAGACTTACGCCCTGGAGTTGCATCGACCCAAGCAGGATCGGGTGCCCTTTGTGTGCGTGCTCACATTTACGGCAGCGGGTGGCCAACATGGCGATGTTGTGCAGGTGAGTGCCCTCAATCCCTCCGCTCTCTCTCCCCCAATTGCTGGCAGCTGCTGCCTTTCACATTTCATTTTGCGAGTGGATAAACTATGCCATTAAAAAGATAAGAAATATTGGCTAAGACCAACAACAACAACAAGAACATCATCATGAGGAAAAGCAATACCAGCAAGAGACATGCCACAGTGGCCATTGTTGCATTGCACCAATATTGATTTCAAAGCCACTCATTGCGCCCAGCTAGCATACAAATCCCAAGCGCCCGAGCGTAACTTCAACTGACAGGTTGAGACTGAAATAGAGAGTGGGACTGTGAGGAAGACGAAGGAGGCGAGGCAAGAGACAGAGAATGAAGACTGTAACGGTAACAGTTTCCTCTGGGGACTAAGAGCGTCTTATCTGTGCAGAGGCAGGAAACAAGCGGCTGTTAGTTATTGCACCACTTCACACCTTTAGCTGCTGGGCAACACTTCAGCAGCAACGCCCAGTCATGAACCGAAACTATAGCCAACGAGCTTGGGTTGGCTCGTCGGTTGGCTCAATGCCTTTTGTTTCGTTCGAGTGCGTCGAGAGTAGTCAGCAAAGACTTTGCACGGATGCTGCACTACTGCTGATTTAGTTGAGGAAGATATGGCAGTGCTGGCCAAAAACTTCATTAAACACTTGGAAAAGGCATTTGTACATTGCTTTCCATGTTTTATGAACAGTACTTTATTTTTGTGAAAAGTATGTGGAGTTGGTAATAGAGATTAACACAGATTGGAAACAAAGCAACGCGTACTTGTACATGTATTTTTCAATTATATATATATATATATATATATAGATATGCATATCTAGGTTGATTAAAAGAACGGTACAAGTTTTTTAATATAATGAAAAAAGGAAGAAAACTTTAGAGTATTCGTGCTGAAACGGAAAAAACCATAAAACCATAATTGTATAACAATTATGAAAAGCGCCTAACACACTAGCAGTTAAATAAATTGTAAACCAATTTATTATATAAAAAATACTAATTTTATATCCCCATCCAAAACATTCAAGGAAAATAAATATAATAGCAGTTATATTCGACTTTTTTTTCTTATAAGTGTCAAACCTCAAACTATTTTTCAGGTCACATTGGATAGCTTTACGATTGGGCGTTTCACATCCTATGTGCATGACGGCTGCCCAGATGGCTATATGCAAATAGCGGAGTCGGCACGCACACCCATCGGTGGAATGTGGTGTGGCACATCGTGGGGACCAGTCTTGTTTTATAGCGAGACACGCTCATTGATATTTACAATCAAATTGAATAGGTAAGTTATGCAGGCGCACATAAGTATGCTACATTTTTTTCAGCCTGCAATATCAGCTTATAGCACAGAAAAACTTTATATTATGTATATACATATATATATATATTAAAGCAATTCCACGGCAGGCTGAGCAGGCAGCTAAATCATTGGCAAAGAAAAGCAAACTTTAAAAGCTGACAAATCCTTTTTGTTACTACACCTGCTGCCTTTTGGCAAGGACCAGACAGTTAAGATGCCAAACCAGCTGCTGCTCAACTATTAATGAATGCCTTGGTGTTCTGCTTTCGCCCACAGGTTGGCACGGGATCAAAGCGGTTACAATTTCGACTTTCGCATTAGATATAAGGTGCTATCGAGGGACAGCTCGGTAACCCGCTACGGTGGCATTAAGGTCTCAGGTAGGTTGCAATGCGGCACACAAAACCCAACCGGCGAACAAAGGGCAAACGACCAACTGAACAACTGAGACTTGTTCTGAATGCCGTTCGTTGCTACCCCTTTTCTTTTTTAAATCAAATACGGCTAAGCGAACTGGTTGGCAAAAAAGAAATCCAGCACAAAAGGCTGGCCGGGACTTACCTTGCACACTTCACTCTCTATCCTTATCCCCTTACAGAACTGCAGCAGTGGCACAATCGCAGCAGCTTTCTCCATCAAAACGCCATCGAGGATTTTACAAACTCCAGCGGTGCACGTTCGGATCGCTACGGTCAGGATTTTAGTTTGTTTAGCGCCTATGCAAATAACAAGACTTTTATGGAATCGCTGGAAAAACCACTGGCCAAGGACGAGCACAATTACACCGAGCCCAAATATTACCTAGGTGAGTTGACAGTGTGTTGCGTGTATGTGTGTCTGTATGGATTAAAAATGCACAATGGTTTAAATTGACAGCCTAAATGGATAATAGAAAAAAAGTAATTTCAATAGAAATGTCAATACCAATCGATATTTGTAAACAGAAACTAGTTTCATACAAAAATAACCATTTGCAGGTCACAAGCTCATCAGTTCAAATGAATCGATCCAACTTTGACAACTTTTAAGTTTTAATACAAAAAAAGTTCCAATGAAGAACATCTTTAAGTATTTGCAAAAGAAAAAAGCTAATAATATTGCAATAAAATATAATAAAGTTAAACAAACTAGAAACAGTTAATGAAATGCTTCAAAATGCTTATTTCATAATATTATACAAGTATGATAATATAAATCATAGTTTTCGTATTTGTATCGACAGCACTATTTGTTGATTTTCTAAATAAATAAATAAAACAAATATTAATAATATTCACAGTGATAAATTATTAATCGAATTTCGAAATTATTTTAAAGAACATAATTTATATTTAATAATTTATATTTATATATATATTTATATTTATATTTAATATTTGATTTGAAACGTAGAGTAAAAGAGTAAGAAACACCACTGTGCATTACTTATGTAAATATATTTATGTATGTAAATGCGCGTATTTATGTTTATTTATGTGTATTTGTGGGGCTCCTTTGCATGCCAAGCGCATTTTCATTTTTATGTTTGTTATACAAGTATATAAGCATTACTGCCTCCCCAGACATATCTGTATCCTGTGTCTGTTCGCGCCTCATGAGCATATCCTCTGCTTTCCAGGTGACCTCATTCCGGGCACATATTGTTCGCGCATCTTCAGCGATTGTGACAAAAAGGCCTGTCGCCTGCAGTCGCCCAATTATCCGGGCATCTATCCCCGCAACCTTACCTGCTACTATGCGGTGCGCCAGGTGAGTCAGCGTTTAATTAAAAATGCATGCGACACACAATTTAAGTAATTTTTATTAATTTTTAAGCGTTTATTTATGAAATGCCAACCGCTAAAGCGTTGCCTTTGACGGCCTTGTCTTTCTCATATTTTGTGGCAAGCAAATTAAATATGTTGCGCAGAAACCGCAGCATAATTGCGTATACGCAACGTTGCCCCGCAGTCTGTTATGCTTACGCAAAAAGGTATCATAAGCCGCTCAGCGTTAGCGTCAGGATCTGAGAGAGCTAAAGTTACAAAGTAACACTAAGACACAATGACACAAGCCCAAGAAGCATTCGACCCAGAGGTTACAACACCATGCGCTTCGTTGACTTCATCATCCTGCTTAAATCGGACTGCGTTAGACTTAATGGCGTTGCTCCTGCCGCCTCAAGCTACTTAAACACCCCGTCCCCTCATTCATATGCAACAGTATAAAAAACCTGCCATAATATTTTCACACAAACGTCTGCGGAATATATACTGTATATATATGAGTTTTATGCGTCAGCAGTTGAAACAGTATATTATTAAAATGAAATTTACATTTAAAATGAAAATAGAACAGGCTTTTATTATAATTAACTCAAAATGCCAGGCGACAGTTTATGAGTGGGCTTCAAACGCGAGGCATTTTCAAATCAAAAATCCACTATAACAAAGATAAATAAAATATTGAGATCGGAGAAATAATTATTTCCTGAAAAAAACTCAATTTAGCTTAAAAAGCTTTCAAATTAATTTGCGTTGAATTTAATTTAATTGCAAAGTATATGTTTTTAATGAAAACTTCAATAAAACCGCATACTATTAAGCAACCACACACCTGCTTGGTGCTCAAGGTTATAATATTTTTGAAATACATTTTTTATTGTGTCTGGTTGATAGTCTAAATGAAAATAAATTTTATGAGGTGGTTGAACCATTTATTCGTTCATATTTTTATGAACCACTCAGAACTAAGTGGTTTCCTAGACCACAACATACAGGCATAAATTAAGGATAGCATGTATGCACTTATTCTTCGTGGTCCACCAATAATCACAATCGTCCAAAAAAAAAGCAATACAATTTTGCAATAATTTTAGAAGTATTTAAATGTTCAAGTATTTTGCAGCACTATTAGCCGATGATATATTAATTTTTACTGATGCATAAGATAGACAATATCTGAAAGCCTCTTACATTTAATCCACTTGCGAAGTCTCTTATCAGTACTATTAATAATTATCCCTCTACACGAACTGGTCAATCCTTAAAGATTTCTCAACGCCACTTCATTAAAAACCCCAGAGATCTCCCCCATCGTGACCTATATTTCCTGATTCATCAACAATTTTAATATGGTGAGCCTCCTTGACCCAATCCCATTACCATTGATAATTAAGTGATGCCCATACTCAAGGAATAATATTTATTATGCGCCCTGCCAGCGCCACATTATTGTCGCAGTTTTCCACAGCTCGTATTTTTAAGAAATGTACAAAAATTAAGCTACGGATATTTATTGCCTTCGGCAATATTCCTCTACTAGCAGCGTCTCTCTGTGCCGCCCACTCATTAATTTCCATTTACTTTCAACTGTCCACACAGCACGATGTACCCCATGGCAAACATGCGCTGATTCTAGTTAAACAGCCCAAGGGTAATCTGGTCTGGATTTCCACACAGGAAACGGCCGGCAACAAGCTGGCGCCGAGCACGAGTGAGAAGGACAAGAAATTCGAGCCAAAGCTAAAAACATGGAATGACTGCGATTACATTCAGGTAATTAAATCTGCTTTAAATGCACTTTACTTTGTTTTGTCTCACTGCCATGCCATTGCCATGTCCATGTCCACGTCCATGTCCATGTCCAAGCCAATGCCCACGCCTTTTCCCTGCTACATTTTCTCTGCGCTCGATCTCTTTCTCTCTCCCTCTCTCTCTCTCTCTCTCTCTCTCTCTAGCTCTGTTTGCGTTTGCCAACTTTAACGAGCGCTCCAGCATAAAAATTACTTCCTTTGTTGGCCAATGGCCGACAAACGGGGCAGCAGCAACACAAAAAAATATATAAAACAACGTGGCAGAAATTGCGCAAAAAAAGACAAATTGTGGAAAAGAAATGAGCAAAATCTGTTTGTTTTTTGTACGATTTTTTGTTCGCCCATTGTTTATATGAATGTGGGTGAGGTATGAGCGTCGGTCTGTAGCTTCGCCCATGCCGTCTTGCTGGCTGTCTGCTTGTCCAACTGTCTGTCTGTCTGTCTGTTTGTCTAACAGTCTGGCTGTCTGCCGTTGCCTTGAGCTTCAATGGCCAGCATCTGGCGAAGTGTTAATTTCGTAGCCCTTTCTGTTTGTCGATGGCTGGCAAAATGACTTCAATTGTGTGATGCAACTTTTGGCCGCAACCCATCATAATAATAAGCACAAAAGTTGCAGCTGCGTTCCCATGAATGCACAGTTATTACTATGCATGGGCCAAGTTGAGGGCTACTTTTCTGAATACGAGTAGCAATGACGGCGCAGGAAGGTCCTTTTGGTTGACCTACATGCATACTATATACATGCATATCCTTGATTACTGTCAATGACCTTACTGAATATTAATACACTTTCAGTGGCCAATCATTACACATGGCTCACATTCTGGGCCCTCTTTGCCAAATAGAAAGCTTTTAATGCGAGGAAAAGTCATTGAAAACAAAAATCAAATTTATAGCTTAAAAGAAGTTCCATGGAATTAAATTTAATTTAAAAACTATTCGAATGCTTAATCAGACAAATTATAGTATAGTACATTTTCATAATGTTAGAGTTAGAATATGGAATATGAAGATTTACACAATAATAGCGCCACAAAAACTTATTTGTGTACTAAAATTGTTCAAATTTGTTTAAAAATATAAAGTATACTCTGGACCTGAAATTTTTTTAAAATCTGTTTAATAGTGTAGGAGTTCAAGTTTTTCAAGCATTGACTCTTGAAGAATTGATTTAAACAGCTTTTTAGTAGGTCACAACAGCAGCAAACAATTAAAAATTTGAAAAACCATTTTTACAAGGTAAAACTGTATTTTGTGGTCCTCTGAAAATCTTCAATGGCTTGGTTTATTAGCATAAAATACCTGCACACTCGTAACAGATCATTGAAGCATCTTATATTCAATTTATCTGAGCTACATTTGCTAATTCGTCTTACCTTATTTGTATGCACATAAATAACCATAAATGGTTAATTATATTAAGCTTGTATATATATTATATATATATACCAATATGTATATTTTTCTCTAATAGGAAAATGTAAAACCCAAATGGAAATCAACGGTAATAAATCAAACAATATTTGTCTATCGAACGTTTGCTCTCTCTCTCTCTCTCTCTCTTTATATATATATATACATACATATACTATATCTCTCCTGCTAAATTCTCTTAGTGCATATTAAATCACAATTACAATTGCAGCATACCAAAAATGATTTGAGTTTAGATGTAGCGCGCACGGAAATTATAATTCATAGCCACCTGAACCACTAAACACCACTCACGAACCACCAATCGACCACAAGCAACAACAGTCAATCGTATTAGTCGGCTATTTGTTGCCATTATATAACTAGCTATGTAGCATCTGTTTATCTATTAGTGTCTGCGTCTTCACCAACAATTATTTGTCAACCTTTGCTGTCAAAATAATTAATTAAACAACAATACTTGTAATAACAACAGCTACAGAAATGATAACAGCAACAACAACACTAAGAATTGACAAGCAATGTTGAAGCGACAGCAAATATAATGTATAATGTATTCATTATGACATTATACAAACACAGACACAAACACACACACACACAAACACACATACCGATCAGCATTCATGCCAGGACATAAAACGCAAGCGAAAAATCTGTCATTGGATTTATATTAATGAACACTTAGCACGCACATCATAAATCGCACACAAAGGCAAAGGACAATGACGGCGAAGACGGCGAAGACGCAGAAGAAGATGATGACGAAGACGAAGGCGATGTCGCCGACGCAGCTACTTAAACATCCAGCAAGGACAATATAACATTGTATATATACATACATATACGAGTATATACATAGGTATTAATGTGCGAATGTGTAGGTTGACTGCGGCTATTCACCTAGAATGTCCAAAGCAAAGTGCCCGAACGTGCCGCCTGCCATGGCCACAAAAGCAGTCGCCACACCACCAGACCACCCCACCATTCCACAGAACCCTGCTGCCCTTCATGTAAATCGTGTGTAAATTATAGCAGAGGCATTCATCATATAATGCACATAACTATGGCGAATGGCTGGTTCTTGTTTGGGCCATTGCCTTGCCCCGCAGCTGGACGACGCATCGTCTTTTGCAACATTGTTGAGTGCTTATCATGAATAGATTCACTTGTGTGATGAATTTCACTTCCGGCCAAAGTTTTGTACAACTTCTTTAAGCTCGAACGTCCATTGCCATCTGTTCAAGCTGCACGTTAAGTGCGCTGCGGTCGACGGTCGACCGTCGTTGGTCGTTAGTCGTTGGTTGTTGGTTGTTTCTCGCCGCCGCCGCCGCATCATCAACATTCGCATTCACATCCACATCTACATCCTCACTCTTAATGCCATTCATGGCACGGCAAGGCATTTACTCAATGCTATTTGCCATGAATTAGCACTTAAATGTTTTGACGACCAAAGTGAACGCAATACGGCAAGAATACAGAGACAGCGACGATTGCTGCCCGGCTTCTATTCTACAACTGACTTGCAATTCCTCCAACAACCCATTTCTGCACGATACTGTGGTCAGGTAGTCGTTAATTCTGGTTAGAGCATTATATTGGAAATTCGGAAGGAAGGAATATTCAAATTCGAGAAGTTAATAAACATGTACCTTCAAAATGAAATTTATTAAAAACAGATTAAAAACCCTTTTAATAGAACTGAACATTTTTAAATACCACCTCAAGTTTGTGAAAATAGCAATCAAATCATAGCAAAGTTATATTCAAAATGTGCATGGTTTGAGTATCAACATGTATCAAATAACCTTTAAACAGTTCAAAATCCCTTCTAATAAAGTTACTGAAAATATTCAATTATAGTTGTCTGTGTTAATTTTAAAGTATAAAGTATATCCAAAAGAAGTTAAGCAAGAAAAACCTATTTAGGATTCTTATAAGTTTTAATAAATTTGGTGCATTTTGTGTGTCGAACCATACCCTTATTTAATTCAATTCGTTTAGTAATTGGCTGCTTTATAACAATCGCTAGTACCAGTTTAGGCAGCAATTTCAGTTGAGTTTTGAAAACGACAAGAAAAATGAACTTTGTTCATTTAACGACTAATCGATTTTATTTTCAAGAAAATTGTTTAAAATCGAAAAAAAATCGATGCAGTCAACATCAAATATTTTACAACACTACATCAAAAATATATATGAGTATGTACTCCCAAGCTGTGACAAACTAATTGAAAACATATGATATATTCCTGAAAGTGTCTAACGTTCGTTACGAATTCACCAACAAAACCAGTTGTTATATTGCATCTTCAAAATGAACTTTAAAGCTTAATTCAAAGAATTGTGTTTTTTAATTACTTTTTAAAATGCTTCCAGAATGTCTATTAGTTTAACTCTTTTCGAATGATCTCTCCTAAATCTCTCCTGTTTATTAACAACCTTTGAAAAATAAATTATTAAAAATAAAAACTTTGAGATAAGAGAAAGGGCGCATAAAAAAAGTTTTTAATATTGCATCTTCAAAAGGAACTTTAGAGCCTAATTCGACGATTTCATACGTCAAAGTAATTTTTAATTATTTGTTAAAATGCTACCAGGATTCTAACATAAACATTTTCAAATTATTAAATATTAATTTATTAAGAATAAAAACTTTGAGATAAGAGGAAGACCGCGTTTAATAAATATTAAAGAATATTAAACAAACAGTCTCATATTTTATATTTTATTGATTTAAACTATATTATTTTATCATTGGCCACAATTTAAAATTGTTGCAACGAGATGGAAACTGCAAAAATGTTTTATATTGCAAATTTCATTGCCTTTTATGTGTTTGTTTGTTCTCAAAAATAAAAAATAAAAATAATAAAAAAAAAGTCACCTATTTCGCTGAGGGTCTTGCAGTTTATGCCAAAATAAATCGAATTTGAGACCATAGTGCATTTGCCAGCGCTGCTGTTGTTGCTGACACGCCAGGGGAGCCGCTGGCTGATGTTGACGTTGGCATGTTGCTTTTAGTTGCGCTTTTCAGCTGCCCTCATCTCGCAAAACTATTCAATTTCGTTTTGCAACAAAATTTGTTTCCCCCTCCCGTGCCTGGCCCAGTTGGTGGCATTGCACCAAACATCCCATTCCGCAAAAGTTGCAGGCTGGGTCTTTAAGCGCCATTCCGGGCAGCATTGCTAATTCGTTGCTTGTCGCCATTAAATGCTCGTTGTGGCGCAAACGCGTGCAATGCCTTGCAAATCCAAATCCTTCAAAAAAGCTAGACCCAACCACCACACCGTTAACCTGGTTTTTTTCCCATTTTTTGCTTATTCAGTTGGAAAGCAATCCGCTTGGTCGTCGGTTCTGGCTTTGGCAGTTGGGGTCGTTTTTGTAAGGATTTCTCGAGCGGACGACCCTTGCCTACAAATTGTCGCTAGAATTTTGCATAGTTTGCTGTGCCGATGCAAAAAAGTGTTTTCCCTGAAGCCAAAGTCCAAAAGTGCTGGCCATTTGTGGAGTGCGGCATGTGTGAATAATCGCCAACAGCAGCGGCCATTTGCGTTTGTTTGCACTGTTCGCCAAAAGCAACAACCACCACCCGACACCATATAGATGTGTGTATGTGTGTGTGTGTGTGTGTGTGAGTTTGTATGTATATGTGCAGGGTTAAGCCATTTGTGTAATTTGCACAAATGCCGCGCTTTCAATAAATTTGCGGTTACAAATTACCTGTACCAACACCAACCAGCATCAGTCTCATGTTTATGCAATAAGCAGAGCTTAAATTTGTGGCGCGCAGCACACACACGCACACAGTAAAAAAAAACCTCAAACCATCACTAAATTATTGCAAAAGTCACAGCCACAAAACTAATTTGTCATGCGTGGCAAGACGAACACAAACGTCACTCACCATCGACCTCATCCACGACATCCTATTGCCCTGGCCGTGGCCATCAACACCAACTCAATTAAAATGCACAAAATTTGACGCAAAGGCCAGTTCGACCAACACAAACATTCTACACAAACACACAAACAACCAAAAAACCAAACAAACATACACAATGTTGTTTATGCGCGCAACTAATTCAGAAGTTTTCGCATACAGAATGCGTTAGTCTAGCCAAAATATTTAAAAAGCTCTGCGAAATTCAAATTAAATGCAGTTTTAGGAATTTTAAAACACCAAGAATAAAATAAAAATAATTCCCATTTCCGCTTAAATTTCAATTAGCATTAATAAATGCCATAGAAATGCTTTCGAAGAACCATATTTTTATCAATTAAATCAAAATAACAACATCAATATCTTTTCTGCTTATTGTGTATAGCTTAGGCAATTTTAATTATTTTTTTTATTAATTTCTATTAAACACTATGTCATATGTATATTATTAAATGCTATGTCATATGTATATTATTGAATTTTTCTCCAAAATCAAATATTTTTCTTCTTTTTTTTTAATATATCTACAGTCCATTGAGAGTCAAATTTTTTACAAACACGTAAATAAATTTTAATAATTTTATGTCCACAATATTGAAGCAGAATGATACGAAAACTACTGAAGCGTCAATTTACTGAAAAATCACATTTAAAGTGTTACAGAAATACTTAGCTTTCTGCAGGTGGAATGAGAATGTATTTCAAACAGGGACCGCAAATAATGATTATTTTGTTATTTTTTTAAACGAACAAATCATTCACTTATAGTAACTTTGAGAAAGCGAGGAGCTTACAGATGTCCTTTTTTATGGATTATCTATGCATTTTCACCACGATTTATAAATTTATCAGTGATTTTTATCAGTAATTTTGAGTTTTACTTTAAAGTCAGAATTAATCATTAAATTGTGAGCGAAAGAATAAAATTAAAAAATAATCCAAACAATCCATGGCATTTCAATTTATAAATTTGAAGCCGAGATACTACTGAACAAATTAAAAGTAATAATATAAGCTCTTTAAGGATTTTTATTTCTATAATTTTAATTAAATGGCAGCTTTTATTTAATTGCTAAATAACAAAAACAAAAAATATTTATTGAACTCTAAAAAATATCAAATATTTTGGTTTCTATTTAAACTTCAAAATAGTTTCAAATTGTTAAAATTTGGCTTCGACTCAGTACATTTTTGAATTATTTGTATTTTTAAAATTACAATTATAAAAAAAAATATACTTATATTAACAAAAACGAATCGGAAAACTAAAACAAAAACCTCAGAAGTAGAAATGGCGCACTCTGGCCATCCAAATAAATGCATAAACTGCTTAATTAAAAACGATTTAGTTGTGAAACATTTCAAGCTTTAAATTAATCGTTTTACCTCTTTCTTTAATTTTATAAATACACATATGTTTATTGTGACGAGTTTAAGCAATCCATAAATTTTTTTAACAGTTTTGGTTTTTGCTTTGAACAAAGTAACTGAATAATGTGCTTAAATAGAGATACAAATCAGTAGCACAAGCAGGCAGGTGAAGAGTACAAAAAAATAATCAACTTGTTGCCAATTCTGAATAATACAACACATGACGCACCTTTAAAATTAGAATTATATATATTTTTTATCAGATTAACTTTAACGATACAGTCCAAACCACTCATTTTACGATCTCATTTCTGTTGATGCACATTTTCTAAACTTCAAATTAGTGTCGAATTACATCGTCTGTTGAGCTGAGCTCGTTAAGGCAGTTTGCCGAAAGCTTGACCATTGTCGTTTGGCCGTCAAGTGTCAATTGCCGTGTGAAATGTAGTCAAAAATCACGTAGCCGCCCCGTAGCACTAACGCGCAATAAGTACCTTCCTCTATACATGTACATACTATACGTTACATACCTATTTAGTAGCTGCAGCAGCCGCACAAACCAAATAGTTTACTGCAAATACTGTCCTTACTTCCTACGCTGCCTTTGTTCTGTCTCTCTACCCGCCTGTCGTAACTGCGCCCAAATACCTTTAATTTCCACTTAATAAGACACCGAAGAGTAGCACAGAAACCAGCCACCACCCACCACCCACTAGCCAATAGTCACTAGCCACTACCCACTAGCCATTTTACCATTTGGCGCCACCATTAATGGCGCTCGTTTCACTCACCTCGTACTCTCCATCACCTCTCACCCGCCCGCAGGACTACGTGACCGTATACGATGGCTATACGACGCGGGATCCCATCATTTTAAAGTTTTGTGGCGGCGGTCAGGCCGTCCCCGCCGCCGTGTCTAGCGGCCCAGAGCTCTTGGTTGAGTTCAACACGTCACCGTTTGGCACCTTCACGGGCACATCGTCGCAGGTGTTGCCTCTGTATGGCTTTCAGTTGGAGGTGAGTTGTTGCAATAATGCCAGCAGCTTTCCACTGACACTCTTCCTTTACTCTCCGTTGACAGGTCGAAGTGCAATTTGTGGACATACAGAGTCCCACGTACTCCAAAAATAAAAAACCTTGTGAGTTTTGGATACGTGGAGCTGGTCGCGGTATCCTTGAGAATCCGAAGCATTCGCTGGCACCCAACTCCACCTGTTTGTATCATTTGCAAGGGATTGGCGTTTTTAAGACCTTCGATCACTTGAGTTTGTCGCGTCGCACAAACAGCCAATCGGGTGGTCTTCACCAGCCACTGTCACGCTTTAAGGTGTGGATTTCGATGCTTAAGTTCAATCTAGATCCCGAGTTCGGTCAGATCGATGAGACGTCAGTGGGTGCAATAGGCGTGCTGCAAACTCAAGAGGATTGCAGCGGCATGCTTCGCATTTGGGATGGAGCGCTGCGAGAGCCACCTGTTTGCAAGGATCTCAACTGGTAAGCTTATTTTTTTTAAGAAACAACTAAACACTCTTTCGTTGAAATAGGTTCCACTTCCAATTAACACATTATTTTTTTTTTAATATTTAAATCACATTTGTTAATTACACATACGTATGTACAGTTTTTTATACCCTGTAACCCAACGGTTAAAAGGGTATATTAAGTTTGTGCAAAGTATGTAACATGCAGAAGGAAGCATCTCCGACCCCATAAAGTATATATATTCTGAATCAGCATGACGTCCGTCCGTCCGTCTGGATGAGCGCAAGGATCTCAGAAACTGTAAAAGCTGGAATAACCAAAGTTGGTATCCACATTCTCCTAGGTCCGAGAAAGGACGAGTGTATTATATTTTTTGGAATTTTTCCCCCTTCCCCCGCTATTGTCAATACTGTCCACATTTCAAAAGCTGGATTAACCAAACTATAATCTATATACAATTCTATAGTTTCGTTTTAAATTTCATTCAAATCGGTCATTTCTAAGAAAAGGTTTTAGTGAAACAATTTCAATCCAGTACTACGCCCACAAGCTGCAGCATCAAATTCGCTATTCTTCTTCTGTTATGTGCGCATATAACTAAATTCCGTAAATTTGTCTGGGTACAGGGTATTACAGGGCTTGCTCGACTGTAGCGTTCTCCGTTGTTTCTTATAGCCTCCTATGAAGCTTAAGCAATTTGATTAAAATTAATAATTTAACCAAATTTTGAAATTTTCTCCATTGGAATTAAATCTAAATTAAAGCTGAATTTAAATGAAAAAATAAAACTTCTAATGGGAAATGTGCCAGCCGTAAAATCTGGGAACAATAAAATTTATATCGATCGAGCTAGAACAAGATAGAACGCTACAGTACGCTACTGAACTCTCCACAAAAAAGGAAAATTAAAGAAAAAATATTTTTAAAAATTTTATTAATTTATATAACTTTCTTCAGAATTGATTGACCAATCATCATGAAAAAATTACGAGAGCTATGGAAAGAACAAGAAGTGTGGGGGAGTGGGGGGCTGCATCGAAAAAAAACTCAAACTCGTACTATCTCTGACTTAGGAGAATCTGGATACCAAGTTTGGTTATTCTAGCTCTTATACTTTCTCAGATCCTTTCGTTCATACGGACGGACAGATAAACAGACGGAAATGGCCATATCGTCTCGACTTGTCATCCTGATCAATAATATATATACTGTTGGGGTCTGCAATGCCTCCTTTTGTATGTCACATATATTCGCACAGAACTAACCTTTCAACCTTTGGGTACAGGATATAAAAATACTAGAATGGGAAGCGGGATATATGCACTTACTATATATATGCTAACTCCAATTCCAATTAATTTATAGTGCCTCTGAGTCCACAACCTACACTGCCTTGGGTCATTATGCACAAAACAGCACGAATGTTATTGCGCGCTTTTGTCGTGGCACGATTCCACGAACATGCGACAGATCCAATATAAATGAGACCTATGCCAGACCCTGTACAATATCGGAGAGTTATGTATCTACAAGCGATGCCATAACGCTGGAGTTACGCAACACAGAATCTACAGTGCTGAGGTGGGAACAGTTACTTATAAGAAACTCCCACTAAGCAGCGTATTAATAAAAATGTAACTATTTTTTAGACCACTAGATTTTAAGCTGAAGTACGAGTTCATTGATCTGCACCAGGATGGTTTGCCTCTGGGCGGAGGGGAACATGACTGTAATCGCAAATTTCTCAGTAGCCTGATGGATCGCAAGGACCCGGCAATCTTTCGCAGTGTGCGGAACATCTTCCTCTTTGGACGTGGCGGAACGCGGCACCTGAAATGCGTCTACAAATTTGAGGCACAGCGCGGCGAACGCGTGCGTTTAAAACTCCGCAAAGTAACCACCGCTAATCGTCCTTGCTATTCGCGGGTGGATGAGGATATCAATCGTTCGTTTTGCTACGGCGACTCAAACGTCCGCATCGAGGTAAAGATAATTCGAAAAAATTTTGCCGAATATCGTGCCAAATTATAATTTGTTTTGCAGATATTTGAACGTCCCTATCATGACTCCATTTTGCTGCATCGTGGCTGCCTGTGCAACTCCTCAAACCAATCTCATTTGCCCGTTGAATACACCTCCACTAGTCGGGATGTGGAAGTGCATTTTATAGCACAGAATATGACCACGCTGGACGATCCAGACACGGTCAATTTTGAGGGCATGTTTGAGTTTGTGAAGGCTCCGACGAGCTGCAAGGATGGGCGTCGCAAATTCGGACCCAGCGGCACCATAGATATGACCTTCGGCGATGTAAGTAATGACTGCTCCATTGTTATTGCCTTCTCACATATATTTCCATTTCGTAGATTGAGTGTCGGTCACGTCCTTGGCTGATAGAGCCCTCTAATGGCAATAAATTTCTGTATGTGCGTCTTAAGGCCATTTTCCTGAGCAAATACAATCCGAAAAAGACGCTGAATACCACATTCCTGCAGCAGGACAATGCCTGGCGTTGTGAGACCAAATCGCGTGCCGTACTCACCACAGCTGAGGGTAAGTGCTGGACTTGCAAATAATCGAATATATCCATAACTGTAGAGCCACTCTTATAGGACTTTCCATCACGGCCTGCCCGCTGAGCCCCGATTCGAATGCCTATGAATTTGTGGAGATCTTTAGCGCTGGCTGGAACGAACGCCCAAATTTTGCGCTTGTCAATCGCTCCAAAGCCATCAGCATCGAGTTTCTGCGTCCGGGCAATGGTGAGTTTACCTTCAATTGGATGGAACTGGCACCCAGACCTACGCTCAGCATAGCAGGTACGTTTTGGAACTTGTCAGCTATAGAAATTCTCTTAACAAACTAACTTTGCAGAGGACTGTCAGTTCAAGTGCGCCGAACTGGGCGCCTGTGTCAATGCGAGCGTTTGGTGCGATGGCGTCGTACATTGCCCCTCCGGCGATGATGAGGCGTTCCTGCAGTGCTCAGCGCTCATGAAGCTGCCTGCCGAGATTTTAGCCTCGCTCTGCCTCATCTTTGTGCTCTCGTGTTGTGCATTTGCCGCATTTGCTTACAAGTAAGTGGAACTGTAACTAGCAAGTTTAGTAAATTTACAAACGAAAACATATTTTGAACGATTCTCAGTTCAATTATATGGATATAGAGTGATATTTTATAAATGGTATATTTTAAAGGGGGATATAGCAAAAGAAATAAAGAAATGGAGATCAGTCGATAGCTAGTGACACATTGCAGCCGATTTTTATAATACATAATGATTTCTGAATTAATAGCGAACAACAAGACAAACTAAATAAAGAAAAATGTGCAGTGGAAAGCGACTAGTCTAAAATAATAGACATAGTTCCGGATAGAGACGATTTAGAAGAGAAGAAACCAGAGATTAATATTTAAGCAAATTAAAATTGGAACTTGAAACTGAAAGATAATACGATTATGAATATTTCTCAGATTATTCATTTAGTGAAAGAATAGTTATAATTTTCAGGAGACCAATTGAAAGACAATTGAATTCAAAACTAAGTTCTTAAACTATTCCGCTTGTTTTACAGAAAAATCAAGCGAAAGCTACGCGGCTCCTCAGTACTGCAAACGCGGCTCAAATCGCTGAGTTCGATGGATACGGCTGTGTTGGATGAAAAGGAGGTGATTTGCTGACAAAGCGACAATTCTGTGCGTTATGTTGAGATCGATCGTGTCACCACGGTTTGATTGACAACTGAAACTAACGTGCAGAATTGTGCCCCGGAACAGCAAGTAAAACATAACATGCGAAACGCAACAAAAATGATCAAAAGTCAAAACCAAAACCAAAACCGAAACTTTGTTCAAAATCAAAATCAAAACCAAAATCAAAGTCAACCTGTTCACCTGTTTTTAATGCATTTAACAACAAAACCAACAACAGCGGTATATTATTTTTTTGAAGCAACACACAAAAATGAACTACTCGTTAGTTTTATTTTTATGATTTAGTCAGGAAATATATTAATGATAGAAACAAATAGTTAATCAAAGACACAGAAGAGAGAGAGAGAGAGAAATTGCCGCCGCCGCTCTATTTGTAAGTTATTCTTAGTGCTCAATTGCATTGTGCAATTTTATAAGCAATTTTCTCTGGTAAACTAGGCGTAGGACTTTTTGACTAATTTACGTGCGTTTTTTACGTGAAATTTTCTAAATACTTATAATTTGATGATCATTTGTATACGCCAATAAGTTGTTTTAAGTGGCAATACTTTTCCAATACACTGTACATACTACAACACAACGGGTGCAACGTAGTCAGTAAAAGCTACATACTTACATGTATTGCTCCTTTAGTTTGGACTTCCATTAGTTTTTATATATACATACAAAACATATATAAAGCAGGGCGCTCATAGACCTATGTAGATACAACTGTTTCCTAATAGCCAATAAGTGAATGTACTACGCTAATCAAAATGACTAAACATAAAACTAATACTAATAATCAAGCATGTGGGGCGAATCAAGCCAAAACAGTTGAGGCCTGAACCAGTGAACAGAATGTTTTGGAGTTATCAAACCCCCTCAGCATTTATTATTCGGCGCACAAAATAAAAGTGAATAATTCAAGTAATTAATGTGGGAAACCGAATCTACATACAAGTATAACGTAACGTCAAGTAGTGTGTAAGTGAAAATGTTTTACATTTTAAGCGTGATGCAACTTAACGTAATAGAAAAACTATATAGATAAATCAAGCGACATCCTTACCAGAACCTATTGAGCACTGATCAGCAATCGAATGTGCATAGCCCGAAACGAGACGTTTCAAGAGAGCAAACAACTCTACAGATAGTGAACAAACAGACAACAAATTTGCACAGAAATTTAGAAATTAAATCACAAAGCAAGTATTAATATTAATTCAATTAAAATCAATAATATTTCTCCACAAAATGAAACATTTATATTTAAACAAATCCCCTGAAGCTGAACTTGTTTATAAATTACTAGTCCGTGTGATGAAAGGCTTTCAAATATTCCAATGGGTGAAAAAATTAACAGAAATAGTTTCTATTAGCCAGTTATGTGTTCCGCACTAAACATAGATTCGTAACGTCTTCATATTGAAGTAGAGATATCTTGCTTTCAACTTTATTTCTAAGTGTTGTATTAAAAAAATTATTATTAGTAATAGTTTAAGCCAGAAGGAATTTAAAAAACCAATAGTGTTCTATAGTTACAGTAAACAATATACATATTTCTTAGAATTTCCGGACAATTGTTTTTTCTAATGAGGCATGCGATAGCCCTTTTGGAATGATAAACTTATATAATAATTATTATTAATGTAAAAGTGTTCTCCAAGATAATTGCAACTTTATATGCTTCCAAAAAAATATTTCAATTCAATTATAGAAAGTAAATGAAATTTTAGGTATTTTCCATCGAATCGTTTATCAAACTGCAGAAAACTTTTCCAACCCATATTCTCTGACAATAAAAACTTGTCTGTTATACCTTTCTTAGACTGGAAAAGTGCTGCGGCTAAGCCTGCAGGTTACACAATAGGTCTGTACCCTTCTGGTTGTTTGAAAGAATTCTTTATTGTATGAAGAAGACACTGCAAACATGCTTGATTCAGCAACGAACTCCTCTGATTTATAGTACACCAATGGAAGGTAAGGCACAGTCTATGCAGTGCTGCATCTTTTAAACATTTTCTGCGATCAGGTTAAGGTCAGCACATCAGTCAAAAGGTTCTGGTAAATGCGCTCTAGTCTCTGCTAGCCAATAAATGTGCTATGCATAGTCAATATGTCAATATGTCAGTATACACGGTAGATGCTATTCGTTAGTTGTTTAATAGTCGTAGTAGTCGCAGTAAATATCAGCATAATCAAAACTCAGCCACGCGCTAAATACACTTTGTGGGCCCGGCTTGAACCCTCGAAATCACTAGACAAGCTTAAATAGCTAAATGAGGAAAAGCAGCAGCACCGCCACACCCACACCCAAAAACACAAATACAAACATAGCCACTCAGACCACTAGGCCAGACCATACAGAGGCGCGTTCAGCATTTCAAGTCACGCCCATTCTTAGTGTTGTTGCCATTACGAGTATGTTACCAATTGTGCACCGTTCGATCTCATGCCCATCTAACGCCTATCCCTGCACACCAAAAAGCTTCATGTTCCATGAAAATTAACATTAAAAAAAGTCAAAATAACTTTCAAAAAAAACAAAAATAGAAAACAATTGCATGGTAATATGTTGGCATGGGTATTATGGCAGTTGGCTTAATCGAAAACTTTTCTATTTTATATTTTTTTCTTTGAACAATATTTTTGTGTGACAACTAAAGAAAAAACTCGTCGTTGAGACCAAGGCTTGAGAGCAACTGAGCGCAACAGAACGACAACAACAAGGCTAAGGCTACAATTCAATTGAAATGTTATATTTATTTTTTAAAGAACTGTAAATATATGATGTGAACAAAAAATTGAAAATGTATAAATTTAATAAAATTGAACGCTGCGCGTTTTATTTCCGAATTATCTTTCATTTCATTTTGCTTTCTCCTTTTTTTCAAACGCAAGGTTAGTTTCAAGCTCAATCTGCAGACAGACATGCTTACTATAGAGTATAATGCATAAAACAATTTTGTATTTAAATCAAACTCAGACAATAAAGTTAATATTATTTTGTGCAGTTGCTATGTAACATTTTCAAATTAACTAATAAAGAACAAAAAGTAGTCAATCGTGTGAATCAAAATAGATGAAATATTTTTAAGATGTTCATAGAAAACTTCTCAGCTATACCGAACTGTAAGGCCATGGGAAAAGAGAAACAAGGATTATTCAAGATATACAACATCTTAAATAATTGATATAGACTTTTAAAATCAATATTTAATCTGCAATATATTGCTGAAGTTTAAACAAAAAAAAAACTAAAAACAATTCTTAAATAAAACATTTTAAGCCGAAACTAAAATGTTTAATTGAAAAACTAAATAGAAATACATTGAGTATAAACATATTTTAAACCCGAATTGGACATTAGAAATTGTCTATATATTATCTCTTCGTTTTAAAGTTTGTCACAATATCAAGCAAGACGAACAATTCTTGAAAATGTGCGCCGACACTAAAACCGAACTGAGGCGAAGTCCATTGCATAAAATTCACGATACACAAGCAATGAAGATGGATGAGCGCCAAAAGTAAGACCACATTAAATTTAAATTTTTAAATTAGTTTAAATTAAAACCTTAAAAACAAAACTAAAGTAAACCAACATAGGCTAAATTTCAAATGTTGAAAAAAAAATCATATCAGATTCCAAAATTAATACAAGTAAATGGAAATTAATAAATGAAAATTTAAATTCAAAACAGTGTCAGCGTTTGTGTTATTAAGGTTAAGGGCAGTGCACAATAAGGCTACAGCATTTTATTGAGTGCTGATGCGCTTTATCAAATTATCTATATTCGTTCGTCTGAATGGCGCGATTTCGGACACCAAACTACGTTGGATAACTTATCTAATATCTCAGCACATTTCTTCCAGATATTCACAATAAAGCTATTAAACTAAAGACTAATAAGGCCAAGATGAATTTTAATTTATTTTCTGACTAATTGAGGTTTACTTTACAACTCAACAAATAATAATTATTTTAATCAAAAAAATAGAACTCATAAAATAATGATTATTCCTTGTTTTATTTTTTTATCACGGAAGCTACACTATGCCCGGGGTGACATAGGTCTATACTTTATTTTAAAAAAAATAGGGGTCCTTACTAAAACTCCAATAATGTAACCCAAGATATAAAAAAGTTTTTCCAGCTCCAAATTTAAGCATAAAATGTTACATCCTTCTGGATGAATCTCTATGCCAAATAGCTTAGAAATTTTAATAATTCCCTGAAATCAAGAATTTGCACGAAAAGAACTTGGTTGTGTTCTAGAGTCATAGTGTCACATAGGAATGATACCGTCAATTAAACACTCTGATTACTCAAAAAGTACTCGGCCGAATATCGAAGGACACAGTTCATTATCCACAGGAATTTTTAAATTCCAAAACAACCACAAAATCAAAAACGAAAAGCGAAAAAAGAGCAGCTGAAAATACCGATGAATCATATAGTAACGAAATCTCTCGATATTTGAAAAAAAATATATATTATTATATTGTTCTAAAAAAAACTCAACAAATAAAAAAGCAATATTAACAAATATTTTTAAAATTAAAATAAATAAGTTTCAAAAAGTAATAAAACGTCTGCTTCGTAACTCCAACAAAGACGAAATGACAAATTTCTAACATAAAGAGCGATCTTCTTTCAAAATGTAACTCATAGAGACATTTTTGGCTTGGGTGGAAAGCCCGACAAATAAAAATAAAAATTGACGAATATTTTTAAAATCAAATTAAAGTTATATAAGTTTCAAAAAATAGTGGAACGTCTGCTTTGGAGCTCGGACGGAGACCGAATGAACAAAAGCGTTTTTCTAAAAAAAAGAGCGATCTTCTTCTAAAATCTAACCGCTTGAGACATATATAGCTTTGGTGTAAAACGAAACAAATAAAAAAGAAATATTAACAAATATTTTTGAAATAAAATTAAAATTAAAGCATGTAAGGTTTAAAAAATAATAAAACGTCTGCTTCGTAGCTCGGTCAGAGACCGAATGAACAAAATTCTATTCAACACACATTAATAGAATTTCAACGCATACTTTGAAAAGAAGAAATACCAAATTGGAATGCTGTTGCAGTATTGTAAGTACCTATGTACATACTACAATGTACATATGTTAGGTTTTCCAGTACTGGACACATATGGTAAATCATGATTAAGGCAATTTATTGCTAAATGTTAGTATTTGAAGTGCTTAGTGAACCTCACTTGCACTTGCCTCTATAACTTATAAGTATTTATTATTTTATATATGTATATAAATATTTGATTATAATTTACTCTATTATTGTATTATAATTACTACTAGCATTAAAAATATTCATGACGAATAGTATACGACACCTACACATTTCTCAATGCCCATAACTACTCAAGAAATTTCCTTTCGAATAAAGAATATAATTTTGAATAGTTCGTGGTTATGGCATACCTTATTTTCCACGCAATACACAAACTGTAGATAAATAGTTAGTAGTATCCATAGTGTTAGACAATTTCGTGCAAAATTCAGCTCTCCAGCTTTATCAGTATGGGTTTTTTGCTAATTATTATTAATCTTGATCTTGGGGCGATGACGATAAAGTAGGTAAACGACAACTCAAAGTTAGTTGCTTAAATATGTTGGAAATTGTGTGTCTTCCGATGGCGCAGGTATTGTAACCCCGCCTGTATCTACAGCCGGTTCGTGCGGCAGAGAATCGATACTCTCCAGCGGCATAAAACAGTCCACCGACATCTGGAAAATTTCACAAATGCTTTGAAAAAAATGAAGATCAAAATTGTATATCAATTTCTAACCTCGTTGCCTTTGTCATTTAGCTTGCGCGGATATTTAAAGTTTGTTGCCCGCGTCGCATCCATTGAATCCTCACAATTTGTTATCAGACCCTTGCGATGATCCTCCTTGTGGGCCAACAATGTGGCTGTATTTATGGATGTGAAGCTGCACATATCACAGCACATGTCTCGATACGCAGCCGCATGATTCTGGCGCATGTGACGCTTGAATGCATTTGCCTGGATGCAGGTATAGTCGCACTCCCGACATTTTAGCGTGTCCTGCTCTGGTTTGTGACGCTGCCGATGCTTGTGCAGGACACTAGGATCACGGGTCGAAAACTTACACTGCTCACATTGCAAGGGTTTCTCGCCAGTGTGCTGTCGCATGTGTATCTAGAAATTGAGAGAAAAACCTGGTAATGCCTTAATTAGACAACGAATTATAACTTACAATCAAACTGGCCTTGCGCGCCGTCTTTTTTCCGCACACATTGCATATAAATGGCTTAATTTTGTTGTGCACTGTCTTAACGTGCTTGGAAAGGGTCTTGCCATTGACAAACTTCCGATTGCAAATCTCGCAGGTCTTCTCCGCATAGTATTTGTTTTTATTGGCTGCTGTTGTCACAGGTGCTGCGACATTCGAAGGCTCTACACCCGATGCGCCAACTTTATTGGCATTCTCGGCTCTTCGTCGCTGCACAGCGCGCAAAGAACGAAGCACACGTGCTCGCCACTTCTTGTGCACACGCATGTGACGCCATACCAACACCGACACTGGCGATTTGTAATCACAGACAGGACATTGCAAGAGGTCTACGTCGATTTTATGTGTCTTCCACAAATGCGCCGAGCATCGCCGCCAATTCGGCTGATCTAGACCACATTCGCAGCAGCTGAAACTGGTATTCTTATGGCACTTGGCATGCAGAGCCAATTTGGTAGAATCCTGCAGCTTATAGGCGCAATTGGTGGTCACGGAACACCTGCAACAAATATACAATTTCATTTAATGATGAACGTTGCAAAACAGAATATCACTTACGGCAACTTCATATGAGCACGCAGAAGTATGCGAAAGTCCTTGAAGGGCATGGGACGCAGCTCAGGCCGAGATTCTGCAGGCGCAACTGTTACCACATGCGAAAATCGTGGTTCCGGCAAGATGGAATCGTTTTCCGACTTTTTCTTCAGTTCTTTAGCAGCATTGGCATTGCTTCGTGCCTTTGTTTGTGTTATGGGCTGATAGCCGTGGTAAAACATCATATGGCCACGCAAATCCTCCAGAAGATCATACTGGCGCAAACACAAGCTGCACACATAAATTATGCGTGGGGTTTCTGTTATTTCTTCTTCCTCTGCACGTGGCGTTGCATTGGGTGCATATTCAATTATATCTGTCATTTCCGAGGGGCACATCCCGGGCAGAATTGCAATTGGATTCCAATTATTGGAAGCCGAAATTACCAACGACAAGCATACGCTTCGATTACCACAAGCCGATACTCACGAACGTTTTTAAAGACAAGTTGGCAGTGTGGATTGTGCATGGTTTTTCTATCGATAACATACTATCGTTGCTCGTTGCTTGCTAACATTGTGAAAGGTAATTGTGAATGAAGAAGAACAAGAAGCAGCAGCGGTACAAAAATTGGCAAAACGTGAATTAACAAAGGAAAGCACAATACATATAATTATTTTCAAACAACGTTTGTTGCCTTGCATTGTTAACACTGTTGTCTCGGAGTGCTAGACATTGCGAACATGGGCAGCGCGCTGGAGAACTACGTAAATCAAGTTCGCACCTTGAGTGCCTCCGGTAAGCACGCCCGGCCTATGCCTATATCGCCATGAAATTGGCAAACAAAGGTGCTCGTTTGTTTATGCTTTTCTTTTCCCAATCTCGCATGTTTAGTTAGCTATAGAGAGCTGGCGGACGAATTGCCCGAATCGTTGTCGCTACTCGTGCGCAACTGGAGCATACTGGACAATGTGTTGGAGACGCTGGATATGCAACAGCACTCTCTGGGCGTCCTTTACGTGCTGTTGGCGAAGCTTCACAGCACGACGGCAGCGAATCCAGAACCAACACAAATAATCACGCTAATGCGAGACTTTGTAAACCGAGGCAATGTGGAGCAATTGCGCTTCGCTATATGCGCCTGTAAGTATAATTTCTAGTCGACCCCAACAGATAAGCCACCAAATTAAGAAATACACGTCACTTAATCTTCCATTATCTTCCCGGCACAGTTTACGAAGTGTGTCATCTGTTTACAGAGTTTGTAGTGCAAAAAAACTTGAGTATCTTAGGCATTAAAATACTATCGCGGGCTATTGAGCGTATCAGAGAAATGGCAACACAGCTAACGCCCATACACGCCGATCTCTGCCAGCTAAGTCTGAAGGCGAAAAACTTCAATTTGGCACTGCCTTATCTGGACACGGACATTACCGACATATCCACAGTGGCAGCCGAACTGAAAAATCAGCAACAACAGCAGCAACAGCACAATGTGGTGGGTGAAGATGTTAACTAAATGAAGTGATTATTTTTATTTACACTACAATTCTATTGATTGCAGGATGCGAACAACGATGCCAAGTACTTTTTGTTGTACTACTATTATGGTGGAATGATCTACACTGCCGTTAAAAATTATGAGCGTGCTCTCTATTTCTTTGAGGTTTGCATAACCACGCCCGCCATGGCCATGTCACACATTATGTTGGAGGCTTACAAAAAATTCCTCATGGTTTCACTCATTGTGGAGGGCAAGGTTTGTGTACAAAATATTTATTAATTTGAGGAAAATCTCTACTATAGAATATTACGGCTTACAGATAGCGTATATACCAAAAAATACACAAGTCATTGGACGTTTCATGAAGCCACTAGCGAATCACTATCACGACTTGGTAACAGTATACGGCACTGCGTCCAGTGAGGAACTGCGCATCATAATTTTGAAATATAGTGAGGTATTCACGCGTGATAATAACATGGGCCTGGCCAAGCAGGTCGCCACTTCTTTATACAAAAAGAATATACAGCGGCTGACAAAAACATTTCTAACGCTATCGCTCAGCGATGTGGCCAGTCGTGTACAACTGTCCAGTGCCACTGAGGCGGAACGTTACATTTTGAAAATGGTAATACTTCTTCAAAGGGAATTACTTTCCGGTATAATACTAAGATGTATTTTTTTTAGATCAAATCGGGTGAAATCTATGCAACCATTAATCAAAAAGACGGCATGGTGCTATTCAAAGACGATCCAGAGAAATACAATTCGCCAGATATGTTCCTTAATCTACAAACGAACATAACGCATGTGCTGGACTTAGTTAAACAAATTAATAAAATGGAGGAGGAGATTATGTTGAATCCTTTGGTAAGTCTGGCAACAACATCGAACCAAGACGAAATTCAAAAGTTGAGCAATAAGAATATCCATACATATGTATAAGTATGATTTAAGTATTTGAGGCAAAATATAATTTCTGGAATAGTCAATTATACTGTTAGATTGAATTAAATTTTATAGCTGGCAAGTTCAATCAGTATGTTATAGTGCGCTCTAGTAAGTTTTTTATAAAAATCTAAATTAAAATATTAAAACAGTTAGGGAATATAACATAATAGGGGAATCAAATTTTTCCTACAAAAATTACTCCAAAATATGTGAAAATGTATTCTTATGTACCCGAATGGTGAATAGGTATAAAAGCCTAAATGTGTGTAAGCAAGAGTAGAAATAATGGCATGTTATATATATCGCTCCATCCGTCTATTCGACTGTATAAACACCGAGAACTTCTAAGCCGTACCAGCCAAGAAGCCCAAACATTATTTTGTATTTATTTTTAATTTATAAAGAAAGGTATATTGTCGAAGAAATAGACTTAATGTAGTATTCGAAGGATATATGATCAGAAAATTGTTATAATTGGAGCACAACACACGAAAGGAAAGAGGAAAAGAGAATTTTTTTTTAAAGTGTCACTAAAGCTTCTAGCGACACGATAGATGATAAAAGGCCTCTCTAACTTAAATTTTGTTCTAAAAGATCACTTTGAACTTATTTAAAACAAACTTCTAATTTGTAAAACTCTTATATTGCTTTCACTTTTAATTGCAGTATGTGAAAAAGGCGCTTGGCAGTCAGGACGATGACTTGACGTCGGAGCAGGGCAAGACTAATGCGACCTACCAGCAAACCAATAGCCAGATCTTTAAATTCAAGGATTCTACGGATTGATGATATCGTCACACGATGCTCACAACAATCAGTAAATCCACCAGCAATCACAACAAAACCAACAACAACATCAGCAGCTACAACAACAACCATAAGGCGACTGCAAAATTTCTACCAAACGCTGCTGCCCATTTGTTGCGTTGTTTTGGCCGCAGTCTAATGTGTTGTACACTCAAACTCAAGTGTTATACCCAACAGCCATTACAACAAAAACAACAGCCGGAACCACAACAATCACACGTACGCAACAACAAAAGAAACACCAACAAAAACACTACACTTAAGACACTGAGTAACAAGTATTTTTGGCAGAAACTTTGTAAGTAAGCGCCGAGCGCCAATCGCTGCTGTTATAATCTTTGTTTTTCATGTCAACGCGCAAGGCCCTGGGCACTATCTAAATGATATTTTCCCGAACTCCAATTCAACAACCACTCACTCAAACATACGCATACAAAACAATACACCGTGCGCTAATTGCAAATTGAATAGAAAAAGAAAAACATGCTATTTTAAATAAACTATGTATAAATAATATATTCACATTTGTCGGCATTTATGATCGCACCACCATCACCATATTCGTCGCAATCAATTTTTAATCAATTTTTGTCCATTTATTGATTGCATTTTATGCCAATTCGTTGTTGCTCCGAGTGGGGCGATAAAAGTGCGCCATCGCCTTTTTGTGGCCCACAGTCAGGCAAAGATAAGCCCCTACTCGTCCGATAAGTTCCCATTATTAGCACATATTTCGATCATGCGACACTGCCACATTGTTTTTACGACATAAAAGAAAACATTCGCTTTGTCTAGACAGAATTCGGATATGTTGTGGTTAGGCAACAGCAACCTTGTGGAACACCTTATATTTGGCACGTAGCATCTATACTTTTCAATGCCTTTGTTGATGAAGACAAACATTTGGGAATCTCTCAACATAAAAATAAATTGTTCTTTAATTTGTTAAGAGAAAGCAACATACTTAGTTCTAGCTTCAGACCATCTCGTGGATTCTCTGAAATAAAACCACTTTTTTACACATTTTTTGGGACTGTTCATATTATATTCGTAACCTCTTCATAAGGAATTTTCTCTAAAGCAAAATTAGAGGTAGCTCTCGATTTCCGGTAAATAATTTGCTCACATATTCTTCAAAATGTGGAAATAAAGAATAAAAAGTAAAAGTTTTTTTAGATTATGGTTTTTAAACAAAATTGAAAAAAAAAATTTTTTAAATTTGACAATTTTCATATGTGTAAATATTCATCATAGCGTTGACTTTAAAGAAAAGTTTAGTTAATTTATAGACGTCTAATAAAATTGTTTCACTTAAGTGATTGATATTATCTTGATCAAAACACCAGAAATCGGACTAGCTACAGAAAATTAGAAACAAAAAACCCAAATCTAGGAAACCAGTACATTAAAAATTAAATAATTTCAACGACATATTTGTAAAAAGATTTTGAAATTGTCTAATAAAATTGCTTGACTCAAGTAGGTGGGGCGCCATAATACCTATGATATAGAAGAATATGACTAGTTCTTTGTGTAAGTAAACTAACCCTGATCTTATCTGATTGCCCTTCTACTATATATTGCAAACAATCAATATTAATTGTTAAAGTTAAGGTTAAATTTGCCAAGAACAAAATAATATGATCTTTTGATATAATTTTTCTGAATAAGTAGTTCCTTCGTTGCAATCTTTCTTTCACTTTAAATGGGGGCTGAGCATCAGAAGAACAATTCTACAGGAGAGCACTTATTCATGTGGTAGTTGTTGGAATTTCAACTTTATGAAAAATATAGATTTCAGGACTGGCCGACTTTAAGCTTCATAATCAAGTGGATCGATTATAAAAAAAAATACAGATCAGAAGTTTTTCCAAAAGAAAATACGGCCAGAAGTACATTTTAGAGACTACTTATAATACAATTTCTAAAAGTTGGTATTTACCAAATAGAGGGGGGCGTGGCGGGCCCCATTTTAAAAATATATACATTATACATATATAATAAATCGATATAATCGGACGTACAGATTATATGTCCGTATGTCCGTTCGTCCCACTGTAGGGAGCTCGAGAGGTTTTGAGCCAAAATCTAATTCAGACGCAGACCAAGTTTAATTCAAACCATATATAAATTCGTTTATTTTTATAGCTGCTATAGAAACGATCGGTGCAGAAATGAAATAACGTTTTGGATTGTTGCGATGTTGATGACTTATTTGAATAGTCATGGGATTTGTAGAATGCTTCATTACATATATACAAGTATATTCAATATAATATTTGTACAATTTCGTTCATCACGAATTATGGATTTTGACTGCTGGCTTTTGGGAACTAGTACTGCCGGCTTTAGTGATATGTTCCTATTTCATTGAATTTCATTAAACCGCATTTGGATAATTTATTTTTTGTAAGAGTCGAAAGGTTCTGAATGGTTCTAATGAATAAACCATAATGTAAAATGTTAATGATCATTTTTTGTAGAATTCACGATACAAGTTGCACTCGAGTGCAGTGCAATTGAGACCCAATCAAGTCGAATTATAGTATTCCCATTTGTTTGCTAGTTAGAGCCCGTTATTAGCTATGAAGCTGTATAGCGGTTAAGGTTAATTTATCATGGAAGCCGATACAACAGACTAATTAAATGGCGCGCAATCTAGCGCAGCCCTTATGGATGTAATAAAGCGTCATAAACAAGCATTAAATTGATATCAATAAACTCGATTTTATTTACAATTACAGGGTAGGTAACAGTGGCCATTTGTCAGAAAATTTGCCGTGCTGCTTTACTTATGTATACAAAATAGAAACTACAATTACCCCTAAATGAGAAATATGGCTATTTAAAGACTAGACTAGACTGGCCATTACAGCATTAGGCCAGTTGTTATTTCATATCAACAACTATCGCGAATATGTATGTGTGTTTATATGTATGTACATAGGTAAGTAGATAAGTACTGCTCTGGTCTGGTCTGGATATGTAAGTGTTAAACAAGCGCCATAAGCTTTGCCGGCAGACACGCAAACAGTTCCAGTTGCACTCTGAACCGTGGCCTGAGCTGAGCCGTTGTGTTCTTGTTGTTGTGATCGTTGGTGCTAGCTTTTTTTATTGTATTTTTTTTTTTTGTTGTTTTTAATATTTTGCTGTTTGAGATTCATGCGATGCCCAGCTGCTAGCCGATTGTCTAACCGGTTTTCAAGGCGTTCAATTCCACACTGGTTGTGGTCGTCGTTAATGGTGCTGCCGCTGATGTTGAAGTTGTGGGTGGTTGCACGCCCTCCTCGCCCATGGGTCCATATAACTTGTGCACCACATTGACCAAAATAAAGCAAACGATCAGCACCAGCAGCGACATAAACACATACGCCAATACGAGCGGCGTATCCGAAATGGGATCAAACATTTTGCACCCGTTTTTGAAAGTGAAATGAAGTGTTGTACGAATTGAGTAAATTCTATATGTATGTATATGTAATTCGATGGAGCTCTCGAACTCAAATGATGTTTGACAACAAACGCAAACGCTCCACACACACGCACGTACACACTAAATAAGGCTGACAAAGTAAGACACACGCGTATGCTAATTTCTGTTCTTTGGTTTTTGAATGAGAACGATACGATGACGACGATGCTACGCTCCTCCAAGTTTCTCAAATGTGTGCTTCAACGGTGACACCTGCATTGGAACTGCGAGTATTGCGCGTGAGCAGCTCAATTTAATAATATGTGGAGCTAGTTGGTTGGGGGGCAGAGCTGGTTGCCAGATTGTTCGAACCGGCACAGCCAATTTTTCTGATAAGCTACACACAATCGTATTACAAACAAGGTTTATTTCAGATAATAACTCGCTGCACATTTTCTAACAACAAAAGTAAGACGATAATGGTACTTATATTGAAAAATATTTCTTTTATGTTCCATTCCTACTCAATAGCTTAACCCTTTAAGATGGATGAGGCATACTTTTCGGTTTATCCAGATTAATTTACAAAAATAATGAATAACGTGAACAAATTGAAGAAATTCAATTCGGTAATTCCAGAATTAATTACATAAATATTGAATAACGTGAACAAATTGGAGAAAAAACCCATTCTTACCATTTCATTTAAATAGTAATCTCTGATAGTATCAAGAAAACCTGGTCTAAAATGAAACATTTCGATAAGTGTAATTATCATCCTAGGTATATTTTTAAAATTTAAACGGAACAAATTTGTATTGGAAAGGCAAAGATTCCTGGCACAGTCAGTCCCTTTTATAATAATGGTTGTATTAGTTCCAATATATCCATATGTTACACCTAAATATATTTATATTTAATACTTTTTAAAGGATTGCAGTTGTTCTCGGAAATTGTATTGTTTCAAAAGTTTTGCATTTGCGAAAATTAAGTGTAAGAATAATTTTAATAAAACCAAGTCAGAATTATCGTAACAGAAATTATAGCTAACTATATTATAAATTCTACACCAAAAAACTTTCCTTTTATATTCTACTGAAAAATTCATAAAAGTTATAATGTATGCAGTAGACTTGGCTTAAGTACGACTTTAAAGAGCAATCCATTTCAGCGAGTGGCGTTTGTCTTCAAAGACTAACTAGTTATGAGTAAATGGAACTTAAGCTAATCTCTAACATGTAATGGAATTCGGAGCATTACACAGATATCTGGCAACCTGCTCAGTTCAGCGCGCGTTACTCAATTGTAACAGAAAATAAGCTCTCAGAATCGAGTGGCGCTCATTTAGCCTGGAAGGTTGTCGATGCGCTTGTTGCTTTAATAATAATAATAATAATAACATTCATTGAATTGTATATTCACATTCCGGCCAATCACAATCAGCAATCAAATCAACGCCGTCAGTATGTCGTTTTATTATGCTTCTTAATTGGGTATGTAAATAAAAATAGAATTGCTGGATTGTGTACCCACAAGTATATACAATTATATATGTATACTATATATGAGGGTGTGCATGTATGTGGGCAATAAAAATTTGAAAGATCTGCGCGCGTCACAACATATTCTCCCCCCAGGGCATAATAACTTGAGAATTTATTTTGGAGGGGAGCATTACAATCAGTCGAACGGAACTCAACTGATAAGCAGGTGCGCCGCTCTGAGTTCGCTCACGTGAGAGAAAACCCACAGTCGGTCATAGTTAAAACGCCTTATCTTATCGCTGACAATAAGATAGACAAACAATTCTTTACGGTCATTATGATTTAAAATTGTATGCCGAAACACCAGACCAAAGTCATGCGCACTCGGCTTTTGCATGCCCTTAATAATATAGTCAAACATTTTTGAAAAGTTTTTGAAATTTAGTATGAAAGCTACAAGGCATAGTGCACCGATTTGAATGAAACCTTAAACCAGGGACTGTAATCATTATAAGTGTTATTAAAAAAATAACAAAATAATGATTATTTTTCAATTTTTATTCATTTACTAAAAATTTAATAATTATTTTTGGGAGTTACTTTAAAAATTAACCAATAATTATTATTTTCGAGCAGAAAAAATAAAACTTAGAAAATAATGATTATGTTTTAAGTTTTATTTTTTTTTTTTCTCAAAAATAATAATTTTTGGTTAATATTTAAAAAATATAAATCATAGATAGATAATCTTTAAAAAAGGATATCTGTAAAGATCCCGCTTTCTCAAAGTTACTATAAGTGAATGATTTTTTCGTTTAAAAATAACAAAATAGTCATTATTTGCAGTCCCTGCTTTAAACACATTATTACAAAATTCCAATTACTAAGTTTCGTTTGGATATTGTTATAAGCAAAGTCAGAGTTATATAGTATATAAATTTTAAAATAAACTTGTTCTGAGTATGGTGTTCCTGGTTTTTATGGCATACAGATAATATGTATGAATGAATGAGTGGTGCCACGCCTTTTCCATCTTATATGCATGTAAAAATTTGAGTACTCCCCACCAACCTTCGGGTGCAGGGCATCAAATTGTCCAAAAACCACTTATTAATTGAACCTTCAAATTGAATTGCCGCAAAACTCGAGAATTCCATTTTAATTTAATCCCATATTAATGAGAAGCTTATTGCTTGAAACTTTGCACCCAGCAAAAGGTTTTAGCACTTAAGAGTGAACCTAAGAGTTTAGATCAAACACCTTCAGACCTTGAGGCGCAATTAGCACAGTTTTCATAGTTTTTGTATTATTTTGGATGAGCCACAAACACGAAAAATCGAAGCAACAAACAATAAAAATAAAAAACGAGTTCTACAAACAAAGCTGAAACTTAATTATAAATGTAAATGAGTTCAAGATATGCGACTTTTTGCTTCGCCAACTATTTTTACTCTTGCTTTGGCGGAACTTGCTGAGATCTTGAACACTGTGGCTGTGGTTGTGGCGGGGGCTGTGGCTGTGGTTGTAGCGCATTCCATTGTGGTGCATTCGCCTGTGCCGGATTGGGTCGAAGCGAAGAGAATCGACGGGTCGCCTCACTCTCTCGCCTGCTCCTTATTTGAAAACCATCAGAGCTGCGTACAAATCGTATTCCCATAGCATCCGTGATCACATCGTCGATCATATGGCGCATATTGTTCGACATTTCCAATTCCATGCAATTCTGGCCGGCAGTACGGTGGGGAATTTTGTTCAGATGATCATAGTACTTGATTATATGATATTTTGTGATCGAGCTCACAGATCTCGATGGCATACAATCACACACACAATCGCATCTCAGACTAATCGCCCGTTGATCGGACAATGGGATCACATCGAATTCGATACAAGCTAAATAACAAGGCTCCAGGGAGAGCAGAAAGCGCACTGTAAATTCGATTTGATGGGAACTGTAGTTGCCATTATACTTTCAGGAGAACTTACCAGTCGTTGATTGATAGATTTGCGAACGATTATGTATCCATATGGTCCGATTGCTGGACTGGATCCCAAACTGTTCAGACTGGGTGCGCGAGCGCAGCTGGCCACTCAACATCTGTATGCCACCTATGCCGGTGGTTGAGCCACCTAGCGGCAAATTGTCGTATATGGAGATATAGATCTTATGGCTAATGTACACGACTATGAAGCAGAGGATAATGATAAGCAGCAAGATCAGACAATAGGTGAATAGTGTGGGTATAAAAAAGATGGCGTCGAGCAACATTCGTGCCAACGAATTTCGTAGCGTGGGAGTGGGACTGCGTGTGTGTCTCAAAGATCTGTCACGTTAGATTTTACAAGTGCGATCTGCCAAGTTTCTGTTTTGTACTATATATATAAAAAGCCGAAACCCTCAAGCAGTGAAAATTTGTTTACTTGTCAGTCTACTTGATGATGAAAATGTGCCTCTCCTTCGAAACTGCCTATGTAGGTACAGGCCTTATCTATAGTGGAAATTAGGTGTTAACAAACATTTAAATATTGGGTGCTAGAAGGTTGAAGCACTTTATCTCATAGATGACACTAACAGTACAAATCAAATGTAAATGAAATCTCCATGAGCTATCGAGAGATTTTTGGAAAAAAAACTCCACTTTGAGTTCTTGCTTAGCTAATTCAATCAATTGATTATATATTGCTATATAGAAATATCACCAAAAACAACCGCTGGTAAAATCAGAGAAAGTACTTTTTTTCTTAAGATAAATCATATCTTTGCTGATGTTAAAGCTGCTCAACTTCACTTTATCCTGTGGATTGGAAACCGAAAGTGAAATTGTTTCCAATAAGCTAACTAAAATATATTACCACCTGATCTGAAAGAACTGCTGTTGGTTTTGGATCAACAAATATTTTTGTCGTTCTTTATACAGACGCTTAAGATCGTAGAAAGATAAAAAGCATTTATGTATCATCTCAGACTTGAAAAGGGACTCTCTTTTTTTCAGAAATTTAAAAAAAAAAAGAATATTTCTACTTACAACCAGAAATGTTATATAAATCATGAATCGAAAATAAATAAAGTCTTCAACTAAATTTTTTAAATAAAATAATGCAATTTATCTATAAATAAGAAATCTTGTATGCAAATAAGTTGTAATATCTTCTGCATAGGTAACAAAAAATTAAAATTAAGGAAAGTTCAAAGAACATGTACAAGGCATTTAGAAACATCTCGGGATCGAAAATAAAGTCTTACACAATGTGTTTTTTTTTTTGCAACATCTATGTAAATGTATTTATTTCTGCTTTATTTTCATTGTATTTTTAATTTATTTATTTCCTTTTTTTGTTTTGTTTGGTTTGTTATACATACGATTTTACATTGATAATATTAAATTGTTTAATTTACTGCCTGCTTTTGTTTGTTGTTTGCTTTAGTTGTAATGCCTTCGCTAAATTGCTGCACTTAATATAAAGTTTTTCAATGCCTTATAACTCAATTCATCAGATTTCAATTCGGTATTTATATGTATATATATACTCGACTTATACTTTTTGTTGCTTTCTAGTTATTTAGCCTAAGCCTAACCCGCCGGCGGGTACTTCTCATAAATTTTTACTTTTTAGTTTGCACACTGCGCTCCACTAAAATAAACCCTATAGCTGGACTTTTTATGCTCGTTATTGTTTTTTCTGTGCAAAAAGATCAGTTGTATTAATTTTTCTCTGTGCATGTATGTATGTGTGTGTGGGTGTATGTATGTGTTTGTGTGTGTATGGGTGCAGCAACAACAATTGAATATACATATGTGTTGTGGTTTGTTTGATTGAAGGTATATAAGCTTTATATACTATATACACAAGTGTTTGCTGTTAGTTTTTGTATGTTTTTTTTTTGCTTTTTTGCAGATGTTTAAATGCATCTTCTCGTTTGGGTTCTTTTGTTTCGTAGAAGCCTCACACACACACACACACACACATACAGAAGCACATACGCACAGACATTGCTGAGCGTTGTCTTTGTCATCGTCATTGTGTTGTTGTTGTTACATTGTTTTTGTTTCGTCCTGCAAGCATAAGTAGTTTAAATTAATTAAATTATTTTACATTTGTTTACTTGTTAAGGTTCTCTTTTCTCATATTTGGCGCTGTGTGGCAGTTGTTTGCGTCTAAAGCAACCTTCAAGAAATGCCATTGTTATGTGTGCCAATGTTAACAGAGTATAACAGTTTAACAGTATAACAGTTAAAAAAAGCATATTCATTCCATTGCACAAAGCTTAAATTAATTAAATTAAACAATACATAACACGCTGTCTAAAATAAGCAAATAAAATATTTAACAAAAAATACAGCAAATGTTTTCCTTTGTTTTTGTTTAGTGCGAAATTATAAACCTATAAATATAAAAGTTAAACTTTTAGTTAAACAATTTTGTGTTTTTTTTTTAAATTGCAGAACAAGACTGCCTTACCATTTCAATTGATTTAAAAATTTATAAAATGTGCTAGAATTTTGGTTTAAAAATAATTTACTAAAATTATTGTTGGTTTATGTTTCCATTCTTTTTTTTTTTTTTTTTTGGTTAACAACAATCAAATTATTTTTTGTAGCTTCATTTGTATTCTGCTTATATATTTTTCTTTCATTTTTGTCTGCGTTTGTGTAAGTATGCATGTGTGTGTTGCCAGTTTATAGCTAAAATTGTTGTTATTTTCATCTTTTACATTTGTTAAAAACATTCAGATGTCCAATGAATATTAAATTAATCATTTTGTATTTTTGTTTTGTTTTTTCCTTTTGGTTTTGTGGCAGCATGTTCCGTTAAAGTTTGTTGAGAAAAACAGTCGTATGTAGAAAAGAGTGTGTTGTAGAAAATAGTAATATAGAGAGGGTGTGGCAAAGTTTTCGAAAGTGGGCGAACAAGTCTGAAAAATATAAAGCCGAAGTGCTGTGATGTTAGTGGCGAGTATGGGAACATGCCACGCCCTTTACACAGTGACGCACACACACATATACAAATAGGTATGTAAATCAGCACAACATACAGAATTTTATAATTAACATGTTTTCCTTTTGTTTTTCTTTGTATTTTATGCTTTCCTTGTTTGTTTTGCATTAAATATTACACAATTATATAATTTAAGTTTGCCGCTTTGCTGAGCTTTTTCTCAATCTCAATTACTTTTATTTATAGTTATGTATATTCATATGTTTGTTGTTGGTTTTTAATTATTTTTTTTCTGGCATGCACTGCGTTGTTGTTGTTGTTGTTGCTGTTGCTGTTGCTTGGTGTGATAGCTGTTTCTAATGCTGTTGTTGTTCTCTGCTGTCCTAAACGGACAATGAAACGAAACTATTATACTGCGTTATGTTGCGTTTGAGTATATCTGCGCAGGGACCCAAAACACGTTCAAATCTAAATGGAGAATAGAAGCATTAAGTAATAAGATGTGGTTTCGTCAGCATTTTCTCATTCTTTTCCTCTCTCCTCCACAACGTTTCAAACTCACCTCGCTCTGTCCAATTTGACACATTTGAGCGGCCCACGGGCCACCACAGTGGCTGCACGTGGACGATCCAACAACAATGCAATCTCACCAAAATAGTCGCTGGCACTCAGGCGACCCACCTCGGCGGGCTCGTCACCCTGCTGCAAATACACAAATGTAGTTTACAAATTATTTTACTACCATTAAATATTTTATTTAGTAAAAAATAATATCCATATTTCAATAAAAAATTTAATTAATTTAATTGGAATTGGAATTGGGACTTGGAATTTAGAGCACAGCTCAGAATTATGTGACAATGTTTATTCATTCCGAAGCTCTTGATAACGACTTTCCATCGCTTTTAATGAAATCATTCATCATCGTTATCAATTTAATTTTCATAATTATCCAGAAAGACGTGTTCTCTTAGGTGGTTTTATTAAAATGTTCAAATAATTTCCGAAGCAATTTTGCGTAAATTTTAAAGTATTTTCATTTCCATATTTTGTATTTACTGCGTATCCGGCTTGCGTTGCTGCGCCACTGAATTATATGCTTTTTAAGCTTTCCGACGTCACATCTTTCCCAATACCTCCTTCGCTTTTTATGGCTTCGATTAGACCGCCATCCACCTTTCTTGGCCTGTACAATATCCATCGCCTCCTGTTTGTGTTTCGTAGGTCAGATGTGGAAGCCCTTGCGCGCATTGCCCAAGTCGCGACTCCCGTTCTTGTTTCTTTTTTATGGCTCTAGAAGTGGATGCCTTTCGCGTATTTATCGAAGCCGCGACTCCCGTTCTATTTCCGTTTCTATATCCATGGCTTTAGATGTGGATGCCCTTTCGCGCATCTACCGAAGCCGTTTCTATGGCTCGAGACGTAGCTGCCCTTTCGCGAAAATCTTGCAAACGTAATTCACGTTCAACGGCATTTTCAGTTGCTCCTTTTTTCGCTTTTTTTTATTTTGTGTTTTTCTTTTTACCAATTGATGCTTTTTTGGTGGGATTTTTTTGTATTCGATTTTACAATTTTGTTATCTACGAATGAAACACTGACAAACAGAGTAAAAAGTGACCGTCAAACAAATGAAAATGATGGTGGATCGCGTTGAAAAATCGGCACGAAACCTCACAGGTGCACCCATTGCACTATTTTGAATATTGACACAAAATTTGATCAATATCGGTTGAGCAGATTCAGAGTCTATAGGGAATATACATATACACATTCTTCCATTTTTATATATAGATAGATAGATTCTCTATATTTTGTGCACCGATGACATTTTTTTATTTATTGCCATAATCGGCAGTAAAATTTCTTGTATTTCATGATGTATTTATTGAGTGGCTTTCATGGCTAATCACGGTATTTTTTTTAGCTTTCCACGATCACACGGATTTGTCAAGTTTATACTCATATGTATACATTTTTTTGCGGAGGAAATTAGGTTGTTAAATTAACGGAGTTTTGAAAAATCCCCCATAGGGAGGAGTGAGGGGGTGAAACAAGAAAATAAAATATATTCTCTAAGATCTAGTGTTTACACGGACAGACGGACAAGACAAAATACCCTCGTCTTGTGATGCTGATCAAGATTATATAGATACTTTGTGGGATCTGCCACGCCTCCCTCTGCCTGTTACAATTTTCATCTCCCGCAAACCTAATATACCCTTTTTACCCTACGAGTACAGGGTATAAAAATAGTTAAGCTATCTCACCTCTGAGCGCCGTTGCAAGACGACCGCGCAACCCTCCAGTATAATGTAAAAGTCATCACCCGCCTCGCCCTGCTTTACAATGGTCTCGCCATCTTCAAAGCAAACTGTCTCCAGTGCATCGGCGACTGTCAGACGTTCCCATTTGTCCAAGCTCTCCAGAATGGAGACACGCGACAGGAACTCCTCATACATCTTGCGCTTGCGTATGGTCGAACCCATCAGAATGCGTCTGTAGGAATCGCGATCGATGCCCCATAATTTCACATCGGTCTTGGCGCGCACAGTGGCCGCTCGTGGTGTGCCATAGATGAGAGCCAGCTCACCAAAGCTGCCGCCCTCACCAATTGTGGTTACCAGTTCGGAGTTAACGAAAACCTGTAATGTAAAAACGATGCAATTATTTTCGACTGTTCTCGGCACTTCTCACATTCTCACATATGATTCGGATACTCACCTCCACCTCGCCCAAATCAATCACGTAGAAATTGTCACCTTCGTCACCCTGCTGTATGATATTCTCGCCCGATTGGTGTGTGACCGGAAACATAGCGTCGAATATGTCAGATCGCTCGTTCTCATCTAAATGTGAGAAGAGCACATTCTTGGCAATGGCCTTAGAGAGTGCGGCCATGGTTTTGTAATCTTTCGGTACGACTTTCTTAACATAATTAGTGGCGTCCTCCTCGGTGACAGGTTCGGCGGAAATGCCGCCACGTCTACGCACGGGTGGTGCAGCAGTTTGTGGCATTGGACTGAGATCGTCGCAATCGTCTGGGCTGATTACCTGTTTGCTGGCATCCAATTTGACTTGCTCCTGTAGCATAAAGAAAATATAATAATCCATTTAGTTTTCGTCTACTTAAGAAGATTTATAATATATATAATATATATATAGTTAACTTATAATTAAACTAACATAGAAGTTTTTATAAACATTTTGCAGAAACTAATGCTAAATGCGCAGAATTTCTCAATATTGTAACATGATAATATTGATAATTAATTACTCTTTTGTCAAGATATTACAAAAAATAAATTGTAGTGTCCGAATTACAAAATCTAAACTATAGAGTAACAGGATTTCCAGTTTGCAGCACGTACCGCACAGCGATTGTCTGAATAAAAGAAATTGTAAAAAAAAAATAATAATAAGGCTATATTTGATTTGTAATAAACTTGCTCCGCATATGGACAAGACAAGTTTACAGTCCAAGTTTGCGCCGCTTGCTGTCATGGTTCGATAGTTCTGTGTTTAAACGGACGGACGGACGGACTAGCGGACATGTTTGTAGAATATTGATTCGCCTCATTCACTCGTATGTATGTACATTTGGTGTTTAGATTTTCTAGTACCCTTAACGCTTCGGGTATAGGGTCGTTTGCACTGTTGGCACATTTATTAGCTGTTACCCAAAAAATTAAATCATTATATTTCACGATTCTCCATTACTAAAGCATGAATAGAAGAATGGGGAGAATGGCCTCCATTTATAGAATTTATTCTAACAATATTATACATGGATTTTACTGAATTTTTATCATTAATTATAATACCAGCACATACACATAAGTGATTTCTATTGAAGTACTTTAAATTTTCGTGTTGGCTGCTTGCGGATTATTTTCTTTAATTTTTTAATTATTATTTAAAGAAACGATACTAAAAATTATTACTGGGCTCTGTTCTTTATAACTTGGCGGACATCATTAACGATGTCGTTTTGTCGTAAATTTCTTCAATATAGCTCAGAAACAAGTATACAAGTTTCAAAAATGTCTAACATTTGCCTTTGAAATTTCATCTTTTATTCCTAAATAGTCATTTAATTAGAGATAATTATACAAGAACGTAAAAGAACGCAAGAACGTTTGTAAAAATAATATTCCTCAGTAATCTGGATACTGTACGTAAATTAATGTTTCAATCAAATATTTGCAGTCGTCAATACACTTTTTGTAACAATTCCCTCGAGCAGTATTACAAATCAATTGAAAATGAAAAGCGACAAGGCACGAGCCTCTTTAACATTCACTGGACACAATGTAGCCCTAATCACCACCCACGCCCTCGCACAAGGTCAACATTTTTAGCATTGTCATTCCCCAGCTACAGAGTGTAAAGGTGGATGGGTCGCTCGCTTATTTATGGCCGGCCAAATGAACGTTAAAATCTTAGCCAACCATAAAAGACGTCATAAAGATTTTATGACTGCGGCTGGCAAGGATTTGGTCAAACACCCACACACACAAAGGAGAGACAACTCTATTGCATTCAACCCCCCCAACCTTCTTAAGCAGTATTTGCAGCAACTGTTGCGCTCGACCAACACTTGACTCTTCGCCCAATGTGCGTCACTGGCTTCGTGATTTCCTGCTGTCAGTTGCTGTGAATTGGGAGCAGTTCTGGGTCGGCCAAAATACAACGTTGTTCATATGTCAAAAGTCATCGTGTGGGTGTCTGTCTGTTGGTGGTTCAGGCCAGCATTAAATTAATGTAAAGCTTCGTTTTTTTTCTATTTTTGTCCAGCAGAAAGTTTTTGTTTCGAGAAAAATGAATCCACTAGAACCACAATCTCTACTCTACAAGTAGTTAAGCTTGACTGAGCTTTAAGTATTTAAAGGCCAGAAAGCTTCAAATATAGAGCTGCATAAACTTATTATGGATATTTGAAATCCGGTATGTCTGAGCGTTGCCGAATGTGCAATCTAATCTCCCGCTGCATCGCAATGACGTCAAAGCAGCCAACAACTGGCCAACACACCCAACGGTAGCAAAACAACAACAACAGCTGCTGCATTTAATTGTCACTCAAAACTAGATAGACAGCATAGTTGCTTTTGGCTTTACGCAGCTTTTTTTGTTTTTAATTGCATTTTAAATACGCCAGATATTATTTGATGGACAGAGTGGTCGGCTGCACTGGATGTGTCCATAAATAGCGTAAATTGCATTGAAAACTTGATGTGGCCTTAAGTGGCAGTCGTAAATAGGTTGTTGTTGGTATTGTTGTAGCTTTTGTTGTTATGGGTTCCTATGTTCTCTTAGTTGAGCCACTTAAATGGTATGATTAGTGTGTCTTAAAAAGTAGCACACTATATAAATACGTTAGAGAAAAATTGTTTTTGCTATTGATAGGAAGAGTACGGTTTGTTCAGGTAGGCGGATAGTTTGCAGTTATCGAATTAGACAGGTACGTCAAATATGTTGTCCCACCAATTAAAAATAAATAAATAATATGGAAATTATTTGCCTGTCTGACCGTAGCTTAAGATGCATCAACAAACTCAATAGTTCCCAAATTATATCAAATATGGCAAAAGCAATGGATTAGAATGTCAGGTATTGTACAGTAACTAATTATTTTATAGTTTTTCATATCAATTGTACTGAAATTTATGAAATAGTAAAAAAATTTCAAAGAATATCATGCTTTCTTGTTGATTACATGTCCAGGAATAAACGCAGGATGCTAAGTATGCAGAACCACTTGTGTTGAACATTTTCCTTCACTATATACAAGCATTTATTTCGTAAATATCCCAATCTCAAAACGATAAACCGTAAACATGAAGTGGAACCAATTGACTATTTCAACGACTGACATTAAGTTCATCAGCATACTTTTAATTTTAAATATTTAGAAATGACTTCAAAATATTCCCACTTTCTGCAAACCAATCAAAGAATTTCAATCCAAATAGTCATTCTTTTTATTTGGAAGCATTGATTTATTTAATTTGAATTTCACATTTTCGCATACAAAAGTGTACAGCATATCTTTTCAATTAGTTAATTTTGTTTCCACCCAATATTCATATACATAAAACAAAACGCCAATTGGCTGTAATTAAAACAATTCATTGAGTAGAAATTACTTGAGCTTGACCAATCAGAAGTATCCAGTTGATAACAAACTAAATGACTTCTTATTAGAAACAGAAAACCCCGTGACATCCAAACAAACATTTACTTCGTATTAAAAAATGTGTAACTAAAATAGTCTCAGCCTTAGCTTAATACTGAGCCATAACAATGCAATTTTCACTAGTTATTAACAATGCGAACATTACCCCCTATCATCAGAAGCGTTTTGCGTGCCATAAATAACATTAGCCTCAAATGGTCGACGAGTCAAGCAGCGCATAAATTTTTATTATCTAAACAGAATGAGCGAAAAATCATATAAACACTCGTACACTCTCAAAGAACAGATGAAGAAAGAAAGAAAAAAACATATACATACATAAAAAGCAGCTGTAATAATAAAGCGTACTAACGCAATTTGTTGCTGATGTTGATAATGTAGGCAATGAAGTGTATAATTTAAATGGTCGTGTGCGCAATGCATGGGGCGCCATGAATATTGCGTATACGCAGCGTAGTACGCCGGCAATTCAGGGACGCTTTAACACGCAATTATCAAGCAACATAACCTGGAAAGTCACGTGTCAAAACACAGGCACAAAAGCAAGGAGGGCTACAGCCAAAAAGTGGCAAATCAATCAACACATTTGGCATACAAATGACGTTTTAAATGTGGCCAAAAAAGAATACTTGGAAGGCATTTGCACGCAACGAAGCATGTAAATGCTTTTCGAACGCATTCAAGCTTTTTAGCTATTAGTATTTAAACTTGACAGCATTTATTTCAAATTTTTGATTTATAAAGCATTTAAATGGGTGAACGCTGAGTTTTTAATAGCGTTACAGTATAAAAGTAAATAGCGTAAGAGTTTTCTTTCACAGCCAATCGATTTCTGGCTTGGCGTAAATATAGAAAGTTGATAACCAAGGTTATAAACCAAGGTTATAATTAATACATAGAGACAACACACCAGATTCGAAAAAGCTGCTGGCAGCTGGTTAATTTTCATCTAAGATATTGTAAAAAACGCACAAAAGACGCTGTGAAAAGTGCGTAAGCAATATATATTTAAAAAAAGAATGTTTTTCAAAGAATTTCACCCGCAGAATCATTTGGGTGTTCACATCAATCCCAATCAAGTCTCAATCACGAAGTAATACAAATATTTCAGGTCGCCAAATTAGCGCTTTTCGAAAGATTCAATTTGGAATCATGTAGGTGCGGTTAATTTGTGGCCCAGCAAATAAAATCACGACGTCTAAATTTATTTGTTTTATTGTTAACTGACGAGTAACTGATTCGACGGTTTAGTCAAATGTTGACTTATTCATCAATTAGTTTTGTTTATCAATTTTCTCACAGAATCTTCGTAATAATTCGGTTGTATATGCAGAACTCGTTAAATAAGTTATTAGAGATCCTTTATAAATAAATAACTAATTATAACATAAGAAATAAAGCTCACATAATACAGGCATTTATTCGAAATATCTTAGCCTACATTAGTCATGTACATAGATAATGAGTGGTTGGGGTGTTTACAAATAAGCTCCTGCACAGGTTTTGTTGAGCGATAAAGAACCAATGTTAATTATAAACTAATCGAAGTCGTTTCAACAATAGAAAGGACATGCAATCTAGGGTTAAATGCGGTAAGTGGAACTGACATTTAGCTTAATTAATGCAAAAAAAAACCCTCATACACACACACACACCAATCTACACACGCAGGGTGTTGATTGCATGAAGCAAGTAAGAAAAAATACGGATAAAAAAAAAATGAACTTGCCGCTTGCACTTCCGCACATATCCTCGCTCGACCCACTCACCAACCCCCCCCCCCCCACCCCTTACCAACAACTCAATAAAGAGGTGGATGCGGCACCGGGGAAGCAGCCAACGATGCGCACGAAAACTGCAACTTTGTTTACGTCTCTCTTGTTGTTAGTGCCGTGGCTGTTGCTGTAACGGTTTTTATTGGCGGCGACAATGGCAGCAACAACAAAAACACAATTGACTTTGTCAGGGCCGTGCCGGGCGCTGGTTTTTGCAACTATGGCCATGACCTTTATGTACCAAACACCGTCATGGAGTCGGCGCCAAGCCAACTGGCTGGCCCTGTTCTATGTGTGTGCTTGCGCTGGTTTTGGGTCTTTGACGACATTCGTCATATTTAACGGAAATCGATTTCGCATAATAAATTGTGACTGAATGCGGAAATTAATGAAGAAAACCCATGCACTGCATTTGTATTTATTGGACTTTCGAATATTCTTGTCACATGTTACAGTTCTTAAAAGCCGAGCATGGCTTATCACACTGTAAGCGAATCGAACCTTTATGAGTAAATAATGGAACAATAGTGATTAGATAGTACATGTTATAATGTGAAGCTGATTTAGCGCTGAGCAGATATACGGAGTCCAACTGATTGTCTGACTGTAAATGGACACGCCTTTATAAATAAAAAAAATCTTTTATAAGTATATACTTGCATGTACTTGTATTTGCTGCATTGATAAGAACAGAGTATAAGTTAAAGCTTGATTTCAGTTATAAAGATTAAAGATAATTTTTATTAAAGGTTGAAAAAATATTTGCTGCGTTTATAAAAAAAAAGATTATAAGTAAAGGCTTAATTGTAGCAAAAAACATTTAAGCATTCACTAATTTAAAAAAAAAGTAAGAATTTACATTTGTTAAGAATTTACAACACATTACAATCTTTTGACTCTCAGCTGCGCTTGCTTTTAGATTCTAACTTGGACTAGCTGCAAATAAGTTTATTCTAGTGATGCGAATAGATATGAAGTTTTCCAAAATAATTGCATATATTTTACTTATGAATTCCTGTAAAGGAATTTTTACAAATTTTTACAGGCAGATAAAAATTTCCATCGTACTTTTTATGAGCGTTAGGAATTGTTCAAACAAAAACTAAAACTTGTAAAAATTAAGAGAATAAGTTATTAATTCAGATATTTTTTCTATCCTAAACTAATGTTAACTTTTAAAAATTTCTATCTGTGGCCCTCCTCTCTAAGCTGTTTTTATCATGAAATGTAAAGAAAAAAGCGTTAAAAGGTAATATTGCGTGAAATATCACAATCCAATTTAAAAAGAATTTTTAAATTTTTTCATTACAAAGTTCTTATACAAATTTAAACAAAAACTTTTTTCCTTTTGAGTTTGGAATCCCAAGTGTTCCATTTTAGACTTATATAAAAATTGTATGACGTGTACTTTTATTACACGACTACGCCTTTTATTTTTATATAAGTGCTGGTATAATATGCGTGTGGCATATGCAACAATTTTAAGCATATAATAATACAAATGTGTAGTTACATATATGAATATTATGGATGTAAGTACTTGTGTGGAAAAAAAAAGCAACTTAACGAATTCTATTGTTGTAGATGTTCTTCTTCTTCTTCTGGTGTGGTGGCGTATGTGGGACGGCAACGAAATGCAAACAATTGTGCAAATGAATCAACAAACAAACAACAAAGCTGTGCGGGCATGTTTGTATACATTCAAGCATAATATGGTTGTGTAGGTGTGTCTGTGTAAGCTTACATCAATACAATTACAAACTAGTCTATAAGACTACGAACTATGTGCAAACCTTAGACATTTTTTATATATATTTGCTTCTGCAACGCCTCTTAACTGGAGCTCAATAAATGGTTGGTTGTATGTGCTTGTGTATGTCTGCTACTTATGTATATGCAACAACTAATAGATTTTTTGCTTCTGTGGTGTGTAGAAAGAGAGCAACAATAATAAATAGAACAAACACGCGTCAAAAAACAACAAAGCAATTCGAAATAATAAGAATTTGTAGAATTCATAAATTAATAATTCGTTGTTTGCACGTTAAATGTTTTCAACACTTTGTACACTTTTTAGCAACTACAAATTTGTATTGAACATTTCTTTTAGCACGTACACATATTTTATTATAATATGATGTTGTTATAACTACAAAAATATTACGTATACGCAAACGCAACGGTTGGCAGCAATGACAAATCCAATGTCAAAGTTTTATAAAAATACATTTTTGAACACAGAGGCAGAAAAATTTGTTTTAATGTATTTAGAACACATTTCTGAGCATATATATTCAAATTGGACACTTTTGACTTAATGTACCAAATAAATAAAACATTTTTCGCTCATATAAAAATTTAATCAATTCTATATCCAAACTAAAGAGAGAGTGGGTGAGCTTTCAAAACGGTTCCTTTTTTTAGCCTGAAGGATTCCAAGATTAAATTGTACAAAAATTGTATATGAAAATTTATTCAGTAGCACATTTTCGCGTCTGCAAAAATGTGCATAGAGCGTGAAGAGCCTAATTTTACGGTGCGTATGATTAATATTTTGAGAGCACGCTATTAAAAGAAACCGAGCAAATGAATTGGCATAAATGGCTGCCGCAAGAAGAATATCTACGTGGATATGTTTGTTTGTCTATAGAATCAGATATTAAAAAAAATCGTTTGCCGTGCGTCACAACAATTTTAAGTGCCGCTGCCGTTTTGTGTGTAAATTATTTAATTTTTATGTCCAATTTAATTTTGGATTTTGTCCGGCTTCTTTTTTATTTGTTTTGCTGATTTATTTGCCGTTTTATTTTCTATTTGCAATTTTAATTGTTTAATTAATCCAATTGCTTTTATTTGCACAGGCACTCAGAACACACAAACATATACACATACACCTCCACGTGCATTTGTGTGCATATATCGAATATTTATATGTGTTTGTGTGTGTGTGTATGTATATATATTTGTATATATGTTTCCGTTTCGTTACCGCCGTCAAATGTCTTTCGCGTTATGTATTTACAAAACGGAGGCGCGACACAAACTGAATTCGCGTTCAGCCGCCACTGCTCAGTCTTGCTCACTATTTGAGTTTAGTGTGCATATATGTATGTATGTGTGTGTGTGTGTGGGTGATACCGCTACACACGAACGTATGTGTGTGTATTTGTGTTTGTGTCTTGCTGCTTCTGCTGGGTTTTTGTAGCCCAGTGCCACTATCAGATGGACTGACTGGCCAGCGGCAACGACAACGTCGATGCTCAGCTCACAACGCAAAGAAGTGGGCAGCAGCAGCAGCAGCAGCTAAAAGCATATTGTGTAGGTTATATGTACACATTAAGAAATTAGTGTTTTTTACACTGAGACTTAAGAAATTGAATTCAAAAATTGATAGGAAAATTTGAATTATAATGTTTAAAGATAAACATGTTTGACCTAACCCCAACACTAATTATTTGACATTAGTTAAGACTGGACATTGAAATTTAATTTTTATCGCACGCAGACAAACAACGAATTAAAATATATGTGAAAATTATACTGATATCTTTATTGTTCTAATTCACATTTGTTGAAACATCGAAACATAAGAAAATTACGTTTTGCTCCGAATTTACAAGACAAAAATTTATACTACATTTTAATCAATACATCACCTCAAATCTATAATCTAGGCTCTCACGCTTCACGATTCATCACCTTTCATGTCGGATATTTTAAAACTTCTATATAATCATAGTGGCCTTCTGATACAACTTCATCCTTCATATCAACATAGAATTATAACTAATTCAAATATTCAGAATTATGGAACTGAAATATTTATTGTTGCTGCTCTTCTCGACAGCCGTTCTTGGCCAGACAGAGCTGGCGCTTAAGGAGGATTGTGAAGTTTGTATCAAGACTCTTGAACGTTTTGCAAAAACACTACACGGTGTGACCAGAGACGACTACAAGATGATTGAAACTGAATTCAAGAAATTTTGCAACACTCAAAAGAATAAGGAGCGCAAGTTTTGTTACTACCTGGGCGGTCTGAAGGAGTCGACTAGGAATATATTAAGTGAATTGAGCAAACCATTGAGCAGATTATTGCCAGCGGACAAGATTTGTGAGAAACTTAACAAAATAGATGCCCAGATTTGTGACTTGCGTTATGAGAAGCAGCTTGACTTAAAGAATGTGGATTTGCAAAAATTAAAGATTAAAGACTTGAAGCAAATATTGTACAACTGGGAAGATAGGTGCCATGGTTGTCTGGAGAAGACTGATTTCATTCGACGCATTGAGGAGCTGATTCCGAGTATTGCACACGAAGAATTGTAGAGGCACTACACCACCCAAAACAGTCACTATGCATTGAAAAGAAAATTGTTTAGTTAATTTATTTATAGCATTTTAAGGCAATCAATAGTTTTCAGCTGCTTTTAATAAACGTTGATGAGTGCCTAACTTATAATTTGTATCAACAGATTCTCCCTGCTAGCATAATTTTAGAGATTCATAAGTGTGGTAAGCAATCACAGAAGCTTATATTAAACCTTAAAATTATACATTTTTCTTGAAGTATTTTTTGCAGTGCAGCACAAGTCGGATGGCTTTTCACAATGTACATAAAACGAAAGTAAAAGTCGCTATAAGCAAACAACAAATCTAAAAACAACATTAATAAAAATTGCTCAAAGAGCATTAATAAAGCAACAACAAGAAGAGCAACAGCTAGCCAGCCAGTCAACAAAAGCGACCCAAGTCGCCACAAATGCTGTAGCCGAGAAATTGTGTGAGAGTGTGTGGGCAAAAGCAGCAAATGGTGGCAGCCACAGAAGGCCGTCAGAAACGCTTAGCGCCAAATCGAGATATGTATGAGTAGTATGTATATACATACATACATATACCTACAGCTGAGCAGCAGCAACGGTATATACAATAAGGCCTGCAACTGGCCACCAGCCGCGCATTTAATTTGCGGCTTTTTGTTTCGCCAACTTTACGTATTTTTCTCTCCGTGCAACCTTATTTTAAAGGCAATGTAAATAAAATGTAACAAATCAATTTAAGCACCTCACACGCACCTCCCTCTCTCACCATCTGATATGGGCGTTTTTGATTGTCTCAGCACCCACGTAACTAAAACCAACACGTTTGAATAGACAGACGAACAATGGCATATTCTATTAGAGATATTTAGTTTTGAAATGGCTTTGTTCTTTTTTTGTAAGATTATTAAATATTCTGTTTAGTGTGCATTCAAAAGTCTGTATCGCCGTTACGTATACGTATAGTAATATAGTAAACAAGTCGCATATGATTGAATGGTGTACATGTGTGTGCATTGAAACGATTGGCAAAAGTTTAATTCACTTTAATGAAGCAAAATAATGTTGGCTTAGCCCTCTAAAACGAATTTTTTGGAATATGTGTTAATAAGAAATCTAGACAAAACGATTTTCGTACGTCCCTAAAATGATTAACACAATTTTTAATAAACGAATTTGTTCTATCGATTCGTACCAGTTTATAAAACAACAAACAAATCAATGAACAAACGACGTTCTCTTTCAACTCATATCAAAAGGAAACAACTTTAACGGGAGTAAGACAAATACTTGTAGTTCAATCAGATGTTCTTACTACTAACGATAAATAGATAAAGTCTCAGTCGGGATATTTAGACAAGAAGTTTGTTTTATAAAGATTATATTTGAAAACTTTCATTACAAAAGCATATATCGAATATATGCTACCGATTTTTTGTTTAACTTACAAAAAATAAATAGATATATTGGTCATTTTAATAAATGTATAAAGTGAATAAATGTATGAAGAACGTTTGTTAATATATCCTACAAAACAAACAACTTGTTCTTGAGCATAGTTGATAGTTGATTTCATACATTTAAAGTCCAATTAAGGCAATGTCCAATGTACAAGAACCAGATAAGTTCGCCAAAAATATCTGATTTAGTAAGTTATTTATATATATTTACATAGCAGAACGACTTAGAACAGAATTTGTTAATCAAAATTAAGTGTCATAGATAGTTCTCTTTACGTTAACCTAATTTGGCTTCATATATCTTTGAAAAAAGAGCATTAAAGTAGAAAAGAAGGTAAATTCAGTACCCAGACAAATTAGCACCCAAAATAATTTTAAGCTGGGATCAATGAAAAGATATTAGACATTAATTAGACTAAATCTTCTTAAATATGTAATTGTAAGAAAAATGCCAAAAATGTTTCCAGTTCATGCTATTAACTGATTGAAGCATCTTTCGAACTTTTTATTAAGACTAAAATACCTTGAAATATTATTCTTTTATAGTTTATAAAAATCTGAATGAAACTTTGTAGGCTATGACCAAAATAGCGGGTTACATCCTTATCTTATTTTCTGTTATTGGTCTCAAAATGAAAACGAAACGGGATTGTCTGCAAAAAAGACTACATGGTTTATTTAAAAAATTCGAGCTGTAATTAACTCTGGTATCGGTTTAATTACATATATATTTATCTGTGGCTATAGAACTGCAGTATCCATTCCAGTCATATTGGAACTTCGATTATAGGAAAATATTGATGCATGTATACTTCTTTTTGGTGACTGTTCATTAAATCACCCAGCATCGCCCACAAGTGCTCTATTAAATGAGCTGAAATGTAATGTCATACAAATTTCAAGAGCAAGCGCACTTATGAACACCTGGATAGAGGCTAAAACCTTGTACGGGTACACATTATCACTAATACATACATACTTATACATGTACATGTTAAATGAAAAGGTACACATGCGATTCATTAAAGAACTTTGAGAAGCGCTGGGGTGCGGCAGTTTTCCGCAGTGTTTTTTTTTTACCATGTCCTTAAATAGGTTTAGCTTCGCTGTTTTAGATTTTCATTTACCTGGCAACTTTAAACGTATTGCAAACCCATTTAATGTGGGTCAACCGCAAAGTTGTGGTCTGAGTTCAATTCACTTTAAATACTCGTAGCTATGGACAAAGTGTGGGTGTACACTGAAAGGTTCGAGAGGGTGCATATTAGAGACGCATGGATGGGCACAGAGCCGAGTGCGAAAAGCTTTTTGTCTGCTCCTTTCCTTTGTGCTCCCAGGTGTGTTACAATCTATATATGTATGTGTGTGCATGTATGTGCGTGTCGGTGTGCGTTTTCTAATCGAATTAATTAAAATTATACGGGCTGGTTGGCGACGCCTCGAACTGCCTGCATTACTGCATGCTTCTAACATCAGTTCATCTTAAATAATCCCAGCATAAAGCTAAAAAAATGTACAAATCATATCGAAAAACTGACAACAGAAAGCCATATAGCTGTGCGGGTATTGCAGCTCCAGCTTTTGTTGCTCATTTTGAGCGCAGCTAACTGAATTTCCAATTCAGTGAACTTTTTGTGCACAAACAGTGGATGTTTTGCTCCTTTTTATACCCTCTATTAAAGAGGGAAAGGTGTATTGATTTTATGGCAACGTAAGCAAACATCGCAACGACCAGGCTTTTAAAGAAGTCAAAGTTCGACATCCTAGTAGCCTTCTCAGGATCCTTCTTTGACATGCCCAGATTTGGGACTTGCGTTATGCAATACTTTATATGTGAGTCAAAAATTGGGCACGACACATTTTAATCCAGTGTTCAGTTAATAAATAATTTGTATGTATTTAATTATGAATAATATTATCATTAGGGTATTGTATAGTCGAATACGCTCAACCACTTCGTTAAATCTTGTTTTTTTTTTCTTTGGTTTTTTATGACACACGCTTGACACTACTCGTAAATAAACTTTTTCTTCTTCTGAAAATCCATGGCTTAAGCAAAGCTTTTGTTGTTATTGTATAAGATTTTTTTCGCCCCATAATATGAAAACAGTTTTCTTATTTTTGTTGTTGTCACAAATAGGCCTATCGCTTGTCGGGATCTGACCTGTTCTTTTAGCAAAACAACAGCGAGAATGTCGTCGACTTTTTTTGAAAAGAAAAATAAGAAAAGGACATTGTGCCGCAGGCATCAGCTGCGAGTCGTCAGCAATGTTGGCAATGATTTTTATGGTTTGTTTGTGCAATTGCGTGTGTGTGTGTATGTCATGAGGACTTTACTGCTGATGACGTCATGTGTGACAAATGTGTATCAAGTATACTTAATGTGGCACACACAAAGTGCGGGTAAGTAGGCATGAATGTGCTGAGGCAGCGGTAATTGTGGCACACACACACACTGTTGCGATAAATAACATTTCCACTCTTCCACCCGCCTCAGCTGGCATTGTCTTGCTTTATGACTCAATTTGCAAATTGTATTTGAAAATGTGGTACTTGAAATGCCGTAAGCTGTTGCGCCTGACGTTATGCTACACTACAATGACAGCTAATTTTGGCCACCATACACACATTCGCACTCACAATGGCTTGCACCATGTTTCATTATTTCTGTGTAAATTATTCATGCACAAGCGTTCGTTTTGGGTATTTATAAGCCGCTTAATGGATCGGCAAACAATAGGTCCCACATCCGATTGTTACAATTCACAGAATGCTGTCAAACTTTTGGCATTGATGGCGGACATACTCACACACAAACGTGCAGAAATACCTTTTAAGCGTAGGTAGTAGCTATATATTTACATATCTGGTTGTTTGCATAGCCCACAACAGTCTTAAATTAGTTTTATTTTTCAATAAATGCTTAAAAGATAACGACGTCGTTTTCATGCGCACGCGAAGGATGTTTATTCAGTCAGGCTGTGCCGGACGTTGGTCTTTCTGTTAAACTAACTCAATTTATTTATGCATGAGCGGTTGTTTTTGTTGTTCTTTAGCAAATAACAAAAGGAAAAGAACAAGCGTAATAAAGTATTAGAGGGTGAAAGAGGAAGAAAGGAAAAGAATGAAAACACAGCATTATTAATTGAAACCTTTCTGTGAGTCGTTTGCAGCCTTTTTTAACGTTTTGAATATGTTAATTAACAAAGACAACAAGTTTCTGCTTTTAGGTTGAAAATTTAATATTCCTTTCTACAAAAACTGTAGCTTGAAAATTTAACAAATATATAGAATTCTCATATAAATTTGATTGTCTACCAAATTTAAAATACAAAATATATTTTGAATCATTGAATATGATCAAATAAAAAGAAAATGATAATAATTTCAAAGGCAAACCATTTCAAGAAATTGAGATTATTGATTGATTTGATTTTATTGATTTTATTTTTTTAAGTAAAAATATTAAACATTACATTACAAAGATAGAATACAAGGAGCTATGGGCCGCTGGTTAGAAGGGTTTTTTAACACAGACAAAAGTTAAAGTATTTCTTAATTTTTATTATAAAAACACAATTGAATATATTTAAACTTTAATAAAATATACCAACAACATATACATATCTTCGTAAATAGTTTCCTCAAATACCAATACCACAAAATATATTTTTTATTTTTAAACTGATATTCAAAATCACAAACCAATTTGGCAGAAAATATAGTTAATAAACTCGTTGGTAGAAATATCAAAGCAAACTGTCTAGTTTGTATTTTCAAGCATAATTAATAATTTTAACAAATTATAATTCAAATTTTTAATTTAAGAATAGTAATAACAAATGGAACATATTTTATAAATATTACCGAAAACAAATTATACAAAGACCTCATTCGAAAGGAACATTAATCGGCTCCGTAAATATACAATAAAGCTAAAACGGGTTCAAGTTATGTATTAATATTAAAGGACAATTTAAGTACGTTTAGTATTTACCATGGCTCGTGACACTTTGTTTATTTGGTTGAAGCTGGTATTTGTAATCGCTGCTCTGGGATTGTTTATCAATGTAATACTTTGTCACTGTGTGCTTAACTAAACAATGAACACGTTCCAAAATATTTATTTGGTGCACACATTAATCACGCAGGTGGCCGGAGGAGTCAATAAACAATGGGTATAAACAACAACTGCCACTCACTGATGATGACAACTCGTTGTCGACCAGAACACTGGACTCGTAACTATATCTGGAAGTGTAAATGTGACCGTTGCGGCAGTTAACATGACCGTTAAACGTTCGATTTGCGGGTGGCAATTGTCAGGCGATCCAAAGCCATAAAACAAACAATCAGTCAACGACGGTACAAACGACGCGCTGTATTTTTGCGAAAAGAGACGACAGGAAAAATAAAACAATGATGCACAAACCAATAGGCAAAGAATGTAACTGCGACCGACTGCGAGAGGGCACAGACACACGCAACGAGCGATGGCAACTGACTAACGAGGAGCGCGCGAATCCACAAGCAGAGGCAGCAACAGAAGCAGCACCAGCAACAAAAATAACAACGTCGACATGATGACCTTCACCAACACAAAACGGCAGAAGTGAAAGCCACGCACAGGCAAAAGGATGTATGGCTAAAAAGAAAAGTTTTGCGCGCACACAATACATTCACACTCACATATACACAATCTTGGCTATGACGCTGTCACCGACAGCAACAACTAACTGTAGCAGCCTGGCAAAAAGCTTCAAACTTTGCGCTTTGATTTCATTGCGTATGCGAGTTTCAAGTGCAAAATTGCCATTAATATGGGGCTGGCAAAAAGCTATCATATACAAATACATGTATATATATTCATGTGTGTGTGTGTGTTACTTGTTGTAGTTGTTTTTACATTTGTCGACATCTCAACAACGTTTGCAGCAAATCAAAGCTCTCTCACTCTTCCAATCTCTCTCTCTCTCTCACCCACTCTTTTACTTACGCTCTCACTCTGCTCACAACAGAGCTTTTGTGCGTTGCAATATTTTCATTTTAGAGTGACCATGCAAACAAACAAACGTGGTGCTTACCAATACAATTACAATACACTGACAAATGATCACAAATACACGCAATTACACCCACAATATCCTTCTTTGGTACAGTGGTACAGGATGCACCATTTTCATTTTAGTTTGTAAACTACATTTACTAATACACTGGAATCATAATTTGATTTTAGAGTGACCATGCAAATGGAAATGAAGCTTAGCAATACACTTACTAATAAAATAATACGATCACAAACACAATCGAAAATACACACTTTTAAAATCAACATCTGGTATTGGTGGGTATTTATGATATTTTAGTTTTGGAATGTCATAACAAGCAAACGAAAAACTATTACGTTTACCAACACACTGTCAAACATAATGATACGATCACATGCACACGCACATAACTACACACTTACAATATCCTCCTCTGGTATCGTGGTGCAGGAGGTACGGACATGGCGCACCCGATGCATAGCATCCAAACTGAGGCGATGCTCGTGGTCGTCTCGTAGCATGGCATCAAACATGGCCACACCACCATCAATGCTGCTCTCCCGTAGTATCCGACCACCACGTCCGCTGCCAATACCCAAGATAGTGGCGGAACCTTCGCTGCTTCTGTGTTGTGCTGCCGCAGTGTGGGAAAAAACGCCCCCCTCCGAAAAGGAACGAATTCGCATGGCGCCATTTTCATCTGTGGTCAATGCAACCGATTTAAAACGATCGATAACAGCATCCTGTATGGTATTAACACTCAGCGAGTTGCCCATGGTACACCCACACGCGCATACACACTTGTATGTATATGTAAGTATGTGTATATATATTAGTATGGTATAGTAGCTATGGTATGGTAAGTCGTTGTATGCTTGTTTGTTATTTTTGCGTTGAAGCGGAAATGCAACACAAAATACAAATGAATGAGCGACTAATTGAAACCACGAGAGCAGTAGCAGCAGCGGCAGCCACACAACCGAATCGCTTCTATGGCGCTTCTGCACGCCGCCAGGATGTTTATTAAACTGAAATTAGCAAAAGCATTCAACAGGCAAACGCTAGGCAACAATAGCAAGGCAGGACACCAGACTAGGCAGGCCACCAAACCAAGCACGGCAGCCAACGCATCAAATAAGCTAAACAGAGAGAGCAAGAGGGAGAGAGCGAGAGAGAGACATAGAGAGCGAGAGATTGGGAGTGGGTGCGAGAGTCACAATCAGAGCCAGTGTGACAGTGTAAAGCGAAGAGCATAAAACCGTTAAACATATAACCATGCCACCACAAAATGGCGTGCTGCTTACTAGCCTAGCTTTTAATACGCTGTACCCAAAGGATGAAAGGGTATACTACATTAGTGCAAATGTATGTAACACAAAGTAGGATGCATGGCCAAAAATATAGACTTCTTCATTTTCACTGTCTATCATTTTTCATCAGTATTACAAGTATGAGTTGTGTCCATATACCAATACAATCCGTCTGATTGTCTGTTCGGCTGAGTGAACAAAAAGATCTTGTAAATAAGTTTATTGTCAGCCATGTTGCGTAATTTAAGTTTTGGCAAATTTAAAGTTACAAGTTTAACATAAAATTGACTCAACATTTTTTTTTAAATTTATTATATTTCTAAATAATTTGTTTAATAAACCAGGTACAGGGTCCATAAAAGTCGAATATACCCTGAATTCGACTCATTTGGTATTGCTTTTTAATATAAACAGAGGCAGCGACAGCAACAGAGAAACAACAACAGCAACAAAGACGAGGACGAGGCAGACGCGACGATTGGCGCGTCGCAGCCGTGGGCGTGCATGCTGCAAGCTGCTCACACCCAGCATTGCCATTGCGAGTTATGATGCCGCTGCCACAGGTGCCTAGGCAACAACAACTTCACCAACAACAGCAGCATTGCAGCGTTGCCAGACTGCAGTTTTGCATTCGCACTAATTGTATGCTGCCTTTTCCAGGAATATTGTTTGCCACTGCTTCTAAGCTTTTTTAAACTGCCATGCAGTGGCTAATTCTGCTGGAAACTATTTGCAATTTTGTGAAAATGTAAAAAATTAAAATCAATAAAGCATTTCAAACATTTTTTGAACGTCCACCAAGCTCTGGGACTGACTAATGTGCGGGTGATGTCACACTTTGAGTGACTGTACTAAAAATAGCAAAAGAGATAATCGATTTAGAAATTCTAAAAAAACACACAGCCTTTTGAGCGCGAATTCAAACACAGCAACAAACCAATTGGTTTTGGCATTAAAAATTACCAAGCAGCTGATGTAAATTGCATTATGTATTTTATACTCTCAGGACATTACCAAAAATAATCAACTATGCTATCGATTTTAAATCAAATATACACAGCAGCCTTTTAGGCGCGAATGACGAAGCAGTAACACAACAAACAATTCCAACATAGCCAACAAGAGCAGCTGACTAGACTGAAGGCTTGCATCAAATTACACCTAATTCAGTTTTTACACGGTCTGAAAATTAAAAATGTTATATATGGTTAAACGACTTTATTCCATTTGACACGATTCATTTTCATAAGTCTTTTTTACGCGGTTTTTTGCAACACGATTTTTTAGGAACTATTCTACCGTGTGAAAACAGTATTAGGTGTGATTTTAAGAACTGTAACCTTTTCATAATACTATAACGATAAGATCCGATAATCCCAGAACTACGATTTATAGTTTATTCGTGACTCTTTAACAGTAAAAATTCATCCTTATGGCCTAATCTACCGTGTGAAAACAGTATTAGGTGTGATTTTAAGAACTGTAACCTTTTCATAATACTATAACGATAAGATCCGATAATCCCAGAACTACGATTTATAGTTTATTCGTGACTCTTTAACAGTAAAAATTCATCCTTATAGCCTAATCTACCGTGTAAAAACAGTATTAGGTGTGATTTTAAGGTCTGTAACCATTTCATAATACTATAACGATAAGATCCGATATTCCCAGAACTACGATTTATAGTTTATTCGTGACTCTTTAACAGTAAAAATGCATCCTTATGGCCTTGATTAGCAACAGACATCTCTATTGTACTTTTTGAACTAAGATCTCCTGTTTACCACCGACATAATCATTTCACCTTTTTAAAGTTAATTAACAAAGCAGCATAATAACAGCAAAAAATTAGTTCTTAAAGTTATTATTTATGTTTGATCGAATCATCGAATGTAGGAATAAAATATTAACATCGCTGTATCCACAAAAACCATGCCCACGTACATACCATTTAGAATTTGTAAGCCATCTATTTAAAAGAAAAACCCTAAAACTACTGTATTTCACTCAGATGAAACGAATTATCGCAGATCGTTACTGGCTTTGTATCCTTTCATAATGCGCTTCGAAACTGTTCTGGAATGCTTGGCAATTCGCTTCTGCTTTGTTCCGTGAAGCTTGGCCCGGCACACTTGGCAGAGATTTCTAGAGCGCTTACGACTCGCGCCGACCCTGGGCTTGAGCACAGCTGGCTCCTTAGTTTTGGAACTGCCACTGGCGACGGGAGCTTGCTTATTGCTCGGACTGCCACTAATAAATGCAGATGCTTGCTCATTGCCCAAATCCTTCTGTTTCGATGTTGCCGCATTTTCAATAACTGCCGTTTGTGCAGTTAATAAATCAACTACCAGGCCTGATGCCGATACTGAATGGATTAAGTGACCGAAACGCGCACGCAAATATTCGGGCTAAAAAATAAAAGTAACGATACAGAAATGGGCGGGGGCGTGGACATTGCTAAGCATTTGGCGTAGCTACCTCTTCAAAGAGCTTACGCTCGTGTGGCGCCAATGCCTTCCATGCCTGTGAAGCCTCTAGTAGTATCTCCTGAGCGGTGCTCTGTCCCTGTTCACACCCCAGCCAATACTCCCGCAAAAAATTATAGGGAGCGCTCTTGGTAACGAACACCGGGGTTGCTTTCGCCGCCCCTTTCAGGAACGATGTCGACGTTGGCCTCCTTTGCTTGGACATGGTAAAAAGCAAGTTCCAAAAGAACAATAAGTTATAGTATAACAAGTAATTTGGAAGCAAGTCCGACGGAAGAATGTGTAAATTGTCGTGTGTATGCTAATGATGAATCAAAATCTGTAGATATGTTCGGTTTGAAAACACTAAGAGACTGAATTAATTTATCCCCATAAAGTGTTCGAAATGGTACGCATTGCTTGCTATGTGTAATAAGAGAATAACATTTATAAATTCAAATTTGTATTATTCCTGAATATTAATTTTTGTACATATTAATATTGTACATATATACATGCACACGTATATTAGTTCTTTGATTATCTCAAGCGGTTCATCCGTTTATGTATTATTTTATGTTTTTATTATAATTGAAAGTTTTAGCATAGTATGCAAAGAATTTAAACTCTAAATTTCTAGAATATGTCAAATAGTTCAATTTTTCAAAAGTTTTAGTCTTATGAAAATATTTGAACGATGCACATCATAAAATTGTGTTCAAAACAAAATTAATATTTTAGTCTCTGTGTGTTTTTAAGTAATTTACATAGTTTTTAGGTTTATTTTATAATATCCAAACAATGCCCGGAATAACACTAAGTGGTGAAACTATTCATTCAGAAGAATGTCATGAGAGTCGATCGAATGTTGCTGACAAAGTCTCAAAAGTTGAGTCCAACGAAGGCGGAACGCGGGACGATAAAGATGCTGAGAATAAAGATATCATCCCATATCAGGAGGGCGAAGAGATAAACTTACAACCCAAGCTAGTCAAGACGATATATATGAACTACTTGCGGGACTTTCAACTCTGTTTCCACCAGTTCGATGGCACGGATATGTTAAAAAATGCAGCAGTATTGTGGAATAAATTGAACGATAGCCAGCGGAAGCTCTTTAACGATGTAAGTCTTTAAGCTATTGCGAAACATATATGTATATATAAACCAAAACAAAATAATTATATTTACAGAAAGATTACGAGTATGGAAAGGCGGTTCAGATTTTATACGACTGCCACTGCGATCGTAACTTCGAGGATAACATTAATTCGGCTAATAATTTGAGATCATTGGAGAGCAGCACCAGCTGTGGCGAAACCACCGCAACATACAGTACAGGCAGCAATACGAGCCCAGGATCGAGCACCTCCAGCAGCAGAGACGAGAATAAAGAGGAAGAAAAGGACGAGGAAAACAGTCACGATACGGATGACGGTTCAGATAGTAATGTGTGTTGTCCCCACGACTATACTCAAGATGGTTGTTGTCCGGTTAAAAAGAAAAAACCAGCCTGCAAGAAGAAGCCGGCATGCCCAAAACCCAAGCCTAAATGCCCTAAGAAAAGGAAGCCGCGATGTCCCAGACCGAAACCGCGGTGCCCCAAACCCAAACCGAAATGTCCAAAAAGAAAACCCCGTTGTCCCAAAAAAAAGAAGCCCCGTTGCCCCCGAAAAAAGCCTCGCTGCCCCAAACCAAAGCCGCGTTGTAAGCCCAAAAGGAAGCCGGCTTGTAAGCCATGCTGTGGATAAGAAACGACAGAGAACCTATCAGAGACATGTTTTATTTTATTTTAAAGGAGATACTTGACATTCAGCTTGTGTTAGCTAAATCATCAAAAAGAACTCTTAAAATATATGACGATCCGACAATAACAATTATAAGAAAAAAGACAACGTTTACATAAAAGGATACTACTTTTTAAAAATTTACCAACTCCAAACATCATTTTCATTATTCATCATTCCTCATCAGTATTATAAGGTGTGTCCATAAACCTTTAGCCGATACCATCCGTTTAACCGTCCTAATGAACGAAAAGATCTAAGGAAGTTTATTGTCAACCAATGGTATGTAATTTAAGCTTTGGCAAATTTGAAGCTACAATTTTAAAATAAAATGTACCTAATATTTGTTTTTGTTTTAATTTATTATATATTTAAATATATCTGATCCAGGTACAGGGTCTATAAAAGTCGAATATACCCTGGATTCGACTCGTTTGATATTGCTTTTTAATATAAACAGAGAAACAACAACAGCAACAAAGCAACCCAACATTGCCATTGCGAGTTATGATGCCGCTGCTACAGGTGCCTAAGCAACAACAACTCAACCAACAAGAATAACAGCAGCATTGCAGCGTTGCCAGACTGCATTAATTGAATTGCTTCTATGCTTTTTAAACTGCCATGCTAATTGTGGCTAATTCTGGTGCAAACTACTTGCAATTTTGTTAAAATGTAAAAAATTTAAAATTAAAATCAATAAGGCATTTTAAACAATTTTTGAACGTCCACCAAGCTGTGGTATTGACTGATAAATATAATAATAAAAATAGCCAAAGAGATGATCGATTTTGAAATTCTAAAAAAAACCACGCACATTAGCCAAGCTACTGAAGTAAATTGCATTATGTATTTGAAATAAGGACTATACTCACTTCGAATTATGTTACAATAAATACAATTAAATAAAACCCGAAAACAATCAAAAAATAATTGTAGAGCTTTCGACGCTGAGAATTTCAATATTTAGTTTTAAGATAATCCGTAGTCGCTCTAGTTTTGTTATCATTTGTATACCCTATACTTAAAAGATTCAAAGGTTAAAAGATATATTAGGTTTGTGCAAACTTAAAAATGTAACAGGCAGAAGCATATCTGATCCCATAAAGTTTTAATATTCTTCACCATTATTACAAGTCGAGTCGATTCAATATTTTCTGGCTGTCTGTCCGTCATTCTGTATGCCCACAAAAATTTTAGAAACTTTAAGAGCCAAAGGCACCAAATGTTGCTCACAGTGACCTTATATTCTACATTTAAACATTTTTCTCCTCTTCCCCTTATTCATACAGTTCAAATTCGGCCATTTCATCCAGTTAGTTCATATGTGTCCTTATGTTAGGTCAAATGTAAACGAAGTTATAGCCATAAATGCTAGCAGCTTTTATTGTAGCTGATTTGACCTTACTCTGTTCATTATTAAAAAGGGTCACACAAAACCTAATTCAAGGAAGCAAAGGTCTGATCTTTTCTCAATGTAACAGAAAAGATGTATACCTATGGCCTTGATTCACAACAGACATCTCTATTGTACTTTTTGAACTAAGATCTCCTGTTTACCACCGACATAATCATTTCACCTTTTTAAAGTTAATTAACAAAGCAGCATAATAACAGCAAAAAATTAGTTCTTAAAGTTATTATTTATGTTTGATCGAATCATCGAATGTAGGAATAAAATATTAACATCGCTGTATCCACAAAAACCATGCCCACGTACATACCATTTAGAATTTGTAAGCCAACTATTTAAAAAAAAAAACCCTAAAACTACTGTATTTCACTCAGATGAAACGAATTATCGCAGATCGTTACTGGCTTTGTATCCTTTCATAATGCGCTTCGAAACTGTTCTGGAATGCTTGGCAATTCGCTTCTGCTTTGTTCCGTGAAGCTTGGCCCGGCACACTTGGCAGAGATTTCTAGAGCGCTTACGACTCGCGACGACCCTGGGCTTGAGCACAGCTGGCTCCTTAGTTTTGGAACTGCCACTGGCGACGGGAGCTTGCTTATTGCTCGGACTGCCACTAATAAATGCAGATGCTTGCTCATTGCCCAAATCCTTCTGTTTCGATGTTGCCGCATTTTCAATAACTGCCGTTTGTGCAGTTAATAAATCAACTACCAGGCCTGATGCCGATACTGAATGGATTAAGTGACCGAAACGCGCACGCAAATATTCGGGCTAGAAAATAAAAGTAACGATACAGAAATTGGCGGGGGCGTCGACATTGCTAAGCATTTGGCGTAGCTACCTCTTCAAAGAGCTTACGCTCGTGTGGCGCCAATGCCTTCCATGCCTGTGAAGCCTCTAGTAGTATCTCCTGAGCGGTGCTCTGTCCCTGTTCACACCCCAGCCAATACTCCCGCAAAAAATTATAGGGAGCGCTCTTGGTAACGAACACCGGGGTTGCTTTCGCCGCCCCTTTCAGGAACGATGTCGACGTTGGCCTCCTTTGCTTGGACATGGTAAAAAGCAAGTTCCAAAAGAACAATAAGTTATAGTATAACAAGTAATTTGGAAGCAAGTCCGACGGAAGAATGTGTAAATTGTCGTGTGTATGCTAATGATGAATCAAAATCTGTAGATATGTTCGGTTTGAAAACACTAAGAGACTGAATTAATTTATCCCCATAAAGTGTTCGAAATGGTACGCATTGCTTGCTATGTGTAATAAGAGAATAACATTTATAAATTCAAATTTGTATTGTTCCTGAATATTAATTATTGGATATCTTTTGTACATATATACATGCACGCTTGTTTGATTATATAAAGAGGTTTATACTTTATGTGTATTATTTTATGTTTTTATTAAAGTGTTCGAAATGGTACGCATTGCTTGCTATGTGTAATAAGAGAATAACATTTATAAATTCAAATTTGTATTGTTCCTGAATATTAATTATTGGATATCTTTTGTACATATATACATGCACGCTTGTTTGATTATATAAAGAGGTTTATACTTTATGTGTATTATTTTATGTTTTTATTATTTATGAAAGTTTTGAGTTATCATAATTTGGCATAGTATGCACAGAATTTAAACTCTAAATTTATAGGTTTTGTAAATTGTTCAATTTTTCGAAAGTTGTAGTCTTATGGAACATGGACTCATAAAATTGTGTTCAAGACAAAATTATTATTTTAGCCTGTGTGTTTTTAAGTAATTTACACATCGTTGGTGAAAGTATTCATTCGGAAAAATGTCATGAGAGTCGATCAAATCTTGCTGACAAAGTCTCATACGTTGAATCCAAAGAAGGCGGAACGCGGGACGATAAAGAGGCTGAGGATAATGATATCATCCCATATCAGGAGGGCTTAGAGATAAAACTACAACCCAAGCTAGTCAAGACGGTATATATGAACTATATAAGGTATATATCAACTCTGTTTCCACCAGTTCGATGGCACGGATATGTTAAAAAATGCAGGAGTATTGTGGAATAAATTGAACGATAGATATATATATATATATATATCGAAATGTCCCAAAAAGAAAAAAAAAACCGTTGCAGAGATCCTATCAGCTAACACTAATACCACAACAAAATGAACTCTTACAATATTACGAGCCCACAATAACAATTACTTTCAGAAAAAAACTACTTGTAAAGGACCATACTTTTTAAGAATTGACAAACTCCCCTGCGCAAAGTCAATGTTAAATAAATGCATTGTAAATATATAAATATACTTCAATAAATTCATATACTTTGTAACTATTTGTGTAGGACTTACCCGCTCCAGCTTTTGGAAATACTGCCGCAGGAATTGAACAGGATTTTCGGGACGACAAACGCATAGCTGGACGATGCAATCTTTAAGAACGCGTTGTATTCCATGGGACTGTATGTAGTGCTCGCACTCTCGCAAACTCTGCTGCTCCTCGAGCGTGTTGGCCATCATGTAGGACATATGTATGGCAAATCGTTCGGCTGCGTTGACGTCGGCACGGGCGTCGGCGCGGGCGTCGGCGTAGGTGGAGGAGCGCGTTCGAGATTGCGTATACGACGACGTCGTTGTTTTTCTTTCTTTTCAATACGCAATATACACAATTTATATGTATGTCGTGATGCTGTTGCGTCTCAGTATGCGTGCGTCTATGTGGGTTTGTGTCAGTGTAGTGTAAGTATGTGGCTTGTGCGTATGTCTGTCTGTTACGTCCGTCAGTCTTTTAAGCTTATCCGCGACGAAGACACCACAACGATGTTTTTAGGAGCACATGAAAAACAACCAATTTTCCACACACTAGAATTGTCAAGTGAATGGGTTGTGTGTGTGTTGTTGCTGCACCCCCCGCCAATGCCTTTGTATGTATGTACTTGTATTTGCCTGCAGCTTTTTTTTTATTCTCTGCTGGCCACTTGGTTTTCTATTGCTGTTTTCACTTTTGTAAATCGTTTGAAATGCCACTCGGACACATACAATTCGCACGTTCTTATTGTTGTCTAGCTCCTGTGTAATTAATGCAGCACACAGAGCATTGATTAATTATTAAACAGTAACTCAAATAATGTTTTTTCATTAAAACTTAATAAATCACGTACGTAAAACACTGACGTTGTTGTTGTTTTTGCTGCAAGTAGTGATGGGCGAACGAACGTTACAAGGCTATCGATAAAAGCTCGTTGAAGTTCAACAACACTACCATATTTGCTCATTCACAGTGAATGGCAAATGCAGTTCTGAAGTTGGAAGCGCAGAAGTTCGTTACTATAATTAACGCTTTTTCAGTGCTTTTTCTATGTTTTAAGCAATCAAACCGACCATCAAATCAGTAGCTATGTGGATGCAAACAACTGACAAGTACTTGTGCAATCAATCAAAGGTTAGTTGTTTAACTGTGCAACTATGAATGGTTTTAGATGCTTTTATTGATTTTTCCTTGGTACGCCAGCAGCTAAAATGCTTCACACGGAGACATTGCCCAACCACCAAGGCATTTACGCGCCGTTAAGTCAGGCAATGACGGATTCCGAATCTGATGAGGAAATTGAAATACACAACGTCAGCAAGCACCGAAAGCTACAGCAGCAGCAACAACAGCATCAGCAGCAACATCAACAACAACTTCAATCTCAACGCAGTCGCATACCACCAAATACTTTAGCCTTAAAGTCGCAACACACCCGCATTGTGGGCGGCGGCCAATTAAAGCAGTCGCTGCCACTGCCACAGAAATTCCAATTGGACACCCACAATACCAACAACAGCAGCAGCAGTTACACCACAAATATGCAAAACACATTCCGTTCGGTCATGCTGAGCGACTTGGGGCCCAGCAATGGCGCAGAGTTCTCCAATTTCAACAGTGAATACGATGTGAGCGCCGATAATGTGGCCATATTGGGAAGTAATAGCACAGAGCAGGATAAGAGGACGCCCATGTCACCGGCACGTCGTTGCTGCTTCATTGCCTCGCTCTTGCTGTGCCTCTTTACCATCGTGGGATTTGTTTGGCTAGTGCCCTGTGGCGATTCGGAGGGCGGTGGGGCGTGTCCAGCACCAGTGGATCGCATCAAGACACACAACCGGCTCAACAATTATACAAAAATTGAGCTTAAGGGTGGTGTCAATGTCGTCAGTGGATTGCGCTCATGGGAAAACAATTTAATATTTCTCTATCGCGGCGATGCCTTCTTTCCGGAATTTCGCCCGAACAATCACAAGCGCAATGGCATCATATCGCTAATTGGCAGCTCAGGTGCCGTAGCTTGGTATAATGAGATGGTTGACGAGCCAGTGGCCATAGATTGCACCCTACTCGATGTGGATCGAAATGGACGGCCCGATTGCCTCGTCATTGATGAGTATGGTGAGTTGGGTGCCGTTAATCCAGTATCCGGACAATGGCATTGGCGATACAAAGAGCGAGCAGCACATAAAGTGGATGCCTACAATTTTCCATTGATCTTGCCGGATTTGGATGGCGATGGCGTTTTAGATATATTGCTGGTGTCTAGCGTATCGCTAGAGAAACGCACCAAGACTTTCGTACAGCAACAACAGGAGCCGGGTACGCAGGCTGCCTCCCTATTGGAAGCGCGCAATGTCCTGAGAATTTTATCCGGTCATTATGGCAAGCCCATTGGAGATGGTTTCCGCGTTCACGAATGCACGCAAATCAGTCGCCTGCAATTGGAGCATGCCTCAACTATTACTTATACGTGTCTGCGTAATAATACGGAGCTGCAATGTTCCAAGACGCTTGCGGAACTCTATTCGCTCATCACCAACAAATCGATTGTGGGCCAAAAGCTGTTGCCAGCCTCCAAAATCTCACAGCATCGTCATTATGGGCAGCGCAAGGATATTGATTCGCAACGAAATATTTACTCTCTTAGCGGGCGAGAGCTTGTGGTTGAAAATCGAGGCAAATGTCCCGAGGATTGCAATGTAACGCTGGTGCTCAGTGAGGTGCGGGATGGAAAGCCAGCGCATGTGCTTCGAAATTTCACCAACACCGGCATGTACGGCATGGTGCCAGCTCAGTGGCACTTCAAGAACTCCAAATCCAAAATGTCCGGCTTTGTGATGAAGTTCTGGAAGTGGCATAATGTTCGAAACGATGCAACCATCTCCAAACAGCAGCAAAATAGCAACAACAATGTGCAAAAGAATTATACAAACAGTACTTTGAAAAACATAAATGCTATCAAGGACAACAACTCTAAGTCTTACAAGGCGCAACAGCAGCAAAAGAAGCAACAACAACAGCAACAAAGGCTGAAGAGACTTACACACGAATTTCCCCCCAGCAGTCATGAGTTTGATGCTTTTGACCATTTAATACAAAAACGCGAGACATACAGTGTACCAGTTAAGAACCTGACCAAGACCAGTGCTGGGCAGACATTGCTGCTCAACAACTATAAGATGCAGATGATAACCGAAACGGTAATATTGGTGCTATTTATTGGCGCCGACACACGCATCGAGAACACATCACAAAGTAATATTGTGCAGTTTTGTCGCAACAATCACAATGAGGTTGTCTGCCAACCTGATCTGAATAATCAAGAGAACTCGATGCTGATTGCTGATCTCGACCAGGATGGCTCACAAGAATTGGTCTCCTATATGTCCACCTTTGTGCAGGCCAACGAGGAGCCCGACAATTGGAAATTGGTCACTTATGTGCGTCTCTTGCGATTGCAGTCCGAATTGCCGGCATTTTACGACGAAGAGAAACGCAACTAGGTGGGCAACAATGTGAGGTTATATTTGGGAACGTGCATTTAAACATAAAGTTAATACGTTATTTGAGTAATTGTGTCATAACCATAAGTAGTCATTCGTAGCCTAATTGATATAGTTGCATGCGTATTAATATTGTACATTAAATAAATCCTTTTCTAGATTCCCAATAAAATATGATTCAAATGGAATCAAGCCGTTATTATTTGAGGCAAAATTGGCATCACTGTATTTTCAAAACTAATCAATCCAACCAGTGTTGTTAATCAACTTATTTCTGCTATCTGTCCGCGCAGCGCGTGAATGGCACAGCCTGCTCAAATGCCGTATCGCGATTGCAAAAATAAATAAAGTTAAAAAACGATGGATGAAGTGGATAAAATCATAATACACCAGCTTAACCAGATTGACCCCAGCATTGAGCCAAATGAGCAGTTGGCAAACTTTACGCCGGAGCTAGTGGTGCGTGCGGTCTCAAGCTGCCTCCACGAAATCAAACATGCAACAACAGTACTGCCTCTGCCGCGATCTTTGCCACCGGTTATGGCACAGCGTTTCACCGTCTGCACAACGCTGGCCGAGTCCTGCAAGACAATGGGCTATCATGGTGATGTGGGCTACCAAACATTCCTCTATCCCAGTACCGTCGAGCTGCGACGTCTTTTCATGTATCTTATTGAGCGCCTGCCGCGGGAACGGGAAGGTGGCGATGACCTGCACACACGGAAGCCGCTAAGCGCCAGTGAAATTTTGCGTAGGGATGTGCGCAAAAAACTTGCCACACAACTAAAGGCGCCCTGGATACCACAATTCTGTCGAGGCCTAGCCGCTCGTCTCGGGGAGGCAGAAGGCTGCAGTAGTCAATGTATAGAATTCGCACCGCAGCTCAACTTAAATGTGCCTGGCGCTGATCCAGCAGAACGCACGAAGGAAGTGCAGCAGTATTTTGATCAGCTAGCGCCAAGTGTTTTTCAACAAACGGCCGATAGCAAATACGATCTCATAGCCTCGGTGCTGCACAAAAACGATCTGGATCGTTGGGGCCATGTGGTGCCCACGTCGGTGACGGTCTGGCCTGTGCCAGGAGAAGAAACGAGCAGCTTGTCCATACCACAAATACCCCTCTCTGATACTGCTGATACTGCGAATGCTGAACAGACGCCGTTGCAAAAGCTCAGCGATCAGGTTCAGCAATTGCGCTCCCAATGCGAGGAATTGCTGACCAAACGCAAAACCCTGGAAGCCTATGTGGCGTCACTCAAGGCTCGTGAATTTGAGGCCACAGCGGAAGTGCAGAGCCTTCAACCTGTGCTCAAAACACACGAGCGCCTTGGCCTAGTTCTGGCCGAGCCAGAGGAGAATGTCGCCAAATTAGAGGCTCTCGTACGTAATACTGAAGGCAAACGTCAAAATCTCAACCAACAATGGCAGGAGTATCGTCAGCCATTAATTGAACAGCTGCACGCACTTAAAACGACCAAGGAGGGTCAACAGAAAATGCAAACCGTCCTGGCGCTGCGTACGACCATCGAACAACTGGAGAAAGAATTGCATCAGAAGACGGAACAGCACAACGAGCTGAACGAGACGCTCCGCAACATGACTCAGACAGTGGCCACACGTAAGGAATACACACGACGCATCCATGAGTTCATTGGCAACATACGCAAGCAGCGAGCAGACATCTCAAAAGTGCTCGACGATACGCGACAATTGCAGAAACAGTTGAATGTGGTCGGAGCTCAGTTGCAGCGTCAATTCAACTACACGGACGATCTACTCTTTCAGAGCGCCAAACACGACTTGCATGCCAAGAAGGCCTACAAGCTTCTGGCCCAATTGCATTCCAGTTGCAATGAGCTGGTCGAATGTGTCAGTCTTACCGGCAATGTTAGCAAAGAGATTCGTGACTTGGAGGTGCAAATCGATGGGGAGAAGCTGAAAAATGTGTCAACTAGCCTGCAACAGATCACGCAGCATATACAGGACCTGCAGGGAGAAATGCGCACAATGGAGCTGGCAGTAACAACAACATAATTAGTTGCTGCTTGCAATTAGACTATTAGTAAAAAGTGTAATAATAAATGTTTACTACACACGCGTAGCTTTATTTTTTTTGTTTAATAGAGACAAATTTGAACTATTTTCTAAAAAGTGTAATTGCTCGCTACCATTTTGTAATGGTATGGTAGGTATTGTTTATGGTAGATCGATGATCCTTATGGGTGGGTACGCTATACATTTGTATCGCTTAAGTAACGCTTGAGGTTTGCCTGGCAATTAGAAGTTACCCATTGCTCTGTTATTACTTGGAATTCCTCATCTAGGTGGCTTAACGCATCTAAATTTCTTGTCGTTGCATGCTGTGACCTCTTTAATAAGCGATAGTTCTGAAATTAACACAAATTGGTAAATTCAGTTCAATTGTTATTTTAATATATAATAATAACACTTTAAATTTCAAGACGAGTTTGAAGCCACATTGTTATTTTTAGATTCTGGAATAAAATAACTTTAATTCAATAACAATATTTCTGATTGGCTTTGACAATCTGAGAAATAAATTGATGTACAATCCAACAAACTTCGTCTTTCACACTAAATAGATACATAAATGATCAAGCAGCCTTTACATAGAGCTATTAATCTATTATTTTCTAGGCATATCAACGGTATTAATACTTTAAAAATAAATTGAAAAACTTGTTTAGAATTGAGTTTCAGGCATTCTGTTAACTTTGTCAGTATAGTCTGCAGATATAACTTGAGTTTGTGATACCTTAGCAAAAGCAACAAAGAATTTTCGCAACTAGAGAGTTGAGTCGCACTTACCTCGGCTGTTGTTGTGGAGATACGTTTGGCCAAATTCAACGCCTCATCGTTTACGCTGCAAGCCGGACTAACACAATTAATTAAGCCATTTGGTGTCTCTAAATCTGATGTATGCAGTCGCTCGCCCAGCAGGAACAGGCGCGTGTGCTATAAACAAAAAGGGAATGAGATGGAGACTATGTTGACTTCCTAATTACAGCGTCACTTACCACACTGTTGGAAACCTTTGGATGATTGTTCCAGAGTGAATAACCCTCTGGCAGATGTCCGAGTTTCGCATAGCTGGTATCAAAGTAACAATTTTCTGCTGCCACCACATAATCTAACAGAGGCAGTTGCATAACACCCAGATTTTTAATATTGCCTGCAATTCCAGCTATGAGCGGTTTCGGGAATGTTGCCAACGTTTTCAGGTATGTTCTGTAAAAGTAAAATGAATAAGCAAATCTGCATTTCAAACTTATGTCTAGCTTAACAACTTACTTCAATGCTGATGCCAATTGACTGGCATTGTTTTTGCGCTTTTCGACAGCAGGCGCAATCAGTTCATGGCAATCAATGCCCTGACAGAATTGCTGATCCTGCGTGCACAGGAGCACCGTATTGTATTCATTACTCTTGGCGACTTTGTTCAACATGTCTGTTAGTTTGTGTAGCAGCTGAATGTTATATGTGTGAGCGGATTTTGCACGCGCGGTATTGATCACTAATTGTGCCACTTTGTCGAGCTTGTGCAGAGTCACTATCTGAGATTTGTTTGTGTTAGCACTATTGGGGGACTTTCTCTCCTTTTGTGGCTGTGAATCACGCTTCAAATCGTTGGCCAGTGTATGTCCAGCGCTGGCGTCGCCGCTTCTTTGGCTTGATTTAGTCTCGGGCTTCAAGAACTTGAACGACGGCTCATCATCGGATAGAATTGCATTTGGTTTTGCGTCCAGCGATACGCGAGTTACGGAGGCATTACTCGAGTATGAACTGTTGGATCGTCTTCGCATTATCATCGATTCTTCGCTGGCACGCTGCTTATATACATAATCCCACGAGTCGGAGGCACGTGATTTAGTTTTGCCGGTGACTGTGCTTGTCTTCGCAAAAACTGCATCAACATCGGACGTTGCACTCTTTGCAGATTTGGTTGGTTTCGCTGCGCTAGCGTTGTTAGTGGTTTCCTCTTTCTTCGGCGATACGGTTGTGGAATCTCCCACACGCGTTGGCTGTGAAGTAATAAATTCAAGATATAAGGTAAGTATTTTTTCAAAGAAGTTTTCGTCTTAAAACTCCAAAATTTGATTAATTTTTTTTTAACTCCTGACTCCAGTAATTTGCGCCTAATCGGGTTAGTAAGTATTGATTTCAATGAACCTAATTGGTATATGAATCAGTTTCCCGGTATTGATATCTTACTTACCCTTCCCACTATGGTCATTGCGCGTTTCCGCATGACCTTATTGTTGGTGTTATTGTTGTCCCCTCCACTTAACTCGCGCTTCTCCTGCTCCACGGCCTGTATCATTACCACAGCACCCTCATCGCCCATCAAACGATCGAGTTCACTGATCTTTTTCTTCTTGATTGCACCAGCGCCATTAGGCAGTGTGGAGACGGGTGTTTGGGAGCGTCGCTTTGAAGGCGATGTCACCTCAACTTTTGCTGTTGGTGCTCTTGAAGGTGTTGACGCCCGTTTGACCGGCAGCTTGATGGGATCTTTCAACGCGCTCTCTGGACGTTGTCGTGCCTTGGGAGTTGTAGCGCGTGCCTTTTTTGCCATTCCCTCCTTCTTGGCCACTTGTGTCAGCAGCGTTGGACTGGATATATTGCTTGGTTTGATAGCGCTGGTTGTTGTTACTGGAGGGGGCGTGGAAACAGTTTTGGGACTAGCGTATTGAGAATATGATCTTTGTGTTTCGGGTACATCGGGATCCCATATTATTTTCCTTTTGATGACACGCTGGCGCTTGAAACCTGCAATTAAATTCTACCAATAAATAACTATTTGTTTACAGGGTAATCGTGCGCTTACCAATGTTTTCTGTACTGGAGGATTCGGTATTGGCCCCACCTTCTTTTTCAATGAGCTTTGTTGGCTTTGGAAATGGTGGCATTGCTTTTACGACCAACACGCTGTTAATGATTGGCTTGTCGTCCAAATGAGATATGTCCCGCGAAGGTTTCATCATTTTTACTTGCAGTTTTTTAGTTGCTTGCAAGAGGCTTGCGTTGGACACAATAGCATCATTTCCACCGCTATCGTACTCACTCCAATCGTCATTGAGTGTGCTTATTATATCCTGTGGCTTAGCAGTGACATTTGATTCCTTGCGACGCGCTTGCGCCTGCGACTTAAGGTCCGCCATTTGTTCCAACGCCACGGCACGCGCCTGCTCCGGTGATAGTTTTGGTTTGTTTTGGGGCTTGTTGCTGTGCATTATTGGTGACGACGTGGTCTTTTTAGTAGCATCGACGTGAGGTGCTTGCGCTTCCAAACTATTATCACCATCATCAATTTCCATTATTTCATATTGCCCCTCACCTTCGATGGTGACGCCCACATTATCCAGTTCAGCTAGGGCCAGTTCTAATTTCTTCTCCTCTTGGTCATGCCCCGTGTCTGTGCCCTTCAGCAGTGCAATGAGATCAACCTCCTCCAGAGCGGACGCGGCACCCTCGCCCTGTACATGTTGCAATCCATTGCCTGATTCAGTTGGCACTGTGCGTGTCGCTGCAGGCTCGTTATTAGCGGTTTTAGTGTCAGTTCCACTTCCACCATTTTCAGCACCGCTGCTGCTGCGAACGGGAACAGATTTTCCACATTCTTGCAGTCCCTCCTCGGACTGCTCTGCGACACTCGATTCAATGCTTATGTTATGCATTTTTGCGATTTCCTGTTCTAAAGAACTTAACTCATCCAATTTATCCAGCTTCACGGTACTTTCGTCATTAGCTGCACTCGCGATTTTCGCGTCGGCGTCAGCATTGGTATCATGTTTGTCCACGGCAGTGGGCGCTCTTTCTGGTACGCTGTTTTTTTCGTCAATTGTCACACTTTCCACAGCCTTCTCCATATCCAGCTGAAGCTCTACCACCTGCGCCATCTATAAAAGAATCTGCAATTGCCGTTACAGCAAATATACACGTGGACGTTTCACAAATTCCAATGCACAATGCACTTTTTAACTAAACAAAATTCGCTCTATGATGCACTTGCTGCGAAGCGGCCATGTTTTAGTGATGACATTAAAATCGATACTCTGCTCTCGGTATTCGATACCAAATACCAAATCGGCGCAAAGAAAAGCGCTAAATAATACCGTTGCTGGCTAGCGCACCCCCCTCTACTCCATACGCCGAAGAATACTTCATGAAAAAAATCCTTCGCAGGATAAAAACTGATTAAAGGAGCGCATTTACACAAAACTAAGCGCTAAAACTAAAGGGGCGAAGGCACAAACGGTGCAATCGCTAACGGACTGAGCGAGAATAACGCAATTATTTAGCGTGGTGCTGGCAGAATGTGGGACTCCATGTTTCTGAGTACCTTGACGCCGAAGTTTTATGTCGCACTTACGGGCACTTCAAGCTTAATTTCCGGACTTATTTTGATCTTTGAATGGTGGTACTTTCGCAAATATGGCACTTCGTTCATCGGTAAGTTGTCTGCACAACAAGGGATGCATCCACAATATCTATGTACATGCATATCTATATGCTTTTAATGGCTATATGTTTTTGCAGAGCAAGTCTCCATCAATCACATAAGCCCCTGGATTAATGGCAACGACGCACAGTCCGACAGCAGCAATGGCAGTGGCAGCAGCAGCAGCAGCGGCTCAAGTAGCAGCAGCAATGGTGGTAACGGTGGTGGTGCGATTGGCGGTGCCGCAACCACCGGCACTGGCACCGCCGCCATGCCCGAGTGTAAGGTTTGGCGCAATCCGCTAAATCTGTTCCGTGGCGCCGAATATCAACGCTTCTTTTGGGCGACAAGCAAGGAGCCGCTTACCTATTACGACATGAATCTGAGCGCACAGGACCACCAAACATTCTTCACCTGCGAGGGAGATGCACGCAAGGAGGAGTATGAAATCATGCAGACAGCCTGGCGTGAACGCAATCCAATGCAACGCATCAAATCAGCGCACAATGCGCTGGAAATCAATTCAGAATGTGCACCCGCTTACATATTGCTGGCCGAGGAGGAGGCTATGACCATTATGGAGGCAGAGAAAATACTCAAAACGGCACTAAAAGTGGCCGAGATTAATTATCGTAAGTCACAGGCCACACAACATCAAGGGGCCATTGCGGATGGAGTGCATCGGCGTGATACAAACGTGCTCATTTACATTAAGCGACGGTTGGCCATGTGCGCACGTAAGTTGGGCAAACTCAAGGAGGCGGCCAAAATGTTTCGTGACCTCACCAAAGAGATACCCTCGATAATGAGCGTGCTGAACATACACGAGAACTTGATTGAGACGCTATTGGAGATGCAAGCGTATGCCGATTGCCATGCCATATTAGCTAAATACGATGACATCTCGCTTCCAAAGTCGGCGACAATTTGTTATACGGCCGCGCTGTTGAAGGCGCGCGCCGTAGCCGACAAATTCTCGCCAGATATTGCGTCGAAACGTGGCCTGAGTCCGGCTGAAATGAGTGCGGTAGAGGCCATACATCGTGCTGTTGAATTCAATCCGCACGTACCGAAGTATTTACTTGAGACAAAGCCACTCATATTACCGCCCGAGCATATTTTGAAGCGTGGCGATTCCGAGGCCCTGGCCTATGCGTTCTTCCACTTGAAGCACTGGAAACAGGTCGAGGGTGCCCTCAACTTGCTGCACTGCACCTGGGAGGGCACATTCCGTATGCTGCCGTATCCGCTCGAGCGTGGTCATCTCTTCTATCCATATCCAACCTGTACCGAATGCGCCGATCGCGAACTGCTGCCCGCTTTTCATGAGGTCTCCGTCTATCCGAAGAAGGAGCTCCCCTTTTTCATACTCTTCACGGCTGGTCTGTGCTCGTTTACAGCGTTGCTGGCACTTCTCACGCATCAATATCCGGAACCTATGGGCTTGTTGGCACAGACGGTACTTACTTGGATTTCGTATCCATTTCAGTTGCTTAAGGAACGTATCGAGGCATTCTGGCCGTGTCTTCAGCAATTGTCGCGCGTCTAGACTCAACGAACCACAAACTAACGCACACTCTCAATCATAAACAAACACACACACACACACCACATATTCATCTGGCAAGTGAATGGCATTATTGAAACACATTCAAATCAAGCTACAAAACTCAAATACAAACAAAAACGTGCATACATACATATATATTTTGGATCTTAATATGTCTGTGTTGTCTTCGTGAAATAAAAGAAAAGAAAAACTAACAAACGAAAGTGATCCTAACATTTTGCAAAGGCATTTCCATTGCAAGGCTACAAATAATGAAGTAATTTTAAGTTTTAATTTTATTTTTTATTATAATGAATACGAACAAACCAGCTACTAAATGCAGAAATATTAATTTCATTTAATTTATTAAAATCCTTGTTTCAATTACAATTTTTAGCTCACGTTCTGTAGATCTGTTATTCGTTTTGAAAGTGGGAGAAGTATTAGAGATGAGCATGAATCGGTTTATTTCGGCCACGAATCGAAAATTTAAATGTAATTTAAAATTTGGTCAATGTGGGCTCAGCCGTTTCCAAAATCCGGGCGCACATTGGTCGATTTCTCTTGTCATGCTGATTAAGATTATATGTACATACATATGTGAGGTCCGAGATGGGTCCTTCCTGGATTTACTACATCAGCTGAGTTTTCTTAAGCAGACACGATTTTTGTCTTAGTTGTTTACGGTTCTGCAATGCCATTATGTCAGCTACAATTTCCAATACTTCGAATTAAATTTAAAGCCCCAAGCAGACCAATCTATAGTTATTTAGTCATTAATTTCTGTCCAGTCATAGCAAATCACACTTTTGGAATTCACGAAAACATGGGTTTCAGTTAACAATTTTGGAATTATTTATATTAAATTATTTGATCAAATTCTTTTTTTCGCTTTAAAATATGTACATTTTGTTATCTTTAACACACGAAATATGAGGTACACATGTATTTATGTACGAGGGAAAATCAATGATCGAAATAAAAATGAGGCAATCTTTGGTTTGTAAATAACTTTGATTTATTTGAACTTCAAATCAGATTATTTAAATGCGTTTAAAGCTACTACCAATGCTATAAAATCGTGATTTTAAAAACGAATCACATTATAATTTTTGTTTTAACTGCGTCTCTGAATTTGTGCACCGTTATTTGTGTCATATAAGCACCCGTTTTCGTTAAATATTTGCTCTTCACAACTTGCAAATGTTGTAAAAGCCCATACATTTGTCACATTTAATCAATAACCCGTTATAGTTATTCGGATTGAGGGACAAAAAATGGTCCTTCACGGCTCGTAAAATTGAATCAAATTTACTTTTAATTAACTCATAAGTGATTTCTTCGTATATGGTCAAAATATACTCCAGCATTTTGAAAAGCACAGTCTCCGTAGAAATAAAGATTTTCAACACAGAGTGTAGATCATCCCGGATGGACTCCATGAAAGTGCGCGTCAATTTCATAATAAGATCGAACACTTCCGGAGCAAAGCGCTCAACCATATTCCCAATAAGGTTCTCAAAGCTTTCGGCATTCAAAATGTTCGTGAAAATTACATCTCCGTACTCCTTTAAGTTAAGAGCAATACCACAGGCAAAAGAAATCGAGCAATCTCGTAATGCACGCACTGCTGCATCCATATTTGTTGTCTCTGGTGTTTCAAGTGATGTTGGATTGCGAAACAACACCCGTGCATATCCAGAACCTGTTCTACCTGCCCCTTCATAGCCTCTTGGTATCGGCTCAGTTACCTGACCCAGTATGTCTGGACCAACATTGTGTTGGACATTAGCACGAAAATCCTGGGTGTTCGTTACTTTGACTTGATCGTTGAGCACTATTCCTGTACCATCAGAAGCGAAAGCGGGTCGAACACCCCGCTCGTTCAATTGCTTATTTATCTTGAACATATCATTGAATTGCTGCTTCGAAGGCACTTCATTGACGTTGCGTATGATGTCCATCTTGCCTTGTGTAGGGCCCCGTAAGCGTTGTGTCTCCTTAGCAATCTTATCGAAAGATCGTCTGAAAATGTACAAAAATATTTGTTATCATTTCTTAGAATTACGTCGCATTAATGCAGCTTAATTACACATACCGCTGTCGATTGCTCAAGGTCTTGCGATAACTTGAAATCGTGCTATTTTGCGTCTCACTAATAATGGTCGAGGCCAGTCGGAAATTGTAAACGCTATGCGTAAAGAGCACTAGCGATGCTGATAATTGTAGGACGTCCATTGTAGAGACATCGTCACCATCTTGGCTTTTCTGTAGGAGTATAGAAAGGTAATAATCATTATCTTCGGCGCATTGAGCGCTCTCTAAATTATAGATAAACTTATCAAGAATTAGGTACCCGTCATAAAACTTTTATGCTCACCAAAATCAATTCAAGTATTCCATTGGCCACACCCGTCCCGGAAATCACAATGGAGGAAATATTCATGCCATTGATTGTCATTTGTGCAATCTTAACAATAAGAAGCTCAAATTATTTAAACCTGTTCCCTCTTTCTCTGTATCTTCACTTACTGTCCCAACTTCGCGACCAGCGCGGGTTGCCGCTGTCATGGCACTTGTAGCTCCTGCAGCTCCCAGGCCCACTGCACCAGCCACGACCCCAATCCAATGTCCACGTGCCGCTCTGTCTGTCACATTTATCGACTGCTCATGCTGACCACGATCGATCAGTTGCCCGGCCGAACGTGCTGTTGCATATCCAGCTGAGGCCAATCCCACACCAGCACCAACCGCCATAACAGGCGCAGCAATGGGCATTGCAAAAATTGCAACTCCGGTCAACAGGGCTGAGCCGAAGGCACCAATAGCTGATGCGGTGTCTGCAACCTTGAGTGCTTTGTACTTAGGGGTGCCAGCAGGTGTTACGTATTTAACCAGCTTAACGCTCCCCTCACGTATGTTGTAAACGCCATTTTCAGGTGCAACCATAACTCCAGGTGGTAGTTCATTATCCTCTACATACGACTGCCAATTCTGATAAACACGCCCGTTTTCATCAACAAAGATCATACAACAATTGGAGCTGCTGCTATCTACGCCAACTTCGTCCGCTGCGTACACACAAAATAATAACACAATTCGGGAATTTTTGAAGGCATTGTCTTACAAATACAGCGACGCGCACGAAATAGTGGATGACAAGACCACTCCACTGAATTTTCCGCATTAGCGACACCCGTCTCTTCAGGCACAACAAGCACATAAATGATCGAAGTGAGTGACTGCCGATTGGTGTATTTGCCTGTTAAGGGTAAAATTAAGGTTATTATTGCCATCCGGCAAATAATTAATTTAAAAATTGTCTCACGTTGTTCCCAGACGGCAGTAAATATTGAATTTCGGGCATTTTCAGCCGCACGTTTCTTCTTGTCATCTGATTCCCTTGGATCGGGTATAAGTTCCCTGATTTTTTTCTGTAGCAAGTCAGCCATTGTTTGAGATAAGCTGCAAAATGTGAGATGATGTCATTTAAATGTACAAAAAACCGAAGTATGTTTGTGACTCACAGATCCCAAATGACTTCGTCACCATGGCCAAGGGATTCAGCAAAATCCTGCTGAATTTCTTTAACACTACGCGCCCCCTCTGCCATTATTTTATAAATTTATGTCTGCTGCTTCAACGTGGTTGCAACCCAATGATTGTGAATTACGGGGGACGCACCAATTTATTAATGTCCGTCGTGACTTGTGGCTGACTTTGTGCTAGCGATGACACTCCCCACATGTGCAAGATCGTTGAACAGCTGTTCATCTATCGTCTATCCTTTTGTCTATCGATATTGTCACGCCTAACGGCCATTGGAATTTATTTGTAAAACATGCACACATTTACTAAACAAAATAAACATTAAAAAAAAACCAAATTAATATGTGTATTAAAATCTGCAAAAGAATCTGTATTGTTATTTCGATGCGAAGTTCGACATACAAACGTACTTATGTATGCCGAAATGTGTGTAAACAGATTATGAATTAAAAGCCACAATCTGGTCTGCAGACCGGTTTTAATGAAAGCATTAAGAAAAAAAAGCCCAGAGAGCAGGCATGATTGTTCTTAAATCTGTATACATATACATATGTAGATGTATGTATGTATGCCCTGATTTTTATATGAAAGCACTGAACTTGCAATTCTATTTGGCCACAGCCGAACGGTGACTAACTTGCTGTCCAATTTCTCTGCGTCCGCATTTCCCCGTCCGCTACTTTGGGCGATTCCCCGAAATTGGCTTTTCATCTATATACATATATAAAAATATACTGCACGAACATTTTCATTTATGTATATTATAACTAGTTAAACGGTCCTGGCACGCAAGCTAACGTTAAGAGCGCAAGCAAAGAGCAAACGCTTGCATACTCTATAGTGGAAATTATATATACTTGGTGCAACTGTATGTGACATTCAAAAGCAAACAATCTAAGGGAACGTTATTTTCTTATTCTAGAGCATGTTCCCAAAGTTATCTGTTCACCCTTTTACACAATGCTGCATAATTGATTGAAAAACTAATAAACTATTTCGATTTCTGCACTTAATTTATTTTTTACATATACAATAGAATAAAACCGTTTCTATGGAGTTGTTAAAAGCTAATTATTGGCTGCTGTGTGTGAATACTAGTGTTTTAGTAATTACTTAACTAAATGATCCAGCTCGATGAGAAAAACAATTAAGTTTATATTTGTGCAATTGTTTTTAAGTAGAAAAATTGCTTTGTTTGTATTTTTAAGTAAATCTCTTCACAAAAGCTGAAAGATTTAACCGAAAGGGATTTCGGTGTTACCAAGAATTGGTTTTCGGTTGATATTTGTTTCTGAGAGATTTCTGTAACACCCCGAATTTACGTCAAAATTTAAAACAGCGCGAAATTGATTTTCCTAATTAAATAAATTATTCTAATAATAAGTACGAGCGTTGTCAATAGTTGTCATATGAAATCATCGGCTGCTCACACTTCTGTGTCTCTGCGATTGTAAGGAAGTTCGCTGAACTTCATCTCGAATTACTAAACCCATAGTTCTATGTGAAAAGTGACAATAGTTTAGGCCAAAGCAGCGAATATTTACTAAACCATAAGAAAAAGAACTCATACATTGAAGATCCTGTGTAGAACGGCTCGGGGGAAAATTTGTTCTAAATTCGTAGAAGCGATAATTATACTGCTACCAACTATGTATGTATTACATAAAGAGTATTCTACCGTCGAATTCGTCTCTTCGTTGTCATGCAATTCCTCTCTCTCTCTCTCTCTCTCTCTCTCTCTGTCTCTGTCTCTCTCTCAAACTTTTAGTGAATGTTTAGGTTGTTGGTCGTGTAATAAGAGAATAGATTTCGTATTCTAATGCTCGTATTCTCATAATGCTCAATACTCAGATACTTTGTTTTTATGCTTTGGAATATTTTATAACTTGAGCATTACTCGCTTGTTGCAGGAACAAGTCAACTGAGCGAATCGAATACTAAAAACCGGACCCCATAATCCAATATCTGGCAGTTGTGCGGCGAATAGCGTGCAAGGCGGTTGTAAATCGGGCGCGAATTCTCAACGCAATATACACAATTTATCAAAGATATTTGGAACGCGGCAAGGCAACATTAAGAAATATACTTACATACATATACATATGTATATAGAAGCTGCAGCGTGATCAGCAGAAAAAGCAAACAAAGAGATTCTTGTTTCTGCTGTCCCCCAACGAAGGGAAACGCATTTCTTGCCAACTCTACGTTCTTAATTAGAATCATTTACGTTTTAATTAAATAAGTGCATTCAATTAATTGTAAAATGAGTGACCTACAGCATATATCATTACAAATGGATAAGGTGGCCGATGAGCATAAAACTTTGAAGTCGCCGGTAAGTGGAAGCTTCTAATGAGCAACGCGGGCAATAAAATAAATATATGTATATATAGAATACATATGCTTGTGTAAGCTGTACTTAGTTTAATAAAAAATATACAGTTCGTATATTAAAGCATATTGTTTACTTTACGGCTTAGCCACTGCAAACTTCTGTATATATTTTATACGCAGTATTAAGCTGTACGTAGTTTAATAAAAAACAGTTCGTATACAGTTCGTATATTAAAGCATATATGTACGTTTGTACGTAAATATTAAATTGTTTACTTTACGGCTTAGCCACTGCAAACTTCTGTATACGTAGTATTAACTGATAATTGCTGTGCATACAAAACTAAACGTACATTTGGGAAAGTTGCAAAAAAATCCCAAATTAGTCATGTGTGCTGGACCAAAAAAAAAAAATGAGGCACAACTAACTTTGAATTCGAAGTACATATTCATTATCTGTTATATTTATATCGTTCGTACTGCTACTATTTGTATGAAAAAACTTCATTTATAGTTTTGGATAATAACATATAGTTTTATTTACTCTTTCTATACAATTTGAAGAAAGTGTGTTTGTTTCATCAGCTCCTATAAATGTTCTACAAACAAAGAATACTTCTAAATGCAGTTCGCATGCCCGCAATCAGTTTAATCTAGCTGGAATATTAAATTGTCGCGTATAAAGCATTTTCATTCCATGGCTAAGTATGCGTGAAAATAAAAAAGAAAGCGGCAAAAACCCAATTGATTAGCATTTAGAACTACGTCCGTCTGTATGAAAGCCTCTAACTCGCAGACAGTCAGCGGCAGACGCAAAAAACTTGTTATGAGTGTTTTGCTAAGGTCGAAGTATAAAATATTAACGTTTGAGTTTGAAAATCCCAATTTCCTCATAGAAATGATCTATGAAAAGTTTTACAATTTTCAGTATACAAACTGATCATTTATTTTTATATACCCAGAGTGTTAAATGTTATATTAGAATGATCAAATGTATGTAATAGAAGAATGTGTGGACCTCCGCATAAGCCGTTCAACTAGTTCGTACTGAGAATTGTCTTACCAATACGCAGAACGAGCTTATACTATAACTTATCTATATTTGGTATTCATAAGTTACACATTATAAGCCAACATGTTCTAAAATTGAAATAAAACCGATGCGCTATATCTTATAACTCTCATTAAAGTGATTGGCACATTAATTGCTCTTAGTACTCAAATTTTTTTTTGCTTTAATGATATCGTAGCTAACACACGTTTTGGTTTTGTTTCTATAGTTTCTGGACATAATCTGAATTTTCATAAAATGTTGTATACTGTATAGCTGAAATGGAAACGATTGTTACAAAAATTTCTCTTATTACCAACTGATATTAAATTATTTAATGATTAGAAGATATTTAGAACACATCCTTCTAATTTAAGGTGTCATTTAAATTGGTGCACTAAATAATATAGCTGCCATAGGAACGATCTGTGAAAACATCAATCTTAGTACCAAAAATGTGTATTACCATACAAGTATTGCATATGAAACATCTTTGCTTCTTGAAGTTGGTGGACAGGTGATATTTACAAAATTCAATTGAAAATTCCTCCTAAATATAGTCTTTCGGTATCACTTCTTTGTATATTGGATGGTTTGTTTATTATACTTTATTTTTATTGTTCTCTTTAAAATTGATAAATACATTTTAAAAATAGACTCATTACCATATTTGATTTAATAATCTTGTCATGTTTCACATTTTAACAGCAAACCAATCACAATGCTGCCACCGAAGCTCGCAAAACACAGCGCATGGCACGAGCAGGTTAGTAAATAATGCTTCAAATTAAATTCGCAATAAAACTGTGCCTAAAATCTTTCTGCATGTCGTCTATCACACCAAACAACTTTTAACTGTCTATTCTAACATTGTAAGTGTATTTTTCGCTGACAATATTGTTGGTGACTAAATTCTTTTTCTGCCTCCAAATCTATAGTACCGGAAATCGACGACGATGAAAATGATGAACGTCCATTTGCCAAAGATGGCACCAATCCAGGTGTGGATGATGGTCTTCTAGTTGGTGGCGCCATGCCAAATGGCGGTCGCCGGCCAAGCTATGGATACCCGGACTACCACGAACCCGGCTTTGTTGACATCAATGGCGTGCAAACTCCCATACCAGATGTGAACGCCTATCAGCACAAAAAAACTCTCGCCCAGGGCATGATGGATCTAGCCCTGCTTTCAGCAAATGCGAATCAATTGCGTTATGTGCTCGAAACAAATCGGCAGCATCCATATTATTATCCCAGCTTAATATTCATATCACTGAGCATCATATTTCAGGTATGTTCATTCTTCATATTCAAAAAAAAAACCCCCGCTTTGGAACTATTGAATGGGGACTTGAAATAGTTGGGAATATTTGAGCAAGCATACATATGTAATATATTAAAAAAAATTTGTAAAGCTCAAAATGTTCAGACATGTTTAATTTATGTAAAGAAATAAATAATAATAACTGGGTTCGTCATCATCAGATCCAAAACTGGTACAAATTGTTTATATATATACTTACTTGTACTTATGTGTGTGCGTGTGTAATTCATTGTGTGCTTCACAGATTGCGGTCGGCGTTGGACTAATATGGAATGGCAGATTCAATATTAAGGACAAACGGGAGATCTGTCGGGCAAATAAAATCAACAATTATACAGTCATTGGCATTTTTATTGTAACGGTTGTCAATGTGCTTATATCAGCATTTGGTGTGGCCGATCGGCCCTCTGCATAAACACACCATACTCATGTCAAATTTGTCAAAAACAAATCCCACTCCATATATTTATATTATTAATGAAAAAATTGTGATAAATAAAAAAATAAAACATTTATATATTTTTGGCAAGTATTCGAATGATTTACATTTTTTCACAATATTAAAATATTAAGCAATAAGCAATTATTAGAGAAATCACCATCTATAGGTAATGCGTTTTGCACGCAGACTACGTTCTAATTAGTGTAATAATTAGCATGATAGCATTTTTTTTAATCTATGCCATTGTGCTAAAAATATTATTCCCATCGTAACTACTAGATAATAATATATTTCAAATCCAAAGCAATTAATATAACCCAAGGAGAAATAAAGTACAACTCTGATAAAATAAAAGTTGCAACTTAAATACATCATACATACATACTTCATGATGCATGATACTTCAACTGGATGCAATCTTGGTGCTTTGTTAATTAATTGCACCTCAACTAATGACTTGATTTAGCCATATCCAAGATTCAGATCGTATTCAGTATTTCTCAGCTAATTCTGCTCCTGTCTTAATGCATATTAAATATGAATCATTGCCTTGGGTGTTCCCACAGTGAACATCCGATAGTTTTAGCAACAAGGTTGTGTTGAATATAGCGAGTCCACTTTAAGTTGTAGCTCTAGTTATGTAAATGGTGGTGCTGAGTTATGGAATCATTATCAACAAAACCACTGACTCTAGACATGATGGATGGCGCATTACTATAGGAGTATGCAAATCAATGCCGTTGCGGTAGTCATTTTGTTATTCATATTATATTGCATACATATACTCCTTCATTATTCATTTCGCTGGGCTTTATATTAGCGTTATGGAAAATCAAATCCGTGTATGCGATTACAATAAAAATATGCCGAACAAATTGCATCGTCGTTGATCTTTTTTGTATTGGATCAAAATTGGATCACATCCGTCATCCAAATAAAGTCACAGTTAACCAATTACAATCTGATGTTGCTATATAAAAACATTGTGATTTAATTAATTAACTAATGCAAAACCCTGAAAAGTATCGATTTCGAATCTTATAAAAGCGCGCAAGGCACACGCAACTCTCTATAAATATCAATAAGTATACATTTACGAAACGACGTTTGCCAACACTGGTAAGTCAGCTGTGCGTTTTATAGTTGCAAGTTGTTGGGCGAGCAACGCTTACTTGTTAACAATTTGTTTAAAATTGTAGCAAATATTTAATTCAACATGGCAAAAATATTAAAAGCGGTAAGTTGAACGATCGCACAGTTATTATTGCATGCTTGGGGATAGCACAGGTTATAAAGCGCTTCGCACCCATTGCAATTGTTATGGTTATGTCATCAAATAGAAGAACCGATAAATAATTGTATTACAATAGACTCATTCAATTCTCTTTTTTATAGTCCACAGGCCTAACAGGTCTGGCCGTTTCTACCAATCCACACCACACACTATGCGCCTTGTATGGCAAAATTTTACGCGCCGTGGCCAAAATGCCGCAAGAAGCCAGTTATCGCAAATACACAGAACAATTGGTGAAGCAACGTGCGGATGCTGTTGCCAAGGTTAGTGGCATGCTATTAGTTAACTGTATGGCGTTTAATATGAATCTTCTTTCAGAACAAAGACATTGTCGCCCTTGAGAAGGCCGTCGGTTGTGGTCAAGTCGAGGAGTTGATTGTGCAGGCAGAGAACGAATTGATATTGGCACGTAAAATGCTCGGCTGGAAGCCATGGGAAAAACTGGTACAGCCAGCGCCAGCCAGGCAATGGGACTGGCCACCAGCCCAAATATCTGAGCCCAAAGTCTAAGCCACCCAAAAAATACTATATCCTAACTAGTTTTGGCTTGCATCTATAATGTGTTGTTCGAAGATTTCGGAACAGAAATAAAAGCCGTAAGAAACATAAGCAAAGTGTAACATAAAAACAACATTTTTGAAATGCCTTTAAACTGCATGGAATGTAGGAACGATTTAGCTGATGGTATTATAATTTTGGTAACCTCTTTCAGTTTTTGCGTTTATTTCATATATCAACTACATTTTGGATAAATATTTTTGTTAAAATTTGTTAAATTAAGAAAAGGGCACAAACTATCGGTCGTATCTCGATGCAATAAATATTGCATTTGTTTTTTCTGATCAAAAAGAAAACAAACATTTTCAAATAGCATTTTATGCATAACTATCAAAAAAATAAAATTGAAATAGCCCAAAGCTGAATAAAACGTACGTTCAATTTTGAGATACTAAAAAAAACTTCAACAACTAGTACAACCTTTCATAAGTTGGTACTTTCTAGGATTTCCAATTGACGCCAACAGTTACTTCATTGATTGTTCGGATTGGATGGCTCAACAAACAACGAAAAAGGGGAACCACAAAAACATGCCGGTTAAACGGTTATGGAAATCTAAGCAACATAGTTATCAGTTAATGTAGCATTGGGGATTTCTCATTCTCCAACATTTTGCGCAATAATATATTTGTTTTGACCCAATGTGCAGGTTTAGTAAATTTGTCTGATAAGAGAACTTAAATGAACAACGTTCGGATGCTTATAGTTCAGTTGTGCTGTTCAGTGCTTCTTCAACATGCGTGCTGTGCACAATATTTTTTTGCTGTTTCTCCTTTTACTATGCATTGGATGTATAGTTTCCGTGCCCCTGGCGGCACGCCAGAGGCGCCAAATCGACTTGACCGTCTCGGCTGAGCATGAGGAAGATGAGACGGAACTGGCGCTGGAAGCCATCGCTGGACTCTGGCAGAGCGCGGATAGTCGAACGAAAATTGATGGATCGGCGCGTGTGGTGCATCGCGATAGCGGGAATGGGGGTAAAACAAGTTACAAGACGCAAATACATCTGCGTCATGAATATAGTAAATAAACACACATCTTGTGAAGGTGCACAACAGGATTGGCGTCTAGGCGTGCGTGTCGTATTCAGCTAGAAGTCCGTGGCGGGAGCGTATGCTAAAAAGTGTCGATGGAGGTCGGAGCTATTGTAAATTAATTGAAAATTGTGGCTTTGCGTGTCTTGCCGCTACCATAACTGGCATTCAGACGACGTCGTTAACCTTCCCGCCATTGCCTGCCGTCTGATAACCTATTGACCTAATCGCAATGTGTTCTATAAACAAATACATCTTACATATACATACATATATAGCCGGGCAAATGCCTTTTGTTTATTGATTGATTCACTTTTAATTCGTTTACAAATGCTTACCGACCGTCACGCAGTGGCGTGTTGGTGGGGATGATTGTTCTTGTTCCTGCCAACAACAAAAACAACAAACTTTATGCTTAAAACTACAACAACAACAATTGCACAATGTAAGTAGCACGATAGAGACGTGGACGCCATAAGTATAAATGCCGTTATCAATATGTTGTATCCTTTTGCTCCCGTCAAGTTCAATCCAATCAGTAAATTATGCGCACGCCGTCCGCCTCCTGCTTCTTCAGCTCGCCAACGACAAAATCGCGAAATTCGCGGTAGGCCACATCGATGTCGACATTCTCGATGACCTTGTGGAAGTTGCCGGGCGTCAGTCCGTATGATATCTCTATTTCGGCCGCATTAAGACGTTTTCGTAGGGTCTCCTCCGTTTCGGAACCACGCAGCCGCAGACGACGCTCCAGTTCAGCAACAGTCGGTGGATTATTAAATATCAGTATGGGATTGAGATCGGTTTTCTTTATTTGCTCTACGCCCTTCTGTTCAATGTCCAGAATGCATACACGTCCCTGATTCTGTATCTCCCGCACCGCCTGCTTGCTGGTGCCGTACAAATTGCTCGAAAACTCGGCCGTCTCGATGAACTCATCATTGCCGATGGCTTGCTCCATGTCCGGTCGAGTGACGAAATAGTAATGCACGCCATCCTGCTCCCCTTCCCTCGGTTGTCGAGTCGTGTGGGATATGCTGAATCCAAAGGTATTTGGAAATTCGGCAAAAAGACGTTTAAGCAGAGTACTTTTGCCTGAGCCCGAGGGACCGCAGAGAACGAGTGGGCGTGGGCCGCGTGACATTGCGAGGCCGGCACTACTGCTAAGTGCGCGATTCACAATAAACAGAAAGCTTATCATGGCGGCTGTTTCTATTTATGCACTAATTCAAAAATTGGCTAAAAGCTAGCTTTTTGGCTAATATTATGATAGTGTGCGGCTCGCGCGTGTATCTGTGTATGTATGCGTAGGCTAGAGATGTGTTAGCTTTGAGCGGCCTGTCCACACATTACGGGTACCGATTGCAAACAGTGTTGCCAAACAGAAAGTAAACTGCAATCGATAAGTAAAGAATTTTGAAAAAATGCATTTTATATTTGGTTTAAAAACGTTTTATATTTGGTTTTACATTTAGCTTGGAATTTCAAACACATAAGTTTACATATATGTATGTATTTAAATAGCACACACTGAAAATACGTTGTTGTTAGGGATTTTTGTTTTATTAGCTGTCGAGCAATATTTCTTTGAATTAGATACAGTATTACTGAATTGATTTCTTTTTTCTGTTTTTGCATATTATGTGTTGTATATAATCTGTTTTTCCTTTTTAGTTTTTATAGCAAATGCAGTCACTTAATTTAATTGTTATTTAAAAATTTACTTTCATCTTTTCTCGCTTGTCTTGCCTAAAATATGTAAGTGTTCTCTCGTTTTTCTTACGTGTTTATTTTTTATTTTTGATCACAATTTGATTTCGCATGAATTTGGTGTGTTCCGAACGATTTGCCTGAATGTTTCCTACTCTGTTGCTCTTTCTCTCTCACTGCCTGCCGAAAAGGTGCCTCACATTTTTGTCATTATTATATAATTTTATATTTGATTACGTTTATCAAAAACCATGCAAAATATTTTCGCGCCTATTTTTTATACAAACAGAATTAGCCAAAAGTTGCCTACTACATATATATTTTACGCTTGTTAAAAATTAAAATATTCAGTCAATATTATTCTGTAAATTTCATAAATTAGTTTATGTACAGCTATGAATGTATTTTGGTTTTATTATTTATGTATTATTAGCTTTAAATTTTCGATGTACGCTGCTAAAAGTAAATTAAACAGCCGGCCAAGGTTGAGGCTGTGATTAGGTTGATTGGCTTTATTTATTTTGTTGTTACTGTTCTTGCTTTAACGGTTCAAGTTCAACTAAATAACAGTGTTAATTAACGTGGAAATTGTAACGGCATAAGGCAATTGATTGCGGCGTAGAGAGATTGTTTAAAACAGGGAACTAAACTAAAACCATAACTTCGGCACTCCGAAGAAAAGCAAGACCCTTGCAAAAATTCTTAGTATGTTTTTATTTCCAAATTCGATATAACTTAAGAAACAAAAATGTTGTTCATAGATGATCAAGTTTAGAAATATTTGTAATTATTGCACGCAGGTTTAAATAATTCAAAAATTTAGGTTCAAAAGAATTTCTCATACCGGACAAATTGCTTAGAAAGATGGACAAATATCTAAGGAAAGTTATGCGTACTTTTGCAAGGACTTTGAAATACAGCTATGGTCAAACGAATAGCACAAACAAAATCAATATCTTAATTTTTCCTTTACATTTTCATCAATAAAATAATAACTTTAAAAAGTAAAATATTAGCTTAAGAAAATTCAATACACAGTCCGAAATAGTCTTTTCAACCCATAAAAGTCATCTTTTGTTAGAAGTGCTAGCGCTTTCCCTCAGGAAAAAACCTATAAAACTTTTTTCTAGCTGTGTAATCTTTATTCTTGTGTGTCTGCTTTTGTAACAAAAGAACTGCACCGGTTTTCGAAGTTTTCTAGACACGGGATATTCAGTGCCAAATTAAGTGCCCAGCATTTCGGCCTATGTACGTACTATTTCCCCTCCGGAATCAATTAATTTTGTCTTAGCTGTATTTATTCTTGTGTATCTGCTGTTTTGACTGTGTTTTCGGGACGCGTTAAGATTATATTCTTGATTAGTCTCCAGGATAAGACTTAATCGTTCGCATAATCAGTGTGTTGATAGCATTTGTGGCCTTGCGATGTTTTTGTGCTCTGATCCTATATTCAATTAGGTAGGAGGAATAGCTTGTCTTTACTACTAATTCATAAGCATTATACACTTTCTTTTTCGAGCACTGGCCTTATATCAGTTATCTCTGGCGCTTTTGGTAGATTTGTGTTGTTTCTTCGGTAGTGCTTCCGATTTTTTCCACACCATTTAAGTAGTTAGGAACAATTTTAATGCAATTATATGAAGGAAAAAAATTGAAGAACTGATTCAAAGTTATAACGCATATCAATGCTAACCTATGAAAGAAAACAATAATGGTCTGAATTGGTGCGTAATTGATATAAATAATCATATTTCTTGTGACAATTTGTGCTATTTGTGTGAACATCGCTGTATTTAACTTTCTCCCCAAAATATAAATGAATATAAGTAAATAAAATAAAATCGCATTTTGTTGTTTTCAAATTTTGTATTCTGTATATATTATAACCTATATATCTGTATCTGTCGTTTGCAATTTATTAGGCCTAAAAATTTGTTTAAAACTAAAACTATGCATATGTTAAAATGTATTAAAAAATATACGACACGGTACGCTACAAATTATAACTAAAATTGTACCCATCAAATTAAAAAAGGCTAATTAAAATTAATACAATTATAAAATAGCCCGATTAATCGGTTGGGCCCACATTTGTGCTAAATTTGGACCAATCGGAAAATACTACACAATTAACAATTAGAGTTTATTCTTTGCCTGGTTCTACGTCATGGGCCGTTGTTGTTTGGATTGTGGTTGTTGCTTTTGTAGTATTGTTGTGGTGCCCCAAAAAAACGGGGCAATCTGCTTAAGGGCTACACTCATCATAGTCATAATCATCCATCCTCATCGTTATTGTTATTAATTAATATATGTATAATTGTATATATATATATATATTCAATTACTAGGAGCTTAAAAATTTGCATTCTTTTTATCGTTTCTGTTTATAGTTTTTTTTTGTTGTTTTCTTTTTTGCTTTCATGGATTGTTACAAATTAAAAACGCGACAAGTATTAACAAAAACACTAACAATTACATTTAGATCTGCATGTGTTTCTATGTATAATTAAATATCAATAATTATTGTTTACAATTAGAATAATAATAATAATAATTACGTGTATATTTGATGTTCCTTTGAAATTATAAAATTAACTAATGCAAAAGAAGTCATGATGATGGTTGTTGCTGCGTTTTTCAGTTTTTCAAATTGGTTTTTGCATTCGTTATGTTTATTTTCCTTTTTATGTGTGTGTGTGTGTGTGTGTGGGGGGGGGGGGGGGGGGGTGTTAGTTGAAAAAGAAGCGACCATTTTGATTTGTTGGTGTGCCCTTTTAGGCCTTCCAATTGTTCTGACGGCTACCACCCGAGCCACTCGGCTGCTGTGGCGGAATCATCTCTAGCAAGTATTGACGCTGCAGCTCCGCGGCCCTCTGTATGTCCGCCAAACTATTCGCATTGCTCGCATTCTTCGATGCGCTCGACGAAGAGCTGCCCTTCTTGTTGTTGTTATTGAAAGCTATAAAAAAGGTGACGAAAAAAGGGGAAAGCAGTTTTAATATCTTGGATAACAATACTATCTTAAAAGTAAACAAATTCAAGAGTGCTTCAAACGATTTCCGATTAATTCAACAAAACAAAAGAAAAATATTAGGTTTTTGCAGCGCCTAAAAATCTATTTATTATTGTTATACGATTTGAATTGTATGAATGAAATAACTGACTAATTATTTGCTTTCTAAAATATACTATAATAAACTTGGAGAGGGCTCAGCACTACTTCGTACAACCTGCATTTGTTTGCATGTATGAACCAAAAACACATAGAAACTATAAGAACTAGATACACCGCATTTGGTATGAATACTATGTACCTATGGATATATCGAATTTATAAAAAACATTTTTGATACCCTAAATGTAAATTAGCCGAAATTGTCGTTTGACAACCAACATCAGACATGTAATTTCGATATGTATTTCGACAACTAGTTGTGCTTTTGTTAAGACGTCCTTCTAAATAAAACTGAAGTACCAGATCTCTGTATCGTAATTCGTTTCCTAACTCAGTGTGATACTCACCAGCCACTTGAGCTGCCTGTGCCATAGCCACTTGATAGGAGTAAAGGAGTGGTGCGAACTGCATCATATGCTGCGGATTGCCACCCAGACCTTGGCCCAGAGCTGCGAAAGGGAAAAAACAAATTCATTTAATACGTTTCGGGGTATTAGTTGGCTGGCAGTATTTAGACTTACCTCTGAATAGTTGCTGCTGGAATGCCTGCATGGCGGCTGCTGTGGCTGCTGACGAGGCAGCCGCTGAATTACTCGAAGCGGCTGTGGCGCCACCAAAGTTTCCCAAACCACCGAGCGCCGCCAAATTTCCAAGCTGACTGAGATTTCCCAAATTACTTAAGTTGCCCAGACTGGCCAGATTGTTCATATTCAGGCCACCCATGTTGCCCAGCGCGCTGAGATGTGCCGCCGCCGCCAGAGTAGCTGCCGAGTATTTGTCGTAGCTTTGTGCCGCCTGCTGTTGTTGCTCTCTTTGCTGTTCCCGCTCCCGCTGCTGTTGTTGCTGCTGCTGTTGTTGCTGTTGTTGTTGCTGCTGCTGTTGTTGTTGCTGGTGATGATGGTGATGATCTCGTTCGGCACGCGACGAACGTGACGAGGTTGCTTGCTCGTGATGGTGCGACGTTGGTCCCGGACTGAGAATGCCTGCCTGCTGGGCGGCAATGGCAGCTGCCGCTGCTGTGGCAGCAGCACGCGAGGAGCGGGGCGTGCTCGAGGGCGGTGGTGTCGGTTGACTTTGTGGCGGTGGTGTGGGTCGTGGAGCTGGCGTGGGCGTTTGACACTTGGTCGGTATGACGGTAACTGAAGGTGGCAAGTTCACGAGAGCTGCTGCTGCCGAGGCATGGGTTGCCTGGAGTTGCTGGGCAGCGGCTGAGAGTTCGCGTTCTCGTTCCCGTTCCCTAGCCATTGCCTGCTGGTGCTGCGACGAGTTGGAAGCTGATGCTACTGCGGCCGATAGCGCCACACTCGCATTAGTTGAGGCATGCGACTCTACGGGCGAGGGACTGCTCTGGCTGGCCAGACGTTGTTCGATCTCCTGCTCCTGCTGCAACGCCTTCACAAAGGCCTGTTTCAGTCGATTGGTATGCTCTGCCTTGAGCGCTTTCTTAACATTAGAGGTGACGCACTGCTCGCATATAACCTTGGGATCCTTGTTGTCTGCAAGCAAAAAACGCATTAAACATTTATTAATATGAAATTAAATAGATAGGTTTCGCATAAAATCAAACTAGGATCGACCTTTTTACTTCAAAAGCTGCTTAAATTTTGTTACTAGTTTTCAGGATATTCAAAAAAAATGTTCAACTAAACCACAGGAAGATAATATCTGATCGTAGCTTCTAATTTGTCAAAGAACTTATGAGTCTTAATTTCATGCAACATTTGATCTATTGTAGATGGTTTATTCGTTTCGTAGAACAAACCAACTTTCAAGCTTAGTCTCTATAAAGGAACCATTTAAATTTATTTCGTGGAATATAAAATAGCAAGCAATTGGAATATGATTCTCTTCCTTTAAAAAAAAAAGATTTTCCTATAATTCAACCTGATTTGTGTTGTGAGTACACCTAATTCTGTTTTTAGATGGTAGATTAAAGGACATTATATATAAAATTTCTAATTTTCAAACCGTGTAAAAAAGAATTAGTGTACTTTATAATGCTAGACAACGAATAAAACTTAAATTTTTGTTCATGGGATGTATTTTGAATGATATTTAAAAGACTGTTAAAGAATGTTTCTATACTATTATACTATCAATTTATTGCTACCATAGTGTTAACCTGATTTATTGTTTTTTGGGGACTTACTTTGCTTTTCCCATTTCCAGACGGGCGTAAAATCAATTTTGCATTGGGCACAACGGAAGGGAGCCGCCACAGCATTAGCCTTCTTATTGACAGTCAAATAATCCACAACAGTCTCCAGGCCTAGCAAATAAACGAAATCCGTGTTGCTTGGATTGGGTATGAAGTGCATCTCTGGTGGTGGTGGTTTCGGGGGCGGTATCTGAAGGGCAACAGCAATAAAATTAGTTGTTAATCTACAAAGACAAAACTGATTTGACAGCTCACCTGTAACAAAGTCTTTTCCAGTTGCTTGCGCAACGCCATTTTGGCAGCCGCCTGACGTTGAGCCGGGGTTTGAGCCTCCTCACGTGGCGTCGAACGTTCATTCTAAAATGGTAAAGTAAAAACAATTTGTTAGACTTTACATTCGCTGTTCACTTATGGAGGTATCTACCTTTAGTTCATTGAGCTGATTCTGATGCGATTGCGAGAGCGGTGGCGCCGGCGTAATGGAAACAGAATTGCTTATGGTCCCAGGTACCTTCGAATTATCCGAAATATTAGGCTGCATGTTTGCAATATGTGATTTTTAATTGATGGCAATGTAATATTTTAATTTGCAAAGAATGTATGAAGAGCGAAAAAGAATTGTATTTAATGCTTGATTAGTTAGTCACAATTATTGCAAAAGTTGGAAATTAGAAACTATTTTAGAAAGTGCCAACCGTGCTGTCGAGCTCGACGTACGCGATCGAATGAAAAAATTTGACTTTTTTTTCTGCAGTTATAAGTCATTTTTTACGCAGCCTACTAAAGTTTCTGGTAAGGAAAACAATAATTATCCGCTCTAATTTAGCAGTTTGAAAAAGGTATTTGTTTTTGGTTAGTATTGTAAGGTGTGTTTGTTAGTAGCATAGCGAAGAGTGTTTAGTTAGTGTTGTGCATCGTGCGTTGTTAATGATGAGAGAGTGATTGTTGTTGTGTTGCTAAGCGTGAGTTTTTTGTGGTCTGTTTTGGGTATTAATTTGGTATTTAATTTTATGTATGGTTTCTTTTTGTTTTCTTTTTGAAGTGTTGCTTTGAAGTGCAAGAGAAAATGTTGGTTTGAGGTGAAAAACTCGGCGCTTACGGCAACGATTACATTACAATAACTCACATTGCGTGCTTTCAAGCTCGATGGCGGTGCCGATGTTGGCGTTATGGTCACCGATGGTGTGATCGTGAGATTCGGCAAATTGGTGCGCGGCGGTAACGCGCTCGATCTATGCGAGGCGGATGTTGTGGGCGTTATGGTAGTCCCGGCTGCCAGAGTGGCGCCTGGCGGCAACGAAGAACGAGGTGGCGGGAGTATGGAGTTATTCTGGCTGCTATTACTGCCTCGCTGTACGCTGGACAATGCAGCAGCGGCTGCCGCAACCGCAGCCGCCGTAACGCCCGGAGAGCTGGTGTTGCCAGTGCGACTGTTGGTGGCGCTGTAAAGAAGTAAACAACAAATTTTAGTTTCCGTTATGATGTTCAATCAAAATGGCAGACTATTTTCAAACTACTTATAATTATCACAATCCAAATGAGTGGTATTTTTTTTACTGTTTTTCGCATAGTGTCCCTTTCTATTTCATTAATTAATTAAATAGTAAACTAATTAAAGGGTTGTATCTTACCGAAAACATTGATATATATTATAATTCGATCAGTAAATGACATTTAAATTACAATTATGTCATGAAGCTAGTTTGCAATCAAATTTAAACAATACATTTAGTTGCTTAAAACCCCTTTGTGAGATCTACTTTTTAAGATCTACACAATAATTGTAATAATAGAATAGTTTTTAAAGAACCTTTTCAAATGAATTAAAAATATTATGAAATATGACTTATGTTTATTTTTTTTTTTTAAATATATAGTAAACATTTTTTTCACTACACAATAAAAACCTCACACTTATAAATCGGGTCTGATATCCGTTTTTAGTAAATATTTTTTTCTAAATCAAATTACAGATTTTTTTGAGGGTTACAACCTTAATTATATATGAAATATCCTAATATAACACTACTACTTAAGCAAAAAGCACCTTCTTATTAAAACAGATTCCTTCCGTAGGAGTTTTATAATTTGTATGCACTTTCTTTTTCCATCCCGAGATTGGGTTCTTCAGGAGAGTATACAATGGAAATATGCTTTAATAAATTCGATGTGCTTGGTAACAATGGAAATCTATCTGTATCTGTATATATGGAAATTTTGTATTTAATTTGCATGCCTTAAGGAGAACTCACCTTATACTGACGGCGGCTGTGCTGCCTGCACTATTTCGTCCTTTACTGTGCGCCGGCAATGGAACCGCTGAGGTGGGCGTCACACTCAGCGAGCCCTTGGAGGTGAGGGCCGCTGGTATAGCTGCGAGGGGATTATTTGGCGATACGCTGGTGGGGGTAACCACTAGATTCTCCTTCATCACCTGCTGCGATTGCTTTAGTTTCTTGAGCAGCATCAATTTTGTCTCCTCGTTGCGCAAGTCCTGACGCAGCTTGCGCAAACTCTTCTCACGCTCCTTGAGCTCGGAGTGGGAGAGCTCCTTGATGGGCACATAGGGCGGCATTTCCTCGTCGTCCGTTTCGGAATCTATGTTGCCATTCTGTTGCCGTCCATTGGTGCGCGCTGGCAGCAGGACTATGTCTGGAGCCTCCGCATAGGATTTGGGTTCAGTGCGTGGCCGAAGGACACGCCGTTGTACTTTGTTTTCATCCTGCGTGCTGGTGGCTGTCGCGGTGGCTTCTGAGCCAACTCCACCACTGCCTATGGAGGATGTTGTGTTGGCATTGCTATTACTATTGTTGTTGTTGTTGTTATTATTATTGTTATTGTTGTTGCTGCTACTACTATTGCTATTTGTGTTGTTGATGGTGTTGTTGCTATTGTTGTTGTTGTTATTGTTGCTGCTGCTATTGTTGTTGCTGTTACTGTTGTTGTTGGTTGAGGATGTGGCTGGCGCCGGAGCTGGCGTTATGGTCAGACCGGTATTGTTTGCAGTCAGCGCCCTCAAATCGCGATTACTAAGAGCCGGCGTTATGGTTAACGCCGGATCCCGTCCCGAACTCAAACTCAAGTCGACGACATCGTCGACTTCCATTTTGGCCATTTTTGCGCGTCGCGTCGTCGTGTTTGCAATCTTTGTTGTTACTGTAAAGGTAAGAGAGATAAACTTGCATTAGCCAAGTGTTGTCGTCTGTCGTCTTTCTTATATATGTATGTACATATCAGAGACCTGCAGCGGTGCACCGCAACAATAAGTACACCGCATACCTACTTAGAATATTTCACTCACGATCACACAAAACACCGCATAAAAAATGATGCGGTGTTGATTATACTCATGGCCTTCTTATACTTAGATCAATGCAATCACAACAAGACTTTTCGCTATCCTCTTCACTCATTTTTGTACTTATGCGGTTAGTGATTGCAAAGAAACTTGTGCGAGTAAAAACCACCACCAAATTTTTGCGATCAATTGAGTATTGGGTTTTCTCGCACTCGGCAATTTTTTTACTCTGTCTTTTTGAGTGTTCGCTCTGCACGATCAATTCAGATGCGGTGCCTGCAATACTTGTACTTATGAAAGTATGATTTGCGATGTTGACCTTGGATATTCAGTGCACATGTGTTTACACGTATGTACATATGTATGTAGTAGAATATGTATGTATGTTCTTTTGTGTGTACACTGTACATATTCCGCTACGATTTTGTTTTGGCTATATCGCTAAGAATACAAACATAAACAAGGCAAGGTAAAAAAAAAGATGTGTACAAAATTAAAAGGATTTATTTAATTCATTTTTTTGCTCTTATGAATACGTTCCTCTATGATCGATTCAACACTAATGAGGCTTATGCAGCAATTAACTATACCCTTCCATATGAAGCAGAATGCAGAAAAAAATAATTTACAGTGCATTATGAGCATACATAAAAAAACGCCGTTACGCACATGCGTTGTTTTCAGTACTTGGTCTTTGCTTCGCTTCGATTTTCATATGCGGTGTTTGCAGTACCCGGTCTTTGCTTTGCTAATCATCACATTGATTTTGTCAACTCTTCTCTCATCGTTTCTTGCGCACGCAATATTTGTATTGTGCGCGTATGAGTATAAGTACGATTGCAGAAAACGCCAACAAGAATGTGCGATGAAAAAGTAAAGCAGAAACCGCATACACCCATGATCGAGTACGAAAGTGATCCAGTCATAGCAATACAAAAATGCCTTTTGAGTAGGTGACTGAATTGACAAAATAGTATGCGGTGGCGATCACACCGCAACCGCTTTTTCAGTAAGTATACTTAGAGTCACAAAAATAGGCACTCATGCAGTTCTCTGGTACATATAATACATAAGTACTACACATACATATTATATAAATTTATATGTATATGCTTTTATTTTTTTCCTAGGGGGCGTTTGCTGGCTACCCATTGCTAAGGGTTGCAAAAGGCGCTTTGAATTCCTCTTCTTTTCGTTTTGTTTTTTCTTTGCATTTTGTAACAGGAAGTCAGGCACTAACCCTTAATGGTTTGTTTTTGTTGTCGCATTGCCTCGACTGCTCCCTTTTCGTGTAAGGAAATAATAATAAAGATATCCTGATTTTCAATTTATAAAGGCGACTCGACCTTGTTGGGTGAACTGATAGCCCATGTAAAGCTGTGGTTGTGGATAACGACAAACTGAATGCATCCTGATATCGTAAGATCCGCTTCAGCACCCCTTTGCTCAGGGTGCTAAATAGGACACTTGCTCCGTTAATATCTTCAATTTAAATCATTTTAAGTACATTATTTGGATTATAGAAATATTTAATAATAAGTTAGCTAAAAAGCGCACCTATTTCATAAGAACTTCGAACAGGTTGTGCGTTTATAACAGTCATATAATTTTGTTTCAACATACATTTGACTATATGTATGTATGGGGAATTTTAAAAAAACAATTATTCGGCCGTTCTGTCTTTTATATGTATGTATCTATAACCTTAAATAATATATAAAAAAGTAAAGAAAATATAAGATTCTGTCTAATATGGAGTAGGAACTGAGTTTGAAGCTGATTTTCAACATATTCTTTAAATCCTCAAAATGGGTTTGCCACAATCTAATTAATTATGTGAATATAAATCATAAAATCAGAAATGGAAGTGAATTGAAAAAAAAAAATGTGACACTAATTTTCACACAATAGCGGGTGTCAGAAGAAATCCCTATCATCAATTGAAAGGAAAAAACACTTGCTATGATAAAAAAAATAAAGATTTGACAATAATTAGTATCCATTAGCTTGCCAAATTAATGAAACCCCAACCTCTATTACTTTATCGCATGAGCATAAATGGGTAGGACCAAATATACATATGTATGTATATTAAAAATATAAATTCTATGGTGGTGATTGATGGTGATTGCTGTCTAGTCTTTTACTACAATATTATTTCATACAGTTTTTGACACGAATTACTTAATTAATTTTTTTTTTTTTGTGGTTGGTAATTTAATTACTGGTAGCCCCTTTTAGTCAGAGTAATAGTTTTACCTTCCGTGTTCTGAGCTAATCAAAAAATTCGATTTTATAAAAAATCTTTTTTTTAGAATCCTTTTTTAAAATGAAAATGTGTAATTTAAATATGCCTTGCTTTTCCTTAATATTTCATGCATTTCAAACACCATGTATTTCACAAGTTTAAGCCTTTACAAATTATATTAGGTATCGAATTTCAAGAGTTTGCAATAGAAACAGATCGAAATTTTTATCAGTTATATGACTGGGAACCGAAAATCACGGCGTGCTGAGCTTCCATACGTATGTATGTACATGTAAATTGAGGATGGCTATACATACTATACATACATACATACATGCATTAAGCGCCACAATAGTCGTTGCATGTATTTTCACAAACAAGTCACGTTTTCGTTTTAGCAAATTTTCGTATATGCATGTCGGTATTGAAAGAGAGAGATAGACCCGACGGACAGACTCACTTACAACACAAGACTCGCACAGAAAATTTGCATTGAAAACAAAATGTCGAATGAGAAAGGGGGGAGAGGCGGTTGTGGAGGGGTGGGTCAATTGGTTTGTGGGGCTTGAGGATCGCTGGGGTATGCAAATTCTCTGCCTAGATATATACATACTTGCGAGCTTGTTGTGTCTAATGGGAGAGGAGCACTAGAGAAGATTTCAAATGGACAACAACAACCCACAAGTTCATATGTATGTATGTATTTATATATGTTTGTACATATGTATACGTGTATACCATAAGCACGTGAGAGGTGAATAAACTTTTAAGCAAACAAAAACAAAAACAGCAGCAACTATTGCACCTGTTTTCTGAGCAAAACTTGCTAACATTTTCAAATATAAACCAATATAAACAAACACCTATGTACATACATATGTGTTCAAAATTGTATATTTAACAATAATAAATACATAATAATAAACAACAATAACAAATGCAAACAAAAACTGTCCAATTAAAATGATATAAAAAGCAGCTTACAAAGCCAAGCACATGTAAGCAACGATGTAAATACGTGTTTATATGGCTGTGTGTGATTCGCTGAGTCGAGCTTACAATCACGAGTCTACAAATATGAACGACCTCAAGAAAATGTAGCGCATATATATGTACATAAAAGAAAACAAATATACGTATCTACACACACATATGTATGTGTGATACATTATAATAATAAGAGTAGCAAGAAAAAGAAAAACGCGAGCAAAAACTATAGCACGTTTTACACATACACACACATATGTATGTATGTATATATAAACATTCATCTGTGTACGTTGTTTGGCCAACCGAGGAATGACGACGACGACCCCAACGCGCTATAAATTAACTCGCTTTGAAAGTTGGCAGTCACACACACACATACACTCACATACATGCATACCAACATACATATGTATATGAATGTGTCTATATATGCATGTAGCGCGCCTACTCGTTCCTTTTTTTTGCTGTTTTATATTCCCCCTTCTAGTTGTCGGCGCAGTCTCGTTACTTTCGACACTTGTGTCGTCATCAAAAGCGTTTGAATTCAAACGTGCTCAGCAGTTGCACAGTGGAACGAAGTAATTTAAAATTGATCAGAATAAAAATGATATAAATATTGAATTTTGCGAACATTACAGTCGGATTTTAGAACCCATTTGCGATGTTCAAATGTAACTAAAAAGCGCTACTGAGAATAGTTATTGCGGTATTCATGTATTTAATCGGGCAAATCAAAAACATAATTCGATCATAACTAACGCTTCTAAGAATAATCAATGGATCTACTAAGAAAGTATAAATAAAACAAAGGACAGTTCACCTTAAAAATTAATAATACATTTAGTAATACGAATTTTGTAACACAAAAGCAACCAAATAATATGTTTTAGTGGCAAAGCCATTATTATTCAATTTCAATTGCATTAAGCCCACTGTGCTGTGTATTGCTTTTGCCTTTGCTATGTATGTATGTCTGTGCGAGCGTGTGATAATTGTCAGTTTATTTTTTTATGAATATAAAAGATTGCATAGACGCTTTTTAATGTTTAAATAAATAATGATGCAGCACAGAAGTAATGGGGCATTTCTCATGCAGGGTTGCCGCCAACATTGTCGTCGACACCCGCACACATTTTATGGCCCACAGCTTTTTATCGATTTTTTTGTGTTTTGTCGAGCTGCAGAAACATTGACGACCGGCTTTTTTTCTGTTATACTGCTCTATGGCTTTATGTATGTATGTACATACATATGTATGGGTATATGTGTGTGAATTTGTATTTAATAGCGCGCTAAATGAGTTTCAATTAGCGCGCGTTCGATGCTTAGTACAATTTGTTGTTTGTATGTCAATAGGTTGTGGCAGTCAAAGTCGGCAGACCGGCCGGCCGGCTGGCCAACTGTCTGGCCGGCTGACTTAACAAGTTCAAGTTGAAGCGGCAACACCGTTGACAACAAGCGTGTGTGTATGTAAAGGGCATGGCCCAAGCGGTCGTTGGCACCTGACCGCAAGGCCAAAGAAAGCCATCGACGAGAGGAATGGAATTGTAATATTTTACATACATATGTATATATGTATGTATATGTACGTATTTATGAACATTTGTTTGTAGTAGCAAC